CTCTCTGTGGTTAGCGGGGATTCCACTTGATTTGTTCTTCCACTTTATTCCAGAAAGAGACAGCTGGGATGAAGGCAGTGTCGCTCAGTGAGCACTAAGTTGGCGCCCCCAAAAGGGATGGGCCCTGCCTGCCCCTCCCAGAATGATCTCTATGCCCAGCGACCCGGCTCCCTTCGAGCCAGGGCACTGGGGCACAGCACAGTGTCCTCTCTCAGGGTCAGCAGGCACCCAGGAGGAATTGCTACGCTGGTGCCAGGAGCAGACGGCGGGGTACCCAGGTGTCCACGTCACCGACCTGTCCTCCTCCTGGGCTGACGGGCGGGCTCTGTGCGCCCTGGTGCACCGGCTGCGGCCCAGCCTGCTGTGAGTTCAATTCAGGCTCGGCGCTCCTGGGCAGACCATACCTCTATCGTGCCTCTGCGGCAGCGTGGACTGAGGGGCAGAGCACTGTGTAGGAGTAGCCCCTCACCCCCCGTTGAGGGCCAGTGCACCACTTGCTGGCAGTCGACCTGCCCAAGTCGGTGCACGTCTCCGAGTCTTGTGGGAGTCAGATGCATTCAGTGGGGAGGCTTGTGAGCGCTGGAGGCCCCCAAGGCCAGAAAGTCATCAGTGGGCAGGTGGGGAGCACGTCTAGAACAGAGAATAAACCCCTTGTGCCCTAGCCTCCTTTAGTGCCCCACCAGCCCCTGCCTGCTGCTCATTCCTCATCCTCTCCCCCTTTGCTGGGCCCGGTGCTGGTCTCCCATGGACTGTTCTCCCCAACGTCACACAGGGAACCCTCAGACCTGCAAGGGCTGGGGGCCCTGGAAGCGACTGCTTGGGCGCTAAAGATGGCGGAGCACGAGCTGGGCATCACGCCTGTGGTGTCCGCAAAGGCAGTGGTGGCAGGGAGTGACCCACTGGGCCTCATCGCATACCTCAGTCACTTCCACAGCACCTTCAAGAACGTGCCCCACAACCCAGGTGGCCTAGAGGGTAGGAGCAGGGGAGAGGAGAGGTGGGGGGATGGGAGGGTGAGGTGCCCTCTGAGGGACAGCTGGGAGCGGGGTCCTGGGCTGGACCGTAGCTGTCTGGAGGTACAGCACTGACACCCCGTCCACCTGGACACTCCCTCTCTCTGCAGGCCCTGCCAGCCAAGGCTTTCCGGGGAGCTCCAGTGCTGTGCTGTTCCTGGGCAAACTGCAGAGGACCCTGCAACGGACCCGGGCCCAGGTGCGCATCTGGGCATGGTCGGAGCTGAGCAGTGGGGGTGCCTGGGACGATGGGGAGGACATTCATGACGGCGGCAGGGCTGCAGCTCCGAGCGCCATGCTGAGTATAGGTCTTGTTGCAGGAAAATGGGGAGGATACTGGTGGCAAGAAGCCGCGCCTGGAGGTAAATGCATGTAGGGCTGCAGTCCCCTGCTCTCTCCTGGCTGTTCTGTCCTGCGTTCTCTAACCCTCCTACCCAGGTTCCCTTCCTGGCTCACTTCTCTTTCACATCTTTCTAGTCTCTGCAAACAGCCACTCTCCTGCCCCTCCACCTTCCTCTCTGAACACTTACATCCTTAGGTAGAAGCTAAGAGCCCAAGTACTGAGGAGCCACCTGCCCCAGAGTCTGGTGTACCCCCAACACCTCCATCCCAAACCCAGGAGGTGAGAAAGGGGGCCCTGCTGCAGAGGCCTGGGAAAGGCCAAAAGGGGTGTTTTAAGGATAAGGAAGAACTCCACAGCTGGCCTTTACCCCAGCTGACCCTGTGGTCTGGGGGTCGATGCAGGCCGGTGCCGGGGACCTATGTGCCCTCTGTGGGGAACAGCTCTATATCCTGGAACGCCTCTGTGCTGATGGCCGCTTCTTTCATCGGAACTGCTTCCGCTGCCACACCTGTGAGGCCACGCTGCGGCCGGGTGACTATGGGCAGCACCCAGGAGATGGTAAGCAGGCCTGGCCCTGTCTGGGGGCATGGAGCTTGAAACTGGAGGGAAACTGGGGTCCTGGGTGGTGGCAACAGGCTCAAAATGGCATTCTTCTCCCCTAAGTTCAAAGTCTTCTCTGTCCCCTCCATATCCCCCAATGTGGGGTTCTAAGGAACTGGGCCAGCAGAAATTCACCTGCAAATCATGTCCCGTCAGCCCTGCCCTCACTGATCAACAGAGTATCTGGGTATCAGGCTGCTAACATATCTGCTCCCCTCCTCTGCTCTTTCCAGGGTATTTCTACTGCTTCCAGCACCTGCCCCAGCCAGGCCACAAGGAGGATGGCCCTGACCCAGGCTCCAAGAGTCAGGTAAAAACTATGAAACTGTGTGTTGGGGGTGTGAGAAGAGTAAAGGGGTCTCTCCAAGCCTAGCACACTTCGCTGGGGGTAACTGAATGTCCTCCTTTAGAAGGAAAGCTGCATGAAGGCAGAGATTTTTATTACTGACGTATCTCAAGTGTCTCAAACACTGCCTAACACCGTTCGCTGAAGGGCATCAGTGAATGAATACCAGGGTCCACATTTGTCTAAAGGGGTGGCCTTGGCCGCACAATGGGCAGGTCACTGACCAAACTACATGGTGGCTTTTCTAGGACCTCCCCACACCGGATGAAAATAGCATGCCATCGGGGCCCTCAACTTCTGTCATCCCCCAGGAGGGGACCAGTCCTGTCCCAAACCCCAGGCAGCCCACCCGTCGGCTGATCCGCCTCTCCAGCCCAGAACGCCAGCGGCTGTCCTCCCTTAAGCTTACCCCTGACCCAGACCTGGAACCTCCCCCCAAGCCTCCCCGCAGCTGCTCTGCCTTGGCCCGCCAGGCCCTGGAGGGCAGCTTTGTAGGTTGGGGAATACCAGTCCAGAGCCCTCAAGGTACCTGCTTTGCCCAGATGCACTCACCCGGGGTCGGTGGTACCGGGATTTCTGAAAGGGGAATGCCAGGGAATGGGAAGGGAGGCCATGGGGCCCAGGCCATGTCTACTCTCCTGTTCAGTTGTTGTGGCCATGGAGGAGGAGCAGGAACAGAGTCCTCCCTCCAGTGAGGAGGAGGAGGAGGAGGAGGCAGAGGAAACCATGGCTTTGGACTCAGACACTCAAGAGGTGAGGAGGAACCTGGCCACCTGTGCCACCAAAGCCAGCACATCCTCTAAACATGCTCCACCGCCCACTCCAGGAAAACCTATAGAATGCTCCCTCTGAGCCAGTCTCTCAGCATCTCTAAGCCTTTGTTCTACTGGAACTTACCCTATCTCCAGCCCAGGAAGTTCTGTCTTCTTCCAGCTTTCCCAGCCTCTACCCAACGAGGGGGCTGGGAGGTGGGCAGGTCCTGCCTCTGACCGGCCCGACCCTGCCACAGGCTCTGCTGACCTTCGCCAAGAACTCAGGCACCATGAGCAAGTACCCAACATGGCGTCGGACTCTGCTGCGCCATGCCAGGGAGGAGGAGATGAAGCGGTTCTGCAAGGCCCAGGTGAGGTTTAGGGGTTCGCCGTTCCGACGGGGCCAGAGTTTCTCTGAAGCTCTGCACTTGAGCCATCCAGAGACTCCTGGGCCTCCTGTCTTGTCCCGCTCAGGCTGTCCAGCGGCGACTACATGAGATTGAGACTGCTGTCGGGGAGCTGGAGGCCGAGGGCAGGAAGGTGGAGCTGGCCTTGAGAAGCCAGAGCAGTGAGTAAAGATGGGGGGGTGCGGAGGGAGCACAAGCTAGGACATCCCTCTGCCCCCAGCACTCCCTCCAGCCACCAGACTGTGCCCGCGCAGGCTCCACTCCTCACGCTCCTGACACCCCTGACCCTGGCTAGAGGCCTTCTGACCCCCGCCCCCATTGTTCGTTCCCGTCAGCGTCCCCAGAACAGCAAAAGGCGCAGTGGCTGGAACAGCTGCTACAGCTCGTTCGGAAGAAGAACAGCCTGCTGGCGGAGGAGGCCGAGCTCATGCTCACGTAAGGCGCAGGGGGTGGGGCCAGCTGGCACCGGAGCCAGACCCTGGCCGGGTCCTTGGGCACCCGGACAGCTGTGCCTCTTCGATCCCTGCCCTCCACAGGGTGAAACTGCTGAGCCTGGAGGAGCAGCAGTGTGAGGTGGACCAGGAGCTCCGAGGCTACCTGAACCAGGAAGGTGGGTGGGACGGGGAGAGGCCGGCGTTCACACAGCCTCACCTCAGACACTGACCAAGACACATGGTCCTCTGGTCGGAGGGCCTCAGGAGGAAGCCGGGGAAGAGGGCGCCAAGCCCCTACTCTGCTTTCAGTTCAGCTGGGGCTGCACAGCTGGGTTTTTAGATTAAGATTACTTATTATAAAAACGGTGCTGCCGCAGGGGCACCCGGCTGACTCAGCTGGACGAGCATGTGACTCTTGATCTCAAGGTTGTGAGTTCAAGCCCCACGTTCGGCGTACAAATTACACATATATCGTATATATGGAATATATACCATATCAGTCAATCAGTTGACCTGGACTAAAAATGGTGCTGCTGCTACCAGTGCGAGCAAACCGCTCATGTGGACAGACCCAATTTTACAGATGAGGAAACAAAGCCCAGATTGTGAAAGTCACATAGGCTGGGATTAAGCTGTGCCTTTCCTGCCTCCCTGCCCAGTTCCCTGTTCTCTAAGCTTTGTCGTCTTCTTCAGAAACCGTAAAGACCCCCGCTGATCGCCAGGCTGAGGAACAGCTCCTGAAGAAGCTGCTGGATGTGGTGAAGCAACGAGATGAAATTATCCGCTTCCAGGAGGAACGCAGGCTCAGTGAGCTGGCCTCAAGGCCGGGGGCCCAGGGCTAAAAGGCGGGCCGCCTGCCCTTGTCCCTACACGGAAGATCACATCAACCCAGGACTGTGCCACCCTGCTCATCATCTGGGCTGCCTGGGACGGGGCCTCACTGTTTACAATAAAAATGTTTCTGCCAGACAGGGCTTAGGCTGCCTACAGGTGGGAGGTAGGATGCACAGGGAGAGTAGACATGTAGGAGGCCTGACCGTCTATATTATGACAGTCACGATGACCTGTGGCCCCAGCTGCTGCCCCCACAAGGAAAAGCCGGAGCCATGAAAGTGTTAAGCTTTATTGTTCCTCAGTTCCATCCCCCTCCTGCTGCCCTAGGAGCAGGGCTGGCTGAGACGCTAGGCCCGAATCCTGGGCTTCCCTTGCCCTTCCCAGCACATGCTGGAGCTCAGCCCGAGCCCCAGATAAGCCCTTGGCCTCCTGCATGTGGAAGAGGTAGACCGCCCCCGCCCCTAGCAGCAGTCCTACACTGGGAGTCCAGAGTAGTATGGCAACTTCCCTGACGCCTCCTCCAGCTGCCAAGGCACACAGCAAGGCCAGGAGAAGCAGCCCTAGACCAATCACGTAGCCGGCGAAGGTGGCCCACCAGTGGGCTTGAGCCACGCCCAGGTCCAGCTCTCTCCAGGCCTCCTTTAATACACTGATCAACTGTGACCCTTCTGGTCCTAGAATAAGGCAGGGCAGTGGGGCAGGAGAGAGAAGGTCAGCGTGGAGGGGCTGCCTTGTGGTGGGGAGGGACCCGGGGAAAGGGTGGGGGTGACTTACCATGAGTAGGGCTGGGGGTATGCTGCGGGGGGCTGTGTCTCACACACAGAGTAGCCATCAGGGCCTCGTGATCAGAGAGGGGGCTGCCACTGTGAGGATCATGGCCTGTAGTGGTTCTAAGAGTCTTACAGGAGATGTAGAAGCCAGAAACCGCCTAGGAAAAGTCAGGGCCAGAAACATCTTTGAGGGCCTCTCCCCATTCTGTAGGCATCAGTGATCTAAGACTAGCTGGACAGAAGATGAGCACAAGCTGGTGAAAGACAGAGACACGGTGGGTGAAGACACACGGAGAAAACTGACCTTATACAGCACATAGTCAATGCGGATGCCAAGCGGAAATGGCTCTAGTTCCCGCTGGTTGACGTAGCAGTTCTCAGGTACCATGGTACAGCCCTCCTCAGAGCCCTAGAGGAAAAAAGTGGTTCACACTAGGATGTGGAGGAGAAAGACGAGAGACGCCGGGGGAGTAGGCATGGAAATAATCAGGGGCCGGGTCCTCACCTTGAAGTCCCGGGTCTCCAGGTAGGCATCATGCAGCCCCGTCCACTCCTTCAGCAGGCGGCAGCCCAGGTCCTTTGGGTGTAAGTTGAGGTCCCCACACAACAGAACCACATCGGCCTTCTTGGATGTGTGGCTGGGGGAACCAGGTTGGTGAGGCAGGCGTTCTTCCCTGACCAGCTCTGCCCTCCTCTAAGTGGGGCTCCGGCCACCCCTCAACCCCTAATCCCATCCCACTTCCCCTGTCAAGCCCAGGCTCACACACTGGATGAACTGGGCCAGTTCCCAAGCTTGGGCCACACGGTGTGTTAGGTAGATGTCCTTCTGTCGACTGTACTCGGCATGGAGCTGAGTGAGAGAGGTGAGCGTATAGCACATGAGGCGGACAGTCCCTACTGAGGGGCTAATCACGCGTTTGTCTGTCTCTTGGCATGATACTTGGTTAAAAATTGGGCAAACCTTGCCCGCTAACCTCAGAAGATCCCGGCCCCCCCAAGCTCACCCTCAGGCAGACCAACTAGAGGAGTCCCATCTCTCCCTCCCAGCACCAGGACGCCTGTCCCAGCCCTGCCAGCTTCACTCACATGGGTCACGTAGACATTGAGCACCAGTCCACTTAGATGGAGCACCAGTAGCCCCACAGCCTTCCCGCAGAACCAGTCTCCATGATGGATCTACAGGCAAGAAGGAGCAGGAACTCAGGGCATGGCTATCTTCCTTCTGCCCATCCCCTGCGGCCCACGGAAGTCGGCCTCCTTTACCATGTGTTATTGGGGGGCGGGGGGGGAATGAAGGTGGAAGAGAGCTGAGATAAGGCTTACCATGTAGGGGTACCCGTTGAGGGTGTAGACGTGCTGGGTGAATTCCTGGATAGGATGTTTGGAGAAGACGCAGAGGCCACTGCCAATGATACCACTGCAAACCAAGTCCTGATTAATAGCCCAGAAAAGCAAAAAGAGAAAGACCCAGGCTTCTTCCCTTCCCTCTACTCCCAGCCTGTATCAGCTACTTTATCTTCCCTGTTTGCTGCTGAGATCAGCACCAGAGCAAAGCTCCAGGCAACAGCCTTTGTGGGATCAAACAGTGTGTCCTGATAAGGCTGGGATGGGCTGAAGAGCGCAGATCTTCCGGGTTCCACCTACTCCTGCACCCACACCCGGAGGACAGAGTAGGATAGGGAAGGATAGGGAAGGATAGGGAAGGGCGGAGGGGACCGAGAGCTTCCCGATCCGAGAACAGGCTTCCAGACCGGTTAGGCGCTCACCTCCTGAAGTAGTGGGCAGCTGGGTAGGTGGGCAACAGCTTCTGTCTCAGGTGCTGGAAGTCCTGCTCACTCCACACCTGAGGGAAGAGGTGAAGTTCCCGGGAGAAGTCCCCTCAAGCGTCCCCAGCCGCCCCCTAGCCCGTCCCAGTCGGCGGTGCACACCAGCTCCACACTGCCCACCTCTTCCAGGAGAGCTAGGTCGAAGCTCTCCATGTTGAGAAAGTCTCCCAGGCGCTTCATGCGGTCGGCCCGGCGCTTGCTCAGGTAGGGAATGGCCCTGAGGACGACAAGGGCCCGCGAAGGCGATGGCTGCAGGCGCGCGGGAGCTGGGGCCGCAGCGGGCCCGGAGGTGCGGGTGCCCCCCGCCCCCGGACGCTGGAGAACAGGGTAGAGCCGGGGCCCGGATGTGAGGGGCGCCGATGGAGCTGTGGCCCCGGACCCACCCCGCCGGCCCTCTCACCAGCAGTTGAGGTTAAAGATCCTCAGTCGCAGAGTGAAGTTGGGCTTCATGGCGAGCACGCTCCGCGGGCGCGGGACTGCACGGCCTCCCCGGCGACGGCCGCGGCTGGAACCGGGGCTGGCGGGCGGCCCCGCCTCCCGGGGCGGTGCGCACAGGTGGTCGGCCCCGCCCCCGTGCGCCCCGGAAGGCCCCGGCCTCCCAGCCCGCGCCGCTCAGGCCCTCGGCCGGGGTCCGACTCCGCGGGCAACAGGCCCACTCCCCGCGGCCCCCGCGCAGCGGGCTGCACGCCAACCCGGAAAGGCGATCTACCGCGAAATCAGGCGCTGCCGGCTGGCGAGGGCCGCGCGCGACGTCCCTGTAGGGGGAAGACCAGAGGGGGGTTCGGCCGGCCGGGCCGACGCACGCGGGGCCCCCGTGGAGCTCCCCGTTCCTTTTCGCGGAAGCTCCGGCCCCGGCCCCGGCCACCCGCGCGCCCTCTCCCGCCCCTCGCCCGGCTCACCAACAACAGGAGCAAAGTTGAGAGACGACAGGGCCGTCGCTGCCGGGCCCCTCGCGTCCTTCCTCCCAGCTGGGGACGGGGGCGGAGCCGCGCGGTTGCCCGGCGACGCGCAGTGTTTGTGCTCCGAGCAGTCCCCCAGCGCCGCCATGGCCAGCCCGAAGCAGTGTCGGCCCAAGTCGGCCCCGTGCCGCTCGCGGTCGCCGCCCGAGCAGCCGCTGCGGGTGAAGGTGGTGGGGCTCTTCAAAAGCTCCAGCTTTCAGGTGGCGAAGAGCACTGCTGAGGTAACCGCGAGGAAACCGCACGTGTGGGCGGCCCTTCCGGTCTCCCGGTCTCGCGCCTCCTGGTGACGGGGGTCGATGTTCCCGGAGGTAGTAGGGATGTGTCCCGGCCGGCCAGGCTCAGTCCGTAAGTCCCAGGGGGCAGGGTCGGGTCCGGTGGACGTTCCACTTCGAGAAGGGCTACCTTTAAAGGGGGATCGGAGTGAAGGAAGGTTCAGAACCTTGCTGGGTGAGGGAAGGTAATCCCCCCCCTCCGGTTATCCACATATTTTATTTCCACATCAATTTTTACTTGCGTTATACATTTTTAAAAATTCATGAAAAAATGTTTAGGAAGAAGTGATACGGTATAACCAACCACTGATTTTTGTTTGTTTTTTGTTTTGTTACGAACTCCCTCCCCAAGCGATTTTTGAAAACTTCATTTGGGAAGTGTTTTGGGACCCCGTCCTTTAAATTTTCTCTGGCATATACTGCATTCGAATTAGGTGCTTAAGGGATTTCTCAACAAATGACCCACGAGTGCTTTGGAGAATCCAGATATTTCTTTGTAAACACACGGAACGATATAAAAGGAAAAACACTTTAAGCAACTGGAAGAACTTGGCCAGGTCCGCAGTGGTGCAGCACACATACTACCCAAATGCAAGAGAAATGTAGAATTCAGCACATCTTTGGGGTTTGCTCCGGGAACGCTACTGTTAAGATTATCCCCAAATTCTCTCTTTCAAAACCCCACCAGACTCTGGGACCATGCCCCATGCATGTTTGTGTATCCCAAAGTATCTAGCTGGATACCTGACACAAAATGTTCTCTAACAGAAGAAATCTTAAGCAACTCCTGCCTTCTTGCTGGCTCTAAGTCCACAAAGTTAAGGAAAAGTTTGTAATTATATCAAGCACAGAAATAGTAACTGTCGACCTTAAAACAGCCAGTTATTTTACTAGCAAAATGGGTACATTTGATAATAGCACAAGAGTTGCAATCTGGGGCATAGAAGCTATGGCAAACCGAGGCAATCTGGGAGATCAAAGGACAGGAACCTTATGGAGAAGAGGAGGAAGCTGGGAAGGGCTGCTCTGAAGAAAACTCCATTGACAGAAAGTGAGAGTTCAGGGTGGTGACAGTTTCTCACTGGCTGATTATCTTATTGGCTGCGCTTGGTGCGGAACAAGGAGACATTTTTCCCTTCCTTCTGCTGGAGGAGTAAAATAGACTTAGTCCTGTTGGGAATGCAAGGTTTGTCTCCTGACCTACTCGGGTCTGCGATTGAGGAGGCGTGGTGGTAAGGCATGAGAGCTCCCCCTTCTGGCCTCCCGACGCCATTTTAAGTGAGGTTTCCTTTGCTCAGTTTCAGAGTAATTTGTGGAACAGGTGAGGTTTATATCAAGAGGAGGAGAATAAGCAGTAAATCTGTGAAAACGATACATGGATCATCAAAATAAGCAGAAATTGTGGGCTGTTAACTGGACTGGTGGGATCTATAAAGTTCATGGCTCAAGCTGTATTTAATGAATTTAAGGAAAAATTTTTTCCCTTGTTTTTCTTTAGCTCCTTTTCTGAGGGCACAAGTTTTTTGGGCCTGCTCCACACTGTAGAGAAGGTGTTGGCAGTTTTATTCTGTAAAGCCTAGATGTTAAATTATTAGGCTTTCAGGGCCACAGGCTGTAGGGATCTCAGTCACAACTAGATTTTGAACAAAAGTGGCCAGACAATATGTAAATAAATGGTGATTTTCCAATAAAACTTAATTATGAATACTGATATTTGACTTGCATATAATTTCACATGACACGAAAGATGTCAACTTTTCATCTCTTTTCAACTCCTTAAAATCTGAAAATTCTTCTTAGCTTTCAAGTCTTAGAAAAACAGATTTGGCCTACTGGCCACAGCTTGCCTACAATGTCTTTGTTATATTAGTAACATTAATTTTCCCTTGCTTAAGCTTTGGCCTACTGTAGCTCTATTTGGAAATGAAAACCTATCACTGTATATTGAGTTAGTTTGACCTTAATAAAGGATATGGCTTTGAATAATTTCACAACATGATCATTTGGTGAGCAATCCTCATTACCTAATTTACTGTCAGAAATTTAGATTTGTGGAGGGTATTACATAGATTCTAATTTGGATGTAGTCTGTTCTAGACACTAAATTATGAAGAAAGTATGACGAAGTATGCTTAATTTGAAAACTGTTGGGCTTATTAGTTATTCCATATGGCCCCCAGTTAGAAACACAATTGCCCCAAACTGAGCATTGATCCTAGAATTGTGACAAAGGACACATCATCACCTGTTGGTTGGGCAAGAGTCTAAGAAGGAAATGACCCAACTGCTATTGCCCTCTGGTCCAAAGGGCAGGATACACTCACACCCTGGTTTCTCCCCCTTGGAAATCCACCCCGATGAAGCATGCCAGGCCAGTGTCCTCTTTTAGGCCACAGTCGGACCGCTAAGCTCTGTCCTTAGTGGAGATGGCGCCCAGTGCAGCAGCCAGCTGTCACTTTTCCCTGTTGGGCAGATCTCTTCCTCAGCCCCACTCAGAAAGGTGAGGCCTGTTCATGCCTCACCTGCCTTCTCTTGCTTAACCAGGAAGCAAAATGCAACATACCAGGAATTAACATTTTTTTTTTTGACAGGGATTGTTAACCAGTAAAAATCTCTGATCCATATAGACAAAATAATACATGTTAAACCAAAACATGCTCAGGATCTAAACCGAACATATTTAGTATTTACTTCACTTTTTCGCAAAGGGTGTAACCACACCAATATCCTTTTGGTCATTCTCCACATATCAATAAATTAATAACATCTGCTTTAGTTAAAAGTATCTGTAGAGGGAGGGGGATGGGTTAAACAGGGGCTGGGGATTAAGAAGGGCACTGGTCCTGGTGAGTACCCATTGATGTATGCAACTGTTGAGTCACCATATTGTACACCTGAAACTAAAAAAACACTAGTTAAAAAAAAAAAAGTAACATCTTCTTTCATTTAAAAAAAAAAATAATCTGTAGATCCACTACAGTTTAGTAAGAGTTTAATTTAGGGAAAAACTGGTCCTAAAAGAACATGGCAAATCACAAAATTTATTTGTTCATTTGCTCATTCATTTGCTATGTGTGGGTAGTCCACTGTGTGCCAGATGTTGAGACCACTGGGAGTACACGAAAACTACGACATACATAGTCTTGGCCCTCAAGGAGCTCATACTCTAGAATAATGAGAGGCAAGTAAGCCAGAGCCCCAGGATGAGCTGGGGAGTGACTTAATGGAGGTAAGCACAGGGGCCTCTGGGAGCAAGGGGGCATCTAAGCCAGATTGTGTGGCCTGGGTATGTGCTGTATAAAACCTGAAGCCCCCATAAAAAATGGAAATGATTTCAACTTTAAAAGAGAACTCACTCTAAAATAATTATTCTACTTTGAAACCTAGGCTCTGAAGACTAAGTATCCATCCAAATTTGAAGATCCTATAATAGTTCCTCTTCAAGAATTTGCATGGGATCAATATCTACAGGAGAAAAAAAGGGTAAAGGATACTTGGGGTATAGAGAATGAGCAAAGTTTTGCCTCAATCACTCAACTATGCATTGTTTTGGAAAAACAGGAGTACTGATTTTAGAGCAACTAGATTTAATTTCTCTAAATTATATACTTTTCCTAAATCATTTCAATCATTTTACCAGGCTCATTTTAAGAAAAAGTAAAACATTTACAGGATTTTCTTTTGGAAGCCATGGGATAAAGGTAAGTTTCAGACTCTCAGTGCTGCTAGTTACCCCTGCCAATGGTTAGCCTGCTCTCCCTGCACACTGCTTACTCACACTTCCTGTGACACCCGGGCACTTGTGGTCTTTACTCTGGAAGGTCTTGGTGGTCTACAGCACAGACACAGTGGGGGGCTTGTGGCCTTGGGAGCTCTGTGACAGGCACCAAGTTCCTATACGACTACCTTGTCCTAATTAAGCTTCCTCTCTGCCTTCTCCCCACTAACAGCACCCTTGGAAAACCCCGGGCCCCAGGGCTAGCAGAGCCTGCCTAGGGACAGCAGATACATTTCCTCTTGGGTGCCAACCCTGACCATTTGGTAATACTGCTTAGAACATGTGACACGAAGAATTCTAAGGTGGTATCCTGGCCCAGCCATACCTCATTCTGGGGTGAGGTGGGAATGGGGTACACTTCCTGCTTGCCATCCCTGGCCCAGAACTGTAAAGTCCCAGTCCTAGTTTCCCTGCCCCACCCCATCTCCGCAGTGGCTGATGAAATCCCATGTCCCCTGACCAGCGCTGGTTGCACGAGGATGTCCTGTGACCCTGTGGTCATCCTATAGATAATGCTGCTGTACAGTACCATGCCACTGTGCCGTCACATGAGTGCTACAGGACGGAGGGCACAATACATTTGTTAAGTCTCATACCATTTTCAGAGCCATAATACATTCTCATTGAATTCAGATAGAATAGTAGCAAACACCTACATATGGCGCTTATTATAGGCCACACACTATTCTTTGACCTAGGTATAGATTAACTCCAATCCTTACAACTGGGATGTCCAGTGGTCCTGCTTTGCCTTGTTCTGAGGGCTTTCCTGGGAGCCAGAATTTCAATGCTAAAGCTGGGGCAGTCCTAGACAAACTGACCGCTGGTCAGGACAGTTGGTTACCTTAACAAAAAATATGTTTTTCTTAATTTTTATCACCAAACTACTATAACTGCCTATGAGTCTCATGCGCTCCACCTACAGGAGAGCCACGATCTCGAGCTCTGTGGTCTGTACCCACTCCTCTTACAGATCCCACTGGATTCTTAGACCAGTGTGGATTCTCTTCTGCAGTTTCCTGTCATCTCAGCCTGGGTTACTGACCTTGGGATGTTTTGTGTTCTCTTCCTTCTGCTCTTCTCACGGGGCCCAAATGAGGCTTTCTAGGTAATCACCGCTGCTTCTCTCCATCTTTTCTTTATTCCCTATCCTTCCTTTCTTCCTTTTCCCACCCTCATCTCTTGGACACCTGTCATTTTATTCTTTTCTTGTTTCAGGCCAGGTTTTGTCCTTCCTCAATGTAAGCTTTGTGCACTGTGTCCTATGTGGTGCTTCTTAGCACATCTGAGGTTAGGTCTGGGCTGGCCTTATGTTTTAGCAGAATGTAATGCCTCCCCTGAGCGGTGGCTTCTGGGCCTCTGGGAAGGCCTTTCTCTCCCGTCTAAAAAGGGCAGCATCTTATGTCTCAGTGCTGGAAAGCCCCAGAAACCACTGGGTCCAGGCCATTATCTAGAGGCATAAGAGGAGGCCTCCTGCACAGAGGACACATGAAAATGAAGCATCCACATCATTAGGCTCCGAGTAAAGCATACCTTCTACTGCATTTCTCCTTCCAGGTTAAATAAATATCCATGTTAGCCATAGCTGGGATAAATAAAGGTCCCTTTTTAAAGTTACGTATTCTATAAAATGTGATAACACTGATAAATCTAAACAGTTTAGGGGCTATTGACCCGCACGCTTTATCAGTAATTTATAGTTCAGCATGAAGTTGTTTATTCTTTTCCTCGAACCAGTTTTTGATATGGGTGTCAGGATGGGATATGAAATCTGGGAGAAGAGCTGGGAGTGCAGTAAATTGGCAAGATGGAGGTAAACTGTTCCCCAAATCAGCAGTTCCCCAAGTGTGGTCTCCAGCCCTGCAACATCAGCATCTCCGGGGATGTTGTCAGACATGCAAATTCTCAGGCCCTATTCTAGAATCAGAAACTCGGGTGGGGCTCAGGAATCTGTAATTCTGCTTGCCTGCTAAAATTTGAGAACAGCTGTCCCAAATTATTCATACTTTTGCCAGGACTGGGACTGGGTCAAAATAAACCGGATCTTCCGAGGGGGCATTACTCAGGGTCACACACTAGGGATATAGGAGGTTGACCGTTAGTGTTTGGATAAACACACCAATGTACTTCATTTTAAGGGGCTTAGACTTAAAAGTGTTGACAAAGGTGAGCTCTCTCCCTCCTTACACTGGAGTGCACCAGAAGTCCCTGCTGGCCCCCAGGAGGCATTTCCTTTCCCTGAACCCACTCCAGGAGAAAATCATTCTTTCTATCCTTGGCACTGCAAACCATGCATTACTCAGAACTCTTAGCCTTTCCAAGTATACACACAGTAAAATGTACTCAGAAACAAAGCCAGAGACTATATTTTGTTTTCAAGTTGACATAACACGTATGCTATGCACAAAAATTATTACCAGATCACTGTCTACTTTTAATGACTGTACCATTTTTAGTATTACTTTTAGGTCCTTCTTTGCTTTCAGTGATGTCGGACTCTTAAAAATGTTCTTAAATTCTATTTGAGAGCAAAATTCTAAAAGATGGCAAAAAAATCCATTTTTTAAAAAGATTCAGTTAGAATCTATCCCAAGCTCTGGCTTGTGCTTATAGCAAGATAGGGTTCCCCCACAACCACGACCACAATACACTTTTTTTTTTTTTAATCCTTTTCCTTTATAGGAACTCAAGAATGAAATCTGGGAATATTCTTCCTATGTGATGTGTTTTGTTAATGATCAGCTCCTGGGTGATGCATTTGATCTTCAGAAATGGGCTCAGAAGATGTGGGATATAGTTGATTTTAAGCCCCCTGAACTTTATGAGGCACTTACTGTGGATTATGCTGCTAAATTCTTAACAGACACTAAGGTAAGTTACACTAATTTTTAAAGAAAAATAGTGGAATCTTTGATCATTTTATATTGATTCAGCATAAATTACTGATATCCTCACAAAGGAATATAAACGGTAGAACGATAGGTTTTAAGTTCTCCACGGTCTATAATCCAGTTGCAAAGGATTATATATAATATTGCAGGATTTGACTGAACAGTGTGCAAAGCAAGCATACCTCACAGCAGGCAGACTGCATGGGGAGAGCATCCCTGTTCAAACATTTCTACTCCCATTAGAGATTTATATGCATTAATTAGCCATTTTAAAACATCTTTAGCCTCCCCCTGCTTCAGAGAAGTTCAAGTGAAATCATTCATTCCCCTTTAGTATGAAAAATTTTAATTAGTACTTTCTAACACCTAAGTGAGAGGTACTGCACTAAGCAAATAGAAAATTTAAGAAAAAAGGCGATGTTTTAAATATTTTATTTGAGGGAGAGAAAAAAAGCATAAGTAGGGGGTGAGATGGGGTAGAGGCAAAGGAAGAAGCAATTCCCCACTAAGCAGGGAGCCCGACGTGGGGCTCGACCCCAGGACCCCAGGGTCATGACCTGACCTAAAGGCAGACACTTAACTGACTGAGCCACCTAGTCGCCCTGAAAGATGACATTTTAAATTATGACACATAGTTGGCAAGAGCAGGACCAGACAAGCTAAGGCCCTGGAGAGGTTTCCAATGGACAGTCATGAAGTCTGAGGTCCAGGAGGGTGAGAGACAGATATCAGAAGCTTGTTACAACACCAAGAACCACGTGCTGAAAATATTTCATTCTTATAGTGGCCTATGCCCACAGAAAGACCCAGTGCTAGGATTTGAGCCATAAAAAGGCAAAGACCTTTGTTTCCTTCATCTTCATTTAACTGTTAATTGCCTTAAGCACAATCTGAAACATAGTATGAACTCAGTAAATGTCTGATGAATAAACAATGTGCTTGGAAAATACTAGAAACTCTGTGGTAAGGGGGAGGAATGTAATATTCACAGCAGTTAATTCCTACAAGGACAAGGGTCTAAAAGTGCACGGTGTATTCAGGGAAGGGTAGGAGACAGCAAGGAGGCCAGAATAATAGGAAATGAGGATGGGAAAATGAGCATATCAGTCACCACCAATACCAAGCTACTTAAGGAGAAAAGGTATGCATTGAAAGGATATTGATAACCTCACAACTGACAGGAAAGCTGGAGAACCAGGTTTTGGAAAGCAGGTAGGAACCAAGGGAGGCCTGGCAGCAGGAAAACGTGGCCAGAGTCATGTTCCAGAAGTGTGCAGCTGGGATGCTGCCATGGGTGCCTGCTGGCCCTGTGTTCGCATTGCCACCTTCACTGAGAAGTACTTCTCAACTAGTGTCTTTGCATCATTCCCTGGAGATCCAACGCCCCCGGCAGGAGTACCAGACTAATCCAACCCAAGTCGTATCCCCCCACACCCTGGCTCTCACAGAGTTGGAGGGGAGGGAGAATAGTGTCTTTAGTGTCTTGAAAGGGTGGGGGTCCCAGAGGGAGTTCTCCAAATAGGAAACATCCCCAGATGTTAAGGAGGGGGAGGAAAAAAAACCCAAACAGATCCACTAAAGAAAGGTTGAACTTAGTCCATTCTGAACTCCATTCGAAACTTAGGAGTTAGCTTCTTTTCTAGAAGGGAGCTGAGCCAACAGAACTTTTCATAAAGAGTATGACTTAATCTTTGCTTTTTTGGAAAAAGTTTTAGGGCTGTGCAAAAACAGGGTGGAGTAGGGAGAGCTTGGTGGCAGGGTGATCACTTGGAACACTGCTAGAATAGTATGGTTTAGAGATGATGACAGCCTGAATTTACGGCAGTAAGGAGGAAGGACCCGGATTCCAGGGAAAATCTTTAAATTTTTTCGTGCAGAGGCTAGATTTTTCTTGCTGCAGGGACTTGTTTACTTCTGGTTTGCAATGATATGCCAGATAATTATGTTTGCATGTTTGGCTGCTAGGGGACATTACCTGGTGTTGTGCTTATTTACTCTTTCATTAAAACTGTCAGAATTATCTACTCTTGACAACTGCATAAAGATAATATATTGACACAGAGGGAAGTTTAATGATGCCTGAATGGACTTACCCATTTCGTAAATGAATCGTGATTTCTAGTGTATCATCTTTTTCTGCCCAAGCCTGGGATGTTTACTATGTTATGCCTCTTACAATAAAGTTATAATAGTCTCTTATAATTTAGAACTTGTAGTACAGAAGCTGAGAGGCACAAAAAAGTTAATCATAATTACTATGGACATAATACTACATTCCTGGGTGCCAGATAACACAATATTATTACAGTCTCTTAATTTAAAAAAAAGGCGTAAGTGACATAAAGTAGTGACAGTGATACCATAAAAGTGATTTTATTTATATTTCCTACGTTCTTAAGAAATAGGGCAGGGCAAGTTATGCAGCCTGTTAAATCAGGTGCCATCTTTCTGTATGAGAATGGTGTCCAAGAATTGAAATGTACCCCATTTAGATGTGCTCTGTTCCCTAAATGAACGCTACCATGATGGAGACCGTGTTTTCATTCTGGATGCCTCTTTGTAAAACTAGATGAGATCACACAAACGTTAGCTGTCTCTACCAGAAAGGATGCCAGATGAAAACGAGAGCTGGGAGCATCTGGGAGCATGAGATCATGACTGAAGTAATACGAAAGCACAGCATATTCTCTTCCCTTCCCCTGGTCCCATACCTCCTATGGATATGATGTCCTTGTTTTCCCACCCGGAAAAGACGTGGCCTGGCTCTGGGTAGCTCCTTGGTGCTCTCTCTCAAACTCTAGCACACATGTAACCAAACCCACGACACTCGTGCTGGATGTTTCCCAAAATTACTCAGAACAGAAAATTCCCAAAGGGACCCACTAGTGTTCCTTTCCACATCTAGCTTGCAGTGTAGGGGATAACTAGGCCATGTGTTCTCAGTCTGGCGTGCAGGTAAAGGTTATTCAAAGCTTCACTACTAAAGGGTTTTAAAGAGCATGTTATTTAAATAGGTTGGAAAGACTTGATATAATAAAATGAAACAAACTTCTTTAAGTTATTCCTTTAACCTTGCTGTTACATTATACACTGTTGATGCTTTTGAATTTTTTTTTTTTTTTTTGGTCAGAGAGCGAGCGTGCGCACAAGCAGGGGTAGTAGCAGACAGAAGGATAAGCAGGTTCCCCACCGAGTAGGGAGCCCAATGCAGGTCTTGATCCCAGGACCCTGGGATCATGATCTGAGCTGAAGGCAGAGCTTAACTGATTGAGCCACCGAGGTGTCCCTGCTTTTGAAATCTTATCACCAAAAACATTATTCTGTGGTATTTTGGGTCATTTCTAAGACTTTCTTCTAAGATACTGACCTGCATTCTCTTTTTCTCACTAATTTTAATAGCATGCTTTTGTGTTCTTGGACATTTCTATTGATTTTTATCCAACTGGAAGACTGGTTTTTGAGGTAAGAGGCTTTTTGTTGTTCTTATTTTTGCAATTTTTTAATAAGTAGGAGGTGGAGGTAAGAACTGTAACTGTCAAAATACTAAATATTTAATCTTTGAAACCTTTTATTTTTATTTGTAGCTCTACTGTGATGCATGTCCCAAAACATGTAGAAACTTTCAAGTCTTGTGCACAGGAAAAGCAGAGTATTCTCAAAGTGGAATCAGGCTACATTACGTAGGTTCAATTTTTCATCGAGTAGTACCGAACGGTTGGATACAAGGAGGAGGTAAGCTGAAAATCTTAAATGCAACTTAATTATAACATCAAATCAGAATGTCCAGAATTTTATCTACCTTTGTGAAGTGCGTATAGAATTACATATATTTATATTAGATAATACATATATTGAAAGGATATTTTATATACCCGAATGATTAAGATATTCATACTTTTAAAAAATGTCCTAAATTTTGAAATAAACAAATCTATAAAGTTTTGTTACACAGAATATTCCAAATTAAAAAGTGATACAAGAAAGGAAGATACCTTTTATATAAAAAATATCATTTTAAATGTTCATCTAAATAGGGGCACCTTGGGGCGCCTGGGTGGCTCAGTCGTTAAGTGTCTGCCTTCGGTTCTGGTCACGATCCCAGTGTCCTGTATCGAGCCCCACATCAGGCTCCCTGCTTGGCAGGAAGCTTGCTTTCCCTCTCCCACTCCCCCTGCTTGGGTTCCTGCTCTCATTGTCTCTCTGTCAAATAAATAAATAAAATCTTTAAAAAAGTAAATAACTAAATAAATAGGGGTGCCTGGGTGGCTCAGTTGGTGAGCATCCAGCTCTTGATTTCGGTTCAGGTCATGATCTTGGGTCATGAGATCGAGCCCCTGAGTCATCGAGCTCCACAACAGGCTCCATGCCCAGTGTGGGGCTTGATGAAGATTCTCTCTCTCCTCTTCCCGCACCTCTTTAAAAAAAAAAAAAATGCTCACCAAAATAAATAGGAGTACCTAGAAAATACAGTGCTTTTAAGACACATCCTAAAGGTAGGAATTTGAAAATAACTTATTTCTCACCAAAGGTGTTACATCGTTGCAGTATAAAAGAAAGAGGTAAAGCATTTTGTTCTCCATTTTTGCTTTCTTTTCAGGTCAGTCCTTTGACTTCACACAGACTAGGTCTCTGACTAACAGCACAAAATTAAATTTCAAAGGCCTTTTGGAAGGTATCCCACAGGGAACAATCAGGCAGCAATTTTAAAATAATTGGCTTAGAGTGTAAGGAGATTTGCTTGAACTTGATGAAATACGCAGAGGCTTAAAATTAATAATGCTTAATTATTTTTCTACAATCTGGAACATTCTGAGGCTGATGAGAAATATGCCAGGCATTTGTATGAAAATTAACTGTTTTTCCCTCAGTTTCTCCAAAACTGAGATCCTATCACCCATAGTGTTATCTAACCTCATTATTTTCTCACTTCATATACATGTATGGTATGTCTTCTGTGTCAACAAACATAAACATGTACAATTTTTAGGGTATGTCTAGTTTTTCATATGTTGCTATACTAATTTGCAGTTGGCTCCTGAACAATAAGGAATTTGAACTGTGGGGGTCCACTGATTTTTTACAATACAGTACTGTAAATGTATTTTCTCTTCCTTATGATTTTCGTTTATTTTTATTTATTTATTTATTTGAGAGAGTGAGATAGAGAGCATGAACAGGGGGAAGGGTAGAGAGAGAAGCAGGCTCCCTGCTGAGCAGGAAGCCCAATGCGGGACTCAGTCCCAAGATCCTGGGATCATGGCCTGAGCCAAAGGGAGACACTTAACTGATTGAGCCACCTGGACGACCCTTTTACTTTCAAAGATTTATTTATTTGAGATAGAGAGAGAGAGAGAGCGCGCACGTGCGCACATGCGGGGCAGGGGCAGAGGGAGATGGGGAGAGAGTCTTAAGCAGACTGTGCTAAGCACGGAACCCCATGTGGGGCTAGATCTCATGACCTGGAGATCATGACCTGAACCAAAACCAAAAGTTGGAGGTTTAACTGACTGTGCCCCCCAGGCACCCCTTCCTTATGATTTTCTCGATAACTTTTTTTTCCCTCTAGCTTCCTTTATTGTAAGAATACAGCATATAATACATAAAACACACAAAATATGCATTGACTATTTATGTCACTAGTAAGGCTTCTGGTCAACTGTAGACTATTAATAGTTAAACTTAAATTTAATTTAACCCCTGCATTGTTCAAAGGTCAACTGTAACTAATTCCCCAGTGGTGAACATGTAGATTGTTTTCAAGTATTTTTTGGTATAAAACCATCCTCAAGGGGGCCAATCTCAGGGTCTCCTGAAACTTAGTTCAGTGTTGACTATTATGTTCTGAGCTCTCAGATGCTATGTTTTTTGTTTTATTTGGTTTCTGGTTAGAGATGCACCTCCCCTTCTAGAGCCCCAGTGCAAGATTTGGGAAAAGTGGGTAATATGACTTGTTTACTTATTTGAAATAAAATTTCCAAATAGTAGCATGCACAGATCTCGGTTCATGATTTCAAATGACAAAGCACCAATGTTAGTTAAGGACAGTTTGAGAACAAGTGCTGATTACTAGATTCAAACCCAACTGATATATACCAGTTGTTCCACTTAGGACGTAGGCACTTAGCATCTCTGAATCAGCTTCTTAATCATAACATGGGGGAAAGTATGAGATCATAGGACGTGGCAAGGATTTAGGATTCAGTGACATGGTATATTGGAAGTACCAAGCTCTATAAATGTTCTCCCTTCAGATACCAGATTTGCACAGGACTGTGGGGAGAATTTTGGAATATGGTTAATGTGGTTTTATGCTAAATGTGTTTTTGTGCTAAATGTGGTTTTGTGCTGTGCTGGTTTTGGGCTGTGCTTCAGGATGCCTCCCAACACTGCTGGTTGCCTGATGGGACCAGCAGGGCCTACCTGGTCTACACTCCCCCTGGCCTCACCTCATCCTCTGACATCTCCCCTTGCTCTGCTCCACACACTGGCCTCCTTGCTGTTTCCTAAGCACATCAAGCATACGTGAGCTTAAGGTCTTTTGCTTTTCCTCTGCCTGGGACACACCCCACCCAGCTATGCCTCAGTGAGCCCCTTACTTCAGCCTCTAATCTGTTTTGGATTTTTGCCCAGAGTTCATCTCAGCAAGACTTCCTGACTGTCCTATTTAAAACTGCCACTTTCCTATCCACACAGGTCTCCTCACCCACTTCCCTGCTGCTCTCCTATCCCCTAATTTTTATTTTTAAAATATTTTATTTTGGTTCATAGCACTTTTCATCACTGGACATACTATTACATATTTCCTCAAGAATTTGCTTAGGGTCTGTTTCTCTTCATTAGACTATAAATAAGTTTCACGAAGGTAGAGGATTTTATCTATTTTGTTCACTGTTATATCCCCAGGTTCCAGAACAGTGCCTGGTATATAATAAATTCTTAAAAAAATACTGTTGAAAGGATGAATAAATAAAAGGACAGATAAATAAGAAATATACATTCTACTCATTTGTAAAGTACAAAACGAAAGAAGATATCAAGTCATGAAGCCACTTTGGTGGGATTCTCCGTCTGTGGCTCCCACAAGGCTTACTGCTTTCCGAAGGACTTCTTGAGATAGAGTTTAATACATTTTGTCATCATCATCATCATCAATATAATGAGGGTGCGGATGGTGGTAATGAGAAGATGCATTCCCTAAGCATGCAATTGCTGCATGACCATGGCCACCCGTGAACGAGCCTGATGCTCTGCCCGGCATTGCACTAAGTGCTGTCAGTAGAACGTGATTTCCTTTAATCCTCAGGATTACCTGCAAGACACTGACCATTATTCCTGTCTATACAGATGAGAAAAAAACAGGCTTGAAAAAGGTAACTAACATCAAGATTGAAATCAAAGTCATCTGATTTTAAAGTTTACTTTGGACCACTACTCTGCATTGTGGAATTTGTCATCAGAAGTACCGAAATAACATTAGATATAGAAGGCTGAATTCAAGTACTGACTGAAAGGGTGTCAATATAAAATATTTCCCTGGGAGATGGGAAGCAAAGGGCAAGAGGAATGGTGGGTGTTCTAGAGAGACAGGGCAAAGGAGTACCACAGATGCTGAAGTGAGTCAGTAGCGGTGGCAAACCACAGGCAGATTTGTCTGAGCAAACTGAACTCTACGATCAGAAGGAATTGGTGCTGGAGGACCTTCAACTTCCCCAATCCTGGATTTAGTTTTCAGCCACTGCAGTGTGCTCCTGAGAGATGCCGAGGGCTCTGGGTGAACCATGCGGGGAGTATCAGACAGAGCAGGGTTGAAGACTTCCAGCTCAATGATCAACTTGAGCCCGTTCATGAATGGAATTTAAATGCCACATGCCTGTCCTGAATCAAATCTCTACGCGTGCTTGCTGTTGCATCTGATTTCTTTGAAACAGTGCACGTTTATTATAGGTAACTCACTCACATGAGTTAAAATGGCACAGTCTTTCAACAGAGATGTATTGTATGCTGTGCTCCAGGAAGGTGAACGAGAGAGAGGAAGAAGTAAAGAGGTGCTGATGGGGAGGCTGGGGGTACAGAGCTTAGAGACCCTTGTTTCTACTAGAATCCGCTATTTCCAGTAGTCTGTTCTGTTTCCCTTTCAGCTGTGGATGGAGAAAAAGTCACTTGTGTGTGGAGGACGTTTACAGTAGCAGCGCTGCCTGAGCCCAACTACGAGCATGATGTGCACAATGCAAACTGGGACATGATAAATACTTGTTAAAAAAATCCTCCTCATTACGTTATAAGGGAACTTCCTTTCCAGAATACTGGCTAAATAAATGAATTATCACACTGGGGGTTCCAAGGAATGAAAATTTGAACACTGACTCTTTTTAGAGCATCTATTTTTATTCCTCCTCTAAAAAGACCTCACTGATCCTATTTCATTTTCTCAGTCTGGTCTTTCCATTTTTCTGAAAAGCAAGAGGGACTATGGAATAACTTGTGAGGCAAGCAGAATTTATATGAACACACTTCCTTTAAATTGTGACCACAATTATAATTAAATATGTCATCATTTCAAAGGTTCTGCATTATAATTTAGCATACTTCAAAGAGTTATTATCAGGGGAAATGGAATCATGAGTGTTAAAGTGCTTACAAAATGCAAGTGAAATCACTATAGTAATATTTTCATGGTTTAGATATTAAACAATTATGTATCATAACTTACTCTAGTCATTGGTATAAATGGAATCACAATTTAAAGCTTTTTCCTCCAGCCTTTACTCTATCTCTTTTAGGCTCAAAATTCTAATGTTTGCTCATTGTTATTTATCAGATATAGTAGAAGGAAGAGGAGATGATGGAGAGTCGATTTACGGACCAACGTTTGAAGGTATGTGTCTTTAAATTCTGTCAGTCTATATCAGCTGATAAATCTAACAAGACTGGATGATTCACAACTCCAAATAAGATGGTGTTTGGGATAACAGTGAAAGTGGGAGTTAAAAATGGAGTGGGGGAAGGTACCCCAGTCCAGTCGAGAACAGCTTTGTATACACATTTTTTTCCCTTGCCTAATTATATTATTCCTTTAGGCTAAATTCCTAGCATTAGTATTGTGGGGTCAAAGGGAATTTATATTTTTAAGCCTTCTAATTTGCCATGCCCGTACTCAGAATTTGGTACCTTGATAATCATCCCATTAAGACTGATGTTGGGGATCCTTGGAAGATGGGGTCGTGGTGATGGCATAGTTTTTGAATTTTTTGAAATTCCAACATAAAAACAGACTGTGTAAGTAGACAGAAAAACTAAAAACCCATGGATGACATTTACAACATAACTAGGTGACAACGTATCTAAATGAATTCTCAATACAAACAGATGAGGACAAACTACCTATAGCTATGAAATGTGCATGGTGTCGGCATCCATGTGGGAGAAAGCAGCACTTCTGGTTGACTCGAGAATAGCAGAACTTCAAAATAGCCAACAGTGTAAGAGGTCCCTGGTAAGGTTTGAGGCTGGAGCAGGCTAACCTCTCTGAACTCTTGAAACTGATCTGAAAGGGCACTCTTCCAGGACAGGCCCACGATGAGGAGACGTTACTGTGAATGGAATCAAAGTTATGCAGCATAGCGGGGCAACAGTGACAAAGGGAATGGGGACAGAACCAGGAAATCGCAGAAAGCAAGTTGCCATATTGTCGAACACTACATGAAAACAGCACAAGAGGGAGCTTTGTGAATTGAGAAAAGCGACCTCCTAAACACGTAGGAAACCTAATTTTATATAAAAACTGGCAACAAAAAGTTTCACGGTTATTAGAAGTAAAAGAGAATAAAGAGCAGAGGAACATCATACAGATCATAAAGTACACTAGAAAGACATGCTCACAAAACAGATCAAAACTGTACAAATTTTCAGAAAGAGCCAGAAGACATAGAGAATATGATACAAGACAGGAAAGAACTCATAAGTCAGAATTAGAAAAACTTAGAGGTTACAGAACTAGGGAAGAATTAGCAGTAAAAGAACATTTCAGAAATAAACTCGAAGGAACATAGGTCAAATAAACATGACAGATATGCATGTCTTAAAAGAAGTAAAAGGTGGAAGGAGGGAATTTTTAAAACCAAAAAGTAATGAAGATAAAAGGATTTATAAGAAAGTGACAAATAGCTAGAAAGAGAAGATCCAACATATGGATGGCAAGTTGTCCCTAAAGGATTAAATGAATGCAAGGGAATGGACAAAATACTAAGAACTAACATTGAAAAAAAACTGTCCTGAATTTAAAAAGGATTTGATGAGTTTCACACAAATTATGAGAGAGACCTTGACATCAAGATTGGTGATGAGCAGTAATCACATAGTTACTGTGAAACTAAAATTTAATGAGGAATAAAGGGTGAGAGTATGATATATAATGACTATATCTTTAGCCTACCTTTTCAAAACTGAAAGAAAATGTAGAGAACGTATGCAAAAATTTTAAACTATTTTCAGTAATTACACTGGTGATGGTATTATTTTGAGACTTTTATATCTGTAATAGGAAAAAGTAAGTAATTATAGGATTTCCTAAATTCATTATTTCATGTGTCCTTGAGAATCATGATTTTCAATGTGCAAGAAGGGAGATACAAATGAAATATGACAGAAGCCAATAAGTCAAATATTCTGTATTGGAAATACCAGTTTAAACTCACAAAGTATCATATCTACCTGTATAGCTCTATAAACTGAATTGGACAAAGACTAACTTAGTAGCATCACACACTCCTAGCATTTAGATTGGTGTTCTGAAGTGTTATTTCTCACTTAAAGAAACCAGGGTTCCTAGGGGAAATGACAGGTTTCAGTTCCAGGACAGCACATAACATTACAAAATGAGCCTTGAAACTCATGTTTAGTCATGCTATTATCAGATAGCAAGAAAGCTATTAAAGATTTACTAGGGTCATGTCAAAGGCCTCGGGAGACAACTTGAAAAGGCTCTCACTGGCCAAAGATTTGAACTTCAAAAAGAATAGTAATCGCAAATAATTGAAACCCAACAAATATTTTAAATCCATGAATTCATAATGACATCATATTATAAAATAAAGCCTAATAGCGTATCTTTGAGGGAATGATGGGAAACAAATCATTATCTTAAAAACTGATAAACAAAAGCAAAGAATCAAGCATTTATCTTGCCTTTCCTATATGAACTGTACCAAATTGTAGGTAAGAGAAAATTGCTACTTACAAGAGCATTCCAATAGATAGATGAGAAAGAAATAATAGAATTAGAATAGTACCATTTTGCTGCCCCCAGTGAAATAGTGGATCTAGGCCTTTGCTGCATTGTTATCTGCTAACTTCACAAAAACAGGGACAACCAGACATTATAAGCCTTCTGTGGAGAGAACGCACCACCAAAGGGACAGAACATGAGTTTGATTAAGCCTCTGGACCCAGCCAATCTGTAGGAAATACAGCTAGTTCTTATGTCATGTGGTCCTAAAGATCTCTGCACTATGAAAATCATGCATTAAAAACTGCAGGACTTATGGCAAACGTGAAGTACCAAAAAACCCTTCCTCAGTGACACATTAAAATATAGAGTAACCTCATAAAACCAGTAACAGTTTAACATCTATTTTATGGTCAAGAAACACAGAAATACTAGAATGAATTTGGCACTCTACCTCGAAAGCTCCCTGACGTTTGAGGAGGTGGTGTGGGAAGAGGTGTAGCTTGTGACTGATTGTGAAGTGGTGGAAGGAGGGCTGAGATTGGAGGCAAGCTGTAGCATCAGATGTGGTTGGCACAGCTCATACTGAGGTCACCTGTGGCGGATGTCTGAGGTGTGGGTGTTTCGATGCAGCTCAGTTCAGCTGCGAGCCATTTTCTACATTTACCTGGTGTTTCTCCTAGACAGTGCACATAAACGTGGGCAAGATTCGTTAAGCTCAGATGTTGCCAATATATCAAACAAGCTGAAATTGACTTGTCCTCTCAACATAAGTATTACAGGCAAGAGAACAGGACAAAGAACACAGAAACATACTGAAATGCCCATGCACGTGCAGTCAGCAAACTTTGGACTGGGAAAAATTCTAGAGGTTAAACAGCTCAGGTTTATTAACAGATAAAGGTAAGTAAAGGAAAACAGCAGTCTCTCTCTACTGAGTTAAAAAAAAAAAAAAAAAGTAAAGGGATAGACGCAGACCTTGAAGATTAAGAGACTTAAAAGGCATAACAAGTGTTTTAAAATGGTAAAGACTGGGGAACCTGGATGGTTCAGTTAGTTATGCATCTGCCTTCAGCCTGGGATACAGGCGTGCACTGGGCTCCCTGCTGAGCAGGGAATCGGTTTAGCCCTTCTCCCCCCCACCTCTTCCCCTGCTCTCTTTCCCTCTTAAAATAAATAAATAAAATCTTTAAAAAAAATAATAATAAAATGGCAAAAACTATACTACCTAGTAACTACTAATAGCTGTGGACTAACTACTAACACTGTTGACCTGAAGCCTTATCAAAAACACAAACAGCTGATTAACCATTTTCTCTCATCCAAGTACTAACCAGGCCCGACCCGGCTTAGCTTCTGAGATCAGACGAGATGGGGCACGTTCAGGGTGGTATGGCCATAGACTGATCAACCATTTTCTTACAATGAAATAAGCTAAAGAAAATGTTAAGAAAATCATAAGGAAGAGCAAATACATTTATAGTTCTGTACTGCACTGAAAAACATCCGCATATGAGTGGATCCCTGCAGATCGAAGCTAGTGGTATTCAAGGGCCAAGTGTATAAGGAAATATTAAGCATGAGAGCATTTCAAAATCAGGGAAGTGGTTACTTTTGAACTAGACAAGGCACTTTTGGGAAAGCGGGCCTGAGTGGGGATGAAAAGAGTGTTTCCCTTATAGTAACTAATAATAACTTTAATTATATGTTAGTTTTCTATGGCTTTTGTGTCTAAATTTTAATACAATGAAAAGGTTTTAAAAAAGTAATATTGAACCAATACCAAAGTGAAGGAAAAGGAAAAGCCAATTTCCTTCTAAGTGCACGTGGAGCCAGCTTTATCAAATGAAACCGGGCAACTGACATCATTTATTTATTTATTCATTAATAAACATTCAACTCTTGGGAGCCTACATGGTGCTAGGGCCTTAGGAAACAAAGATGATACGACCAAGCCTCTGGCCTCGAAGATTTTAGGTTTGGTGCAGACAGACACTCAAAGGGATTAGCTACTGGCACGGTGCCAACGGCGGTTACGGAGGAAGAACTGGGCGCTGCTGGGAGAGCTGGGGGCGGTGGCCCAGAGTAGCTTTTGAGTTGGGTCTTAAAACATTGCAGATGGGGAAGGGATGTTCCTGGATGCTTTCCTAATAAGCTGAATCCCTGATGAAAATCCCCAGTATGGGACCACCCCACGGCTGCTGTCAGATCACCTGGAGTCCTGTTCAGAGGCACCGTCTCAGACAACTTGGGCCTTCTGTCCAGCAGGAGATACATCTCTTAGCTCCTTCCTTGCCTGCCCCCTGGACAGCCTGTGCCTCTGGTGACTGTCCCGCACTCTTATCCTTACACTGTTACAGAGGAGGCGACTGTCCTCTGGTGCCGGGGGAGGCCCAGTGTGTTCAGGGAAGCCTCCATTACTCAGGATATCTGCGGGGGCAAGATTAGAAACTCAGTAACCCAGCAACTGAAAAGGAGAGATGCCCCCAAGGAGAGATGAGTAACTGCTCAGCACAGCAAAGCTTTGCTGGGTTTCCTCCCTCATCCACCCCCCTGGGGGTATGTACACAAGGGCCAGCCAGTCCTTCCTCCTCCGCATGTCTCTCATTGAGCCCTGTTACCACAAGCTGCAGATCTGAAACCTGGGGCTTGCTAAAAAATGACTACAACCACTAAACTCACTTTTATTAAGCTAAGCACAGTGAATTTAAAAGAATGTAATAAATAATAATTAGATGATTGTTTTATAAATCAATCATTTTTTTTAACTTGAAGCAATTCTGTTTTGCTTTGTTTCAAATTGCAAGTTTTTAAATTGTCTCCCCAAATCCTATTCTGAATGTTAAGAAACTGAATATTAGCCCTTTCTTTTCTCCATGTATAATATCCCTAATCCTTCTCCTGGCCAAGAATTGGCAGTTAAGTGGTTTGGGCTGACTAGAGAAAAATGTCATTTATATAAAAAGCAAAAGAAAAATATTTTAAAATATTGGGTTATTCTTGTCACGTTAAGTAGACCAGTTTGTTAATGTTAGCTTGTGCCCTAATTCACAGATACAGCACTTAATATCCATTTGTCTAGTTCTTCGATCTCCTTGCCTTTAAATGAAAGTGTTCAGGGTACCTGGGTGGCTCAGTCGGTTAAGCATCTGCCTTTGGCTCAGGTCATGTTCCCAGGGTCCTGGGATCGAGCCCCATATCGGGCTTCCTGCTCAGCGGGGAGTCTGCTTTCCCCTCTGCCCCTCACCCTACTTATGCTCACTCACTCTCTCTCTCTTATAAATAAATAAAATCTTTTAAAAAAGTGAAAATGTTCATGAATAAATGGCACACAGCCTGATGGACTGTCAGTACTGAATAACTGAAAACAGTACAGTCTAGGTAGCCATTTAAGGGCTATTTATTTTTTTAAGAATTTTGAGACTTCTATATGGAAAGTGCATATGTACAATTAAGACATAATTTTAAAGCAAATCCCCTTGACATTTTTTAGCAATGTCAAGAAAGAAAATTTGCCAGCTTACCAGAAGCACCCTATCTGTCCATCCTCAGCAATACTCCACCTCCCTCGGAGGTAACCACTAGCCTGCCCTTCTTCCTTGCTTTCCTTGATAGGTTCACCACCCAGGTAGGCATCCCTAAACAACAGAGTTAAATTTTGCCTGGTTCTGAATTTTATGTAAATGGAATCACATTGTAGGCATTCTTTTTGTCTTACTTCTTTTGTTCATCCACTGCCTATGAAATTCATTCACGTTCTCTATAGCTGGAATCCTCTCACTGGCACTAGTGTTCAATGTTATAAACGTACACTAAGTGTTTATCCCCTTAAGTGTTCATGAATACTGGCTATTCATTCCTAATGTCACACACAGGATCAACATGTGTACTTACAAATGCTTCATTAAAGCAACAATTAAAACATGCCAAGTAGCACCAATTCATGTACTTTTATGTAATAATAAAGAGTATATAGCTGTTATTATTTAAATATGATAGTAAAAATAGAACATTTGGCTTACAAAATTAATATTGCAATATTCAGGTCAGATTTTTACTTGATATGACTGCCTTCAGCAAATTATATGGAAACGTCCTAAACTATCTGATTATACTTTCACCAGAGAGAATGCACGGCAGCTTTCCCAGACTTGTGGTAGTTGCTTCCTTTATAAGCATCAGAAAGACTTTATTTGAAACAGATTCAGACACTGATTTTCTTCAGCCCATAAATTGATGTTTTTTCCATAAATTCTGATTTCTATTTCAAATAGTTACATGTTGCCCTTCCCGTTGTATGTTATAAATGAGGCCAGTTTTGACCACAGAGCAGTAACTACGATTCCTATTTCATGGTAAGTGGCAGAGGCAGGAATTCCTGAGTCACAGACAACGGAATGAGAGGCTCCTGAGATCCTACCATAGCTTTTAAACTTCCTTCCATGCCTCAATTAACATGACCTAAAAATAAAATTATTATTAATTATGCTAGTTTAGCCAGCTCTCAAATTTTAAAATTTTTCTATTTTTACCCAGCAACAAAAAAGATGTTTTTTGTTCTTCCTACTTCACTTTCTGGTAGGTTGTTGAAATGTTTCCTTTCCATTCAGGGCTGCTGATAGAGTTAAACTAATCTAGAACAGTTAATTATCCCATTCAGAAAAAGTTGGGAGGGCGTGAAGGGTTGGTTGAATAAGGATCCATTATTTTCCCTATCCTCAAAATATTATGTGAGCACATTAAGTTTACATTTTTTATATAACTGGAAAGTCTGAAGCTCTGCACTTAACCCTCAGAACATACTAGGCACTGTAAAAATATTTGTCAAATAAACAAATGTTGACTTAAACCCGGGATTTTCACTCTCCATCTTGTTACTGATAAAAAAAAAACCCAAAAAAACAAAAAACAAAACTTCTCTATTAATGTAAAAATACTGTTCGGATAGTTACTTTTCAGGAAAGCTTCTCTAAGGACAGAATTTTATGTGGACCTCTATTTTGTCACTGGTTCTGGTCTTTAAGTAGATAATCTGTTCCTGCAAGGCTGGGGGTCCACTCCATACCCCAAGTGAGCTGTGAAGGAGGCACCAAGGGCCCCGTCCTAGTGGCAGCTCATGCTGAGTTCATATGGGAGGGGTCACTACAATCTGTTTCAGAGCAGAAACTCCCACCAGTAACTGTGTAGAGAACAAGAAGGGGAGGGTTGGCTCCCCTCCCCTCCGTGGGAGCTTTCCAAGAGTAGAAACGGGTGGAATTCTACCCAAGGGCTTTACCTGGTGTGGCAGAGTCACCAGCTGAGTCCCCTCTGTTGTGCCGTCACTGCCAGTCTTGAAGTGACAAGCCTCGGGTCCTTAAGTTCCATGGCAGCACTCTGTTAAAACAATCATTATCATAATTATTTAATTTTCACACATTTTTTTGAGGTGAACACATTTTAAATTTGTAAGTTAAGGGCTGCCTATACCTACATATTAACTTTAAAAGTTAATGAAACTTTAAAAGTTCTCCCATAATTACAGAATTTGGGGTAAAAAAATGTTATGCTATAAAACTTTCTTTTTTAATGTTTACAGAATTTAAAAAACATTTATCATATATCTAAGAACAATGACATATCGTTTTGTTAAAACTCTGAATCTTTACTTTGGGCAAAGTAATTTTCTATAAAATTAATGGATTATTTCTTAATTGCTCTGAAATGAATACGGAATTATACAGACTCGTTTGTACAAAAGTGCTTTATTTGCATTTCACAAGATTTCAGAGGTTTTTACTCAGTTGCAATTTAACAAGCTAAAAGCTACTACTACGGATATGGCTTAATTGCTTAGTTGGTTTAGCTGTGAAACTTCAAATGCTTAGCAACTGCATCTTCAGAAAATCTTGACACTTAATGCTCATACCTCTCAATTACTCCCAGAATCTAAGGTTATTGAATGAAAGCTTTTCATGAATTTCTCTTCTACCACTTCCTTCTGTGTTTTTGAGTTTGGAGGTAAAAGTAACCTCATGCTAGAAATGCCACATCCTGAAAGAACAGCTTGATTCACCACTATACACTTCTCTTCACTTGTTAACTTGACACACACACACACACAAAATAAAAATAAAAATCACTTTCCACAAAATCTTGGTCAATCTATATAAAGTTTGAGATTAAAATTTATTTAAAGACTCCAAAAAAAATTATGAATCCCCTTCGTTTCATCACCAACATTTAAGCCCACATACATACCAGTTAATGTACTAGGAGGCCCTAGGAGTAAGGCTATCCTGAGACAAGGTGCCTGGCCTGCACACACTAGAGAAGAAAAGCCATGTGAACGATGGCACGGGTCATAAAGACGACCACAGAGGTCTGTATAAGATGCTGTGAGGGGAAGGGTCAGATCCAAAAGCCATCTTGAAGAGGGTATTTTTAATGATCACATTGGTAGTTTGAATGAACTACTACTGCCAAACAGAACAAAAAAATGTGCTGACCTTTATTCCTCAGCAATGTACTTCCTTTTACATTATTAATTTAAAGCACTTCCTTTTACATTATTATTTCTTAGCACACTTGTTTTTAGCTACAATAATGATAAAGTAAATATAGAAAAATGTTCAAAATAGTTCTAACGAAGATTTTCTAGCTTATCTTTTTTAACAGCCCAGTTGGAGTGAAATATGAAACAATATAATTTGGAAATATTTTAATGAGCTACCATTTACTGTCTTTTCTAGATGAAAACTTTTCAATTCCTCATAATAAGAGGGGAGTTCTTGGAATGGCAAACAAAGGCCGTCACACCAACGGGTCACAATTCTACATCACACTACAGCCAGCACCCTATCTAGATAGAAAATATGTGGCTTTTGGGTATGTACACTATAAGTTTGTCTATATAATATATATATATATGTGTGTGTCTATATATGTCTATATAATATAGATATATATGTATGGTTTGGGGCAGCTGGGTGGCACAGTCAGTTAAGTGCCTGACTCCTGATGTTGGCTCAGGTCATGATCTCAGGGTTGTAAGACTGCGACCCAAGATGGGCTCACCATGGAGTCTGCCTGTCCCTCTCTCTCTGCTCCTCTCCCTGTTCATGCTCTCCCTCTTCAAATTAAATAAATAAAATCTTTTTTAAAAATGTGGTCCACATAGTTTATGGATAACTGAAGATACAATTTAAAAGCAAAAATAATACAAATAGAGACAAACATTTAGAATAAATATTTCATAAGAAGCTTGCTATCTATAAAAAACACAGAAACCATTAAGGTCCAGCCATTATAATGTCCTGACTATCCATCCTTCTATCTTCAGCCTCAAGGATATTGTCATTCTTATTTACTATGAGCAATACCATAGTGCTTAATCACATAGAAATATTTAGATGCAGAAGTGAGGTGAAGCCATTTAAGTGCCTGTCCATGAACACGGTGAAGAGATATATGAAAACTATCCAAATTACAAGTAACTTTTTTAACTGAACAATTTATAGTATGGAAACACCTCAGATGTAATAATGATTAGAATATTATTAGTAAGTTGCTAATAGGCATGTGGATCTAAAATGGATGATGGATATACTCTTTATCACTACAGTGTATATGTCTCTATTTGATTAGTGGAGTGAATGTAAGTTGAAGTTTACTTGGTCTTCCCTGAAATGATGCAGAGTATTGGTATTTTTCTGAATAAGTATTAGATTATTCCAGCCACTCCACAGGGATAATTACTGACTCTTCATCCCATGAAGAAATTTCATAAGTTTTAATTTAAACCACAATTATCCCTTCAGTGTAACGCAAGTGATATTTCTAGACTGAAAAAGCAGAAAGTGTATTTTCATCCAAAGGAAATTTCTTTAAAAAGATGACTTTATATTAATAGATGCATAACCTAAAATGATGTATTATCTTTTATTTTCCCTGGTCCTAATAAACTGTGTTCTGATTTTGAAAATGTATTCTTCAATGATTTAAAATCCAAATAATATTCACAATTTCTTGGATCATTTAAGTGTCTTCCCATCATCTTAACCACATGATTAGGTGAACCTTCCTGTCTTTCCAAAAGGTGACTTCCTCAAACACAAACATGACTACTTCAAAATGTCTAACATCTCCTTCTTCACTATCTGCCCTCCTCTCCAGATGCATACAGCTGAAAGTCTAGAGTGGCATTCTGGGCCTTCATTATCTGGCCCCACATCTATTTCAGCTTTCCCTTCTGTTCGCCTCCTGACTCCTTCATTCAACCAGCGTTTTATTAGGCACCTACTATACGCCAGTCATGGTGCTCAGTCGTGGGGAAAGAGAGAAGAGGCACAATTTCTACCCGTTAGGGAGTCTACAGTGTATTAGAAAACCAACAACTCTAAGCCAGTGAGACACAGGCTACAGCAGTTCTGTGAAGAGTGCACTGGGGATACAGGAAAGAGGGAAGATAGCTCCTCTAGCAAAAGCGAACACAGATCCCTAGAGGATGGCAGTGGAGTGGAGGATGTGGTCTCCTTTTGATGACTGTTATTTTCCATGTGATTCACCTTCCTCCAGGGGAATCTTGCTCACTCAATTTTGTTGTTGCCGCCACACTGGTTTTGGTGGTGGTGGGGGGGGAGCACTGCACCTCTTTTATTGTTCTAGCCCAAGTATCATCTCGATCGATCTCTTAAATCTCCAAATCAGAGCTGAGTCTGGGCTGGAATATTTAAATAAGACCTTAGAGAACACTAGGGAGCAGAAAGGTGATACCTTAACAGGCAAGTAGATACTCTGACCAAGTCTAACTTCTTCAGGGGTACTGTCCTTCCCCACTGCAGGGCTGCTTCTGGTGTTAATGCTTTCTATCATCTCAGATCGTCCCTGGGTTTATGTGAGTTTCTGGAATCCGAGACATGGTTAGCAAGGTCCAGAGAGAGACAGACCTTCCTTTTGAGCCCTAGTTCCTGGTACATGAACTTGTCCCTTCAGATAAATGACACTAGGAATGCTCTTCAGGGGAGACTGTCTTGCCCATTGGCTTCATAAGGAAAGAATGTCAAAACACAAATCTGTAAAATCTCCATTCATACATGGTAGATGGGGTAAATGTTGGGGACAGTGATGGGGGAATTAATTTTATTATAGGGGACTCCCAAATGGTGTGGGCATAGAAAGCAGCATGAAGAGGTGAGATAAGTATTGAAATTCAAGTAGAAGTTAGCCAGAGAAGGCTGAAATCAAAATGAGTAAAATCAAATTTTGGGAAGAGTGAGAAGCCTTTGCAGAGGGGCCCTAAGGAATAAGGAGAGCCTCTTATCTACAAGTCATTTGTTCTGGCTAGAGCTTAGCACCCCAGGGGTGAATGGACAGAGAGAGGAGGGTAGAGAGGAGGAGACGGTCAGGCCCAGGTCCCAAAGGCTATTTGTGCCATGCTATTAAGCAGGGACTCCCACCCAAAGGGGATGGGAAGCTATGGAGGAATTCATTGGGAGCAACATGACTAGGTTCTCATTTTGAAAAAATTCTTTTCAGCAGAAGTGAGGAATTACTTGGCAAAGGATGACAATGAAATTGGAAAGGCCGGTTAAGAAGCCTATGGCTTCTACGGCACTATGATAATAGTGCCATAAATGAAGTCCTGGTCCAAAGCACGGGCAGTGCAGAGAAGTGAGGGTAAACAGAAAAAGATTCAAGCGATAACTCTGAAGTTAGATTCAACAAGACTCCAGTGACTCTTTCAATGGTGGTGGTGAGATCATGGAAGAGTATCAGGCAGTGGTATGTCACAGAACCTTCTGCAGTGATATAAATGTACTAAAACCTGCGCTGTCCACTATGACAGCTGCTGGCCACATGTGGCCACTGCCCACTCCAAATATGACCGGTACAGCTGAGGAACTACATTTACTAAGTTTCAAATTTAAATACCCACCTGTGGCCAATGGCTACCATACTGGGTAGGGAGAGTCTAGAGAAACTCCTAGGATTTTTAGAACTGCTTGGATGGTTGATGCCACTCACCAAGATAGGGAGTACGAGGATATGGAAGAGAAGATCATGGATTTAGGATGGACAAGTTATGTTTCTGATTAGGATACCTACAGGGTGAGGCAGAAGGCAACTCTGGGATACCGTAAGTAGGTATTCAAGGGGGGCAAGGCCGGAAATAGAGATTTGGAAACTCACCATGGCAGCTGACCTATAGCCAGACCACAGTACCATCACTCCCAGGACAGCCTCTGGGCCTTTGCTTATCTTGTTCCTTTCTGCCTCTCTAAAGTCTGCCAAAATCCTTTCAAGGCTTAAGTCAGAAACCTCCTGATTACCAGAATCAACATGCTTCTTTGTTCTCCTTGGCACCCTGTACGAACTGGCATCTTCTTTTTTAACACCTGTCACAGTGGAGAGATGCACATAGTAAGTGCTCCTTCAGTATTTGTGAGACCAATCTGGAGAACAGACCCTACAGCCTCTTTGGTCAGAGGTGAATCTGTCCATTTGTCCCTTGCTCATCCTCAGAATGTACCTTGTGTTGGGCTCAGTGTCCTGGTGTCTGTTGGGGACAGCCAGAGGCGGACGGAGTTGCCTAGAGCATGAACAGTGTCAGCACTGCTGTGTGCCTATAAAAGTTCATGAAACGGAAACTGTACCTTCCCCTCAGCCACTGCCTCTGCTCAAACAGTGCCAAAGGGAACCAGTCCCGTGTTTAGCGCTGTCTCTCTAGCCTGTGTTACTCTCTTTCAGTTGATAGAACCATCCTAAGTCTAGTTCCACTCAGGGAGTTCTAGCTCACGGCCAGCGAATGTCTACAGAGATCCAAACTAGCATGGCTCTGCGCTTTTGTTCACGTATCCAGTGGCGTTGATGAGGTGCCTACTCGGTGCCCTGCCATGTGTTAGGCATTGAGTACTAAGTAAAAGCATGAACTATGTCCTCATGGGAGAATCAGAAACTAATCAAAGCAGCATAAATGTCAAATTAACCTTGACAACTCCTATAAAGATGACGGGGAGCTTGGCATAATCAAGGAGCGATGAGGAGCGATGTCAAACAAATTTTGGGAAGTAAACTGAGTTTACTGAGTAAACTGAGATCTGAAGGAAAACCAGGAGGTGGGGAGCAAAGGGAAGTTGGGGGCAGGAGCACAACAGATAGACACGGCAGGGAAGCAACATGGGATACTGAGGTACTGTGAAGTCAGTCCTGCTGGGGCAGAGAGCCAGGGAGCATGGCCCAGGAAAGCACTGGAAGGCAGCAGGGAGGCAGCCCATGGCGGGTCATGGTGGAGATTTTTGGTCTTTATCATAAGGATAATGGGAAATTACTGAAGTATTTTAAGCGGGGAAGTGAGATCAGACTTGCAATTTTTTTTTTAAGGTTTACATTTTTAAGAGATAACCCTGACAGCAGTGAGGATGACAAATTGGAAGGGTCCCAGAACGGATGTGGAGGAACCGTGGCAAAGTGGACACATCTGGAACTATTTATACTTATGACGGATAATCTGATTTACAGGAAGTAGTCATAGCTAAGCAGAATAACACTTGATTTAGGGATGGAAGCTAATGTGAAAATTTATGACTAAATTCTCCATTTTTTCCTCCAATATAGGCAACTGATTGAAGGAACGGAAGTTCTTCAAAAATTGGAATTGGTTCCAACAGAGAATGAAAGACCAATACAACAATGCGTAATTATTGACAGTGGAGATCTTTATGCCTGATTTTCATATCCGTATTCTCTGACAACTTATTATTATGCATCTGATCAGCTGTTTCTATATTTAATTAAACAGTGCTTGATAAAATTTAATTTGAAAGCTGTAAAGATGCTGTAGGTTGGCCCTCCCAACACCCAGTCCCTCCCCATTTTCCTTTCTTGTCTCTGCCACAGACTATAAAAGCAAAACACTTAATTTCCCACCCTCCTTTGCAGCCAGTAGTGGCCATGGAATACCATCTCGCCAGTGAGACAAGAGTAGAATGCCAGTGATCCTGCCCCTTCCCCCAACCAGCCTTGAATGCAGACAGGCCAGAGCTGTGAAGGAAAGGCCAAGAGAACTGGAGATGTCAGCCCCAACTCTTGGGCTACAGAACCAATGCCAGCAAGTACCTATCTCTGGCTTCTTACTGTGAGACAAATAGACTCCTGCTTGTTGACGTTACTATTGGCTGATTATTTTGCTACTTGTAGCCCAAACCATTCTTAGCAGCAGGACCTAATGGCCTTCCAATCCTATAGCACTTAGAACGGAATTATGTTGTCTGTGAACTACATTTCTGCCCTAAGAAAGTTGGTAAATAACCAAATAGAAAAGAGGCAATAGAAAAATTCACTGTAATATTTCATAGTTTACATGCAGCATTCAGAAAAAGGCATCTATCTGACATGAAGAGAATGCCTATCTCTGAGCCACACCAACCATATGAAAACCAAAGGCTTGGGTTAAGCATTCCAACGCAAATCAGCCCTGTGGTCATTGACTCCTGAGATGTTATTGGGGATCCTGCTTCATCAGCTGCTCCTTAACCTGAGATTCTTAAATCCACCACGAGGGGAGCTTTTAAAACACAGACTGCAGGACCCTGTCCTTGATCTACCAAGTCAAGGTCTCTAAGTGTGGGAAAGGGATTCTGTTCATTCATTTAGCTCAACCTAGAGGATCCTGTTTGGCCAGCTGGGCACTAGTCATTTAAAAATCACAGCAAGACGTAAGTGACTAGTTTCAGCCTCCTCTTTGTAGTTACTGAAATGAGTGACTCTGTTGGTGGTGACCTTGCTCAGCTGCCTCCACCACTGCTGGCACTGCATTCATACTATGCCCAAAGCCATTAAGATTTTGGGTTTTTCTTGCCCTTTGCGGAAGGTCTGTCTTCCAAGAATGATCTCTTAAGCAGACAGGCCTCTAATTGATTTGGGGGTTGCCAAAAGGAGGTATATGCTTTCTCTGACTTTTAATTTTGAAAGGATTATAAATTTACAGGAAGTTGCAAAAATAGTACAGAGCAGTCCTGTGTGCTGATCATCCAGGTTCTCCAATGGACATATCTTACACAACAACTATTGTACAATATATAAACCAGGCAATCGACATCAGTACTATGTTATCATTTTATCATGTGTAGATTCATGTGACTGATACCGCAGTCAAGTCACGCAAGTTTTCAAAAAGACCTCCCTTGAGCTACCCCTTTATAGTTACACCTACTCCCCTGCTCTCCACCATCCATCTCTAACTCCTGACAACCAAAATGTGATTTTTTTCTTTTTTTGTTAAATCACAGCTTTATTGCTATTTGGTATATGCCTTTATAGTAAGATTGGAGGTGGATGGGGAGAAAGCATACTGCCTATGTCACATTCTCAAGTGACCCAGAGGCAGCAGAGTGTTAAGAATGTGTATTCTGGAGCCAGACGGCCTTGGTTTGAATCCTAGCCCTGCCATTCCCTAGATGCATGCATTTAGGCAAGAACTTCCCTGTGCCTCTATTTCAGATCTTTATGTCAAAGCATAGCACCTACCAAACAGAACTGTTGTGAGGGTCCAAGGAATCAATAATTTATATGCAGGATCTAGAACAGAACCTTTTTATGCTATATGTGCTCATTAAATGTATGCTTAATAAATTACTGGTATACCTTCAGGAGTTGGCCTAGAAGTTGTATTTTTTAAAAGCTCCTCAACGACTCTGATTAATAACAAGATTTGGGAAACACTAAAGAGGAGATAGTTCTTCTTCCTCTGTTCTGAAAAGTTTCCGCCAACCTGAGAAGTTAAGCTGTTTGCATGAAGTCTCCAGATCCTCTCTCTGGGCCTTTGGATGGGTTCCTCTGGTCATTCCGGTGACATTTCAAAGGGGAGCTAGGCTTGCCACAGGGCCTCTCACCAACTAGTGAAGCGTGTGATGAACGAAACTGATGCTTTGCAGAGATCCTAGTTAAAACAAATTAACAAGCATTAGTCATGTAATAACAAGCAGCACAGCAGTTATCACTTGCTCTTACTTGCATGAACCCATACACTAGGGAATTAAGCATTTTATCTGATATTGTGAAAGAACGGAGATATCTGCATGGGTGTAAGAAACTGATTCCAGCTCCCTTTATTTTTCAACTTACCTGCAATGGAAAGGTAGATCTCTACCGACTTTCTAAAGGATGGCAAGTTCCCGGTCCCTTTGTCCACTCCCACCTCCTTCTCTCAGGCTGTGTAGTAACTTAAATCATAGATTTGTATATGCAGTGGTTCTTCTTACCACCATTTAAAGGTTCACACAGTGATACTTCTGTATTAGAATGTATTCTGTATCAGAACATGTATGTTAGCCACGTAATTTGAAGAAACTGATTCAAAGATTCAAAATCTTATCCCAATTTAACTCCAAATACGACTTAAACCAAATTGACTTTGATTTGATTCAACAGAAGGAATTCTAGACTGTTCCACGTCTACAAATATGAAACACATTCTGATAATTTATACAAAATGTTATATGATCTTGCCCTAAGTGCTGATATGGCAGAGCCAAACTCATATCCTGTAACTTACACTAAGTCATGTTAATAAGGGGTGTGTGGTATCTGGACATTTTTTCTTATTATGGGAGATTTGAGATAAACATTTAAAATTCTATCTAAAGAATTGTTTGTCCCAACTGCAAACCATGCCCATTATTTGTTAATGAACTAATGGTCTGGCAACCTCAGGATTCTATATTGAGTTTTTGTACTTCATACATATCTTAAATTAGGAAGTGTTTTAGTTCTAGTTTACCTAGTAATGTAGCCATCAAATAACTTAGTCTTTCACCTTCCTCATTTGTAGAAAGAAGAGATCGAAGTAAAGAAGCTGTTAGCTCTGTCTGACTCTAAAACTTTAGAGATTCTCTGAGTAAATTTACGAAATCAGTAACAGTACTACTTACTTTGGGTTTCAATTTTTGTAAAATGAGGGTATATCTATCTCACAGTGGTTTGAGGGCTGAGATAATATGTGAAGACACTTCTGATGACACTTGACACATAGCAACTATTCAATAAAAATGAGCTTCCCTTTTGGAATGTTAACCCACAAAACCCCGTCAAGCTGCCACTGACCAAAAGAATATCATCATCACCACTTCAAGAAACCCCAAGTCTCTCTAATGCTCAGTCTTAGCTCATCACTAACATCACATTTTCAATTGACTGGATTTATTCAAAAGTATATCCTCAAAATTAAAATGGATTGCAATCACAGCTATTGATATGCTCTCTTCATTTTTAAAAACTACTATGTTAATTATATAATCTACCACCCTTCCTAAAATGGAATCTTAAATTGGGCCAATCTAGCCAGCCATCTCTCAAATAAATTTTATATATCATACAAAATATCTGAAAACAACCTTGAAAGTTAACATATACAACATGAAATACGAAGTTTGGTATTTGATTAGAGGTCTTTGAAAATGTGATAAATCACAGGTTTTTCTACTTCAGTGTGCATGAGAAACGCTTGAGCCTATCAACAAAATATGGGTTCCTGAGTCTCATCCTAATTTCTGATCCAGTGGGTCTGTAGTGGGCCAGAGAATCTGCATTTTTAACATGTTCCACATGGTGCTGCTGCTGCTGCCCTGGAGACCACACATTAAGAACCACCGGGCTGGGCTGTATTAAAGACATATACAGGAATGCCTGGGTGGCTCCCTAGGTTAAGCACCCAACTCTTGATTTTGGCTCAGGTCACGATCTCAGGGTTGTGAGAGATCTCAGGTTGTCAGGCCCTGCACAAGGGTAGAATCTGCTTGGGATTCTCTCTGTCCCTCTCCCACTGCCCCTCCTCTTGCTTGCATATGCTCTCTCAAATAAAAAAATCTTAAAAAATAAAAAAAAAAAAAAGACACGGGCGCCTGGGTGGCTCAGTGGGTTAAAGCCTCTGCCTTCGGCTCAGGTTATGATCTCAGGGTCCTGGGATAGAGCCCCACATCAGGCTCTCTGCTCAGCAGGGAGCCTGCTTCTCTTCCTCTCTCTCTGCCTGCCTCTCTGGCTACTTGTGATCTGTCAGATGAATAAATAAAATCTTAAAAAAAAAAAAAAAGACTGGTATTGGGAGACTTGTGGTATGCAGGTACATGCAAGAAAAAGTTATAACATGCAAGTTGTGACAACAGAATACAATGAGGAAAAATGGTAAGACAAGAAACTGATTTCATCAAGGTAGCACAGACCTATGCAAACACTGACAAATCAGAAGGGACAGCAACTAGAGGCCTGGTTCAGGGTCCTGGAGCATCTGCTGGACTGGAGGTGAGCCCTCCAGCTGCAGGAGAAGCAACAAGGCAGATGGGTCTTAGGTCAGGGGGACTGGGACACGTGTACTGCTCAGCGCAGTGCCCCCTAGCAGTCAGGACAAAATCCCTTGAATATTTTAAAAACCAGAATATCCACCTGGGATTCCTTCTGTTTTCTAAATGACTGAGACCTGTAATGGAAAAAGAAAAAACTCCAGCAGACCCAGGGTTTGAAGCAGAGTAGAAATAAAAATAAGTATGTCTCAGGTGCCAGCCTAGAGAGAATCTACATCCAAGAGTTTTGCATTTGTACCCTGCCCTTACATATATTTGTAAAACAAAACAAAAACTTTACATGTTTTGCTGGATGTCATCTTGCAGAGGAGTCACTATTAAGAACTGTGGTAATTTAGAATAGTTCTCCACAGGTTATAATGTAAAGCGGTCTTCTCAAACTTTAAAACACATGTACATATGGACTTCCAAAAAAAAAAAATTATCATTTGGGAGGTCTGAGGTGAGGCCCAAGATTCTGCGTCTCTAACAAACTTTCGCGATATGAATGTATTAGTTCATGAACCCATACTCTGAGAAGAATAAAGCTGTGGTTTTCAACCTAAACTGAAGATTAAAAACACCTGGAGAGCTTTGAAAAATCCTGATGCCCAGGCATTTTTCCAGAGTAATTAAACTGATACCCTGGCATCAGGATTTTTCAGAACCTCCCAGATGATTCCTATGTTGAGCAAAGGTTGAGAACAACTGCTCTTAAATGTAACCTACCACAGTCATGGAAGAAATACCCATAGCCAGTGACGAGCTTCTCTAATGATGGCATCTCTAGGATTTTATCATCAATCCTAGTCACAGTGTTAAGAGTAAGATAGTAAATCTACAATTTTAGCTCACTATTAATCTTTGATTCATTACAATCCTTTGTTGAAACTTACTTAAAATATTACAATGTTTAACGCATGTTGTTAAAACTGTGTTATAAATGCCAGACCTTGCTCTGGAACAGTGAAGTGACTTTGGAAGCCTTCCCTGAGCTAGTGCAACAGATGCCACGTAACATAAAATAAGCCAGTGCTTTTCTAGCCTTAAAACAAGGCAGTGAAGTGTCTTCTTATAAAGACTATAAAAATCTGAAGACTAGAGTTGAACACCCAGATGACAAATTGTAAAACAATGTCCTCCACAATCGGGCGTATTCCTCCTAGAGTGTAAACAAGATGATCCACGGCGGTATTGGGAAAAAACACAACTTCTATTGTGTTTTTAACCTTAAAGAGAAAAACCCACAAAGTTGACTAGTGCCTTCCTTTGTCTGGGTGTCAGAGAGTCAAATGCTTACTGTGGAAGCCATACCCTGAGAAGAGGAAGCAGTTCACTGAAGGCTGATAATGGGACCTCATTTAAATATTTGGCTGCACTTTTTTTTCCCCCAAGTTCCAGAGGGCAAACCATTTAATTACATTTCACAACAAGAGAAGAACCATTGTGACTCAACCAAATACAGAACATAGTTCTCTCCAAATTCTACACAAACCACTATTTTCTTTATTTAATTTGATGAACAATGAAATCAAGTTTTCCTTTTTAGCATTTATCTAAGATGTAGAAATAACAAAGTAGGTGCAATAAAGTAGGTGAAATATTTAATAAGATTATACAAACATATAAACAACAAACTGTGAAAAAAGATAAAAAGGCTCTCATCTTCAAACAACCCATTTTTCTAAAATGAAAACAGTCAGCTTTCCAATGGGGAAAATGATCTGCAGTTGAAATAAAACTCCAGAGCAGCGCTTAAGTTTTCTGCACTCGTTCTTTGCAATGAGAAATGATTACTTAACAGAAAACTTAAATTGAACAGCATATATAAACATCCATATTGCTTTTTTTAGTTAAGGAAGCAATATCTAGTGATCTGTCAAAGCAGATTTGTATTCATGAATTTTCAAAAGACCTACAACACAGCCATGTCTTCTTTGAAAGTCAATAATTCTGGCCATAGGTTGGATCGGTCAAACATTGTCTCGTGTTTACATCAAGCGAATCGCCAGCTAGTGTAATCAACAGAACTAATACTCAGAGACGAAGGTACAAAAGGACCCCACAGATCAGATTCTAGCAAGTTTTAAAGCCTTCAGCTTGAGGCAAAAAAAAGCTAAAAACGTTTAGAGTCAACTTTTTTGTGGTGCTTTCATAGCAAAGCAGATCTCATAAAAGCAATTAATATTCGTGTGTTATTTTATTAGGGTAAACGTGGATAATTAAACTTGCCGGATAAATGCAAGTAACTGGGGGGAAAAAAACCCGGCACTAAAAGCAGCTTTTATAACCCAATTTCTACTCGTTAATATAAGCGCGGCTGCGATTGTGACTGTTTTGTGAAGCTGGACATCAGGTGGCGCTAACCCTTCCTAATTAAGCTGGAGCAGTCCCAGCACATCAACGGGCATTTCAAAATCCAGTCCTGATGTCAAGCACCGAGTTTCGGGCAAGTCACTTTGTCTGAGTCTCGGTTTCCTCACCTGTAAAGTGGGTTGGGGACGGACCAGATGGATTTCCAACCCAGCTCGTCTCTGATTCTCTGTAGTGGTGGTGGCGTTGACTGACTGCGGCTACCGCTGATTTAAACAGCAAAAAATTCGGAAAAGACAGCCTGGGCAAGTGGGATAGAGGTAGACAGTGTAGACAGAGCTCTGGCTGGAAGGCCGGGGGCCGTTTTCGGTGTTTTGGCCGCTCGCCGTGAGTGGGCGGCGGAGCAGAAACTCAACCACGTGGCTTCATTTCCCTGAGGGATCCCAACACAAGGTTACTTCCAGAAAAATTCGAGAGAGAGAAGCGCGGGTCCTACTAAGAATCTGTGCGAGCACCTTCGGAACGCGGGAGCACACCACAAACTTGATTCACTGGGTGGATCTAAACGCACCCCAAGGCAACCAGCCCCAGGCTGACTCCGGTCCCAGAGGCGAAGCCCGGAAAGTCACGTGGGGCCACGGATTTACGGCCTCCCTGGTCGCCGGGGCGGACGTCGAGCGCCACCTCATGTAGGTTGTTCCATCTGAGCCAAAGTGGAAGATTTCCCTATCGCCGGAACTAGAAGAGCCCAGCTGGATCTTGGATGGTAATCTAAGGGCAAAGGAATAGGTTCTTGCTCCTGGGAGCTTTTTCGCTACACTTCACTAGTCGCTGTGACGGAACAGCCTCCCTCCATTGCCTCTCGCTGTCCCTGTTCCCCCTCCTGTAGGAGTGCAGTTGGTATCGTCCGCAGCCCGCCCCCGCTCCGCCCCGCCCCGCCCCCGCACGCCGTGGCCTGGGGCCCCTCACGTGACCCCGGCGCGCTCTCGCGGGGGCCCAGACTCTCCGAGGCGGTGCCGCAGGGGACGGAGGGACAGACGGAGTAGAGTGCGCCGCAGCTTTCGCCCGAACACCAGTGCGGAGGACGTGATGTCGGGGCTCTCCCGCCAGCTGCCTTGGGCTGCCGCCTGTCTGGCCGCGCTCTGTGTGCTGACCGCGGCTCAGAACCCCAGCCTGGATCCGACTGTGACTGCGATCCCGCTTTTACCGAACACCACCACCGCCAAAACGACAGTTCCGACGACGGTGACGACTCTTGCGCCGGTGACCATTCCAGCACAAGGTGGGCGCCGGCCCAACGGGCTTCCTATCTTCGCCCGCCCGCCGCGCGGAGCCGAGCCGCCCGCCCTGCCCGCGATGCGCGCGGGGCCGGGGCCGGGGCCGGGACGGGCCGCGCTCCAGCAACATGGCGGCCGGTCCGAGTCCAGTCCGGGCTGGGATCGGAGTGGTGGGGGTGAGGGAGCGCCCCGGGGAGTAGGGCGGCCGAGCCCCGTTGGCGGTTGGGCTCTGGGCCACCCCGAAGTGTCCCACGCCGAGGTGCTCTTAAAAAGTGCCTCGTAATCCCCAGTCTCACTTCAGCTTGGGAAGAGGGGACGTGGCTTCCTCCCGCGGTGGTGGCAGTGGGGTTGATCGTGGGGCGAGGCGACTCGCCTCCAAAGTTGGGGATCAGGTCGAACTCCCTGTGTTTGGGGTTAGTCATTTGCCCACCCAGATCCTGTCTCCGCAAGGGGGCTTCTCCGGGAGTTGGCAAAAGAGGAAAAAAACTGAAGACGTGAATGCTCGCCAGTGTCTCCGACTTGAGTCTGGGAAAAGTTGCCTGTGATCTAACCATATTGATTTTGCGGAGAGGTGTCGGGGTATATTTGAAGTTTGGGCATTTGATTAGTTAAAACTTTAAATTTGCTATGTGCAAAAGAAGGAAAGTACCCATTTGTGTACCCGATGCTTCATATATTCTTTTTGGTATTTTAGGCTAAACTGGAAGATAGGTGGTGAAATCTGGGAGGAAGATGGAAATAAAGTGGCTTGCGGGGAGCATAGGTTTAGTTGATTGTGAGCTGGGATTGAAACCCAGGTTGTCGATTTTTTAAACTCTTATCAGGAACACACTCTTTGTTAAGCTCTGCGGTCGATTTGGGTACTGGTTGAGTTGTACACTGAATCTTAGAGCAGAAATTGGCAATGCCGTGACAACACAAAAGAGAGGGGAAGATAAGTTTGAGGTGAAAAAGAACTCTAGATATATAAACCTGATGTAGTGTGATTGGTTATTCTAGTTAATATTGAGTAAGGAATAACTGGCATCTTGACCGAAAAAGTGCTCAAGTGTCAGGATTTTTACCTTGGCTTTCCTCCCCTCCCCCCATACGGATCATACTGTTTTGAAGTGGCTTCCTTTGGTTTTTGTGTTTTATAGATAAATAAAATGTATAATTAATATTCAGAAAGATGTAATACTGAAGTTCAAAAACTGTTAAATAAGGAAAGTACATTGCCGTAGAACGCTGGACATTCTAACTGCACTGTTTTTAAAGATGGTAGAACACAATATGTTTTGTCTTCTGCTTATTTGGCAGTTTCTTTCCAGAATTGTAGTTTTGGAGTGTGTGTTTTTTCCAAAGAGAAGCTTGGAGATAGCCAAGTTAATTGCCTTTTTGTAATTGAAAGTCATACAAAGGAGATGATTTGTTTTCTGTAAGTAGCAGTTGCATAAACTGCAGTCTAAAATGAAAGATAGCAAGTTTAGCTCATTGTAAAGAACATTGACTGTGCTGTTCATATCAGGCACGAAAGATTTTAGACAACTAGCATTTTTTATCAGTACACGAACCTCTGCAGAACGTATTTTCTACTTTGTGAACCCCTTACTCAAGGGTACTATATATGTCCTTGTCCCTGATAAATATTAGTGATAAAATGTTGAAATGCATGGCCTCTGTGCAGAACTTTTTTTTTTTTTTTTTTTTTTTTTAAGGCATAGGGAAAGCAAATGTGAATGTTTTTTGGAGGCATCTAGCTTCCAGGAAAATGAAGAGTCCTAGACTTTTTGGGTCATTTGGCCTAAATTACTGACAGAGACCCTCCTATTTTGTTAAATTGTATGTACATAAATATAGCCCCTTCCAGAGTTCCTGTCTCTTATCCTTCAGTCACAGTGGAGAAGATCACTTACGAATTACAAATCTCTTGGGTTTTCAGAATGGGCATCATCCGAGTTTGGGTTCAACCTGTAACAAATCTTTTTACTGTTAAAAATTCCGGTGTCTTAACTGATGTTTGGGGGCAGTGATTTCTCTGTGTGTAGTGTTGGCCTTATAACACAACCTTTTTCCCAATATTTTTATTTTTTTAAGGATGCTTTGAAATGATTCAAGAAACCCTGAGTGTCTGTGAAATAGTTGCCCTGTAAAAAAGGGTTGTTTAGATACTGACCATTCCCACTAGCTTGTGGGTTTTTTCCACCCTTTCTCTTGAGTTTATTTCAGCGTCATCAGTCATTAATTATGATTGGAATTTCTTATTAAGCCAATTAATGAAGTGTTTTTGTGTGTGCAGTTAAAAACAGAAGATCTACCATCCTAACAAAGTTTTAAGTGTACTGTACATTATTAACATTAAGCACGGTGTTATACAGATCTCCAGAACTCTGCATCTTACTTGAAACTGTACCTTGCGTGAGGAGCAGATCTCCATTTCCCCTCCCCCTAGCCCTGGCAGACAACATTCTACTTTCTGCTTTGGAGTTTAACTATTGTAGATACTTCATATAGGAGGGAATCATGCTGTACTTGTCCTTCTTTGAATGTCTAACTTACATAATGTCCTTAAGGCTTATAGATGTTCTAGTGCATGGCAGGATTCCTTTCTTTTATATGTTGGAATACTATTTTATTGAAAAATGTATACTACATTTTTTAATCCATTCATTTGTTGATGAGTTATAACGTTTTACCATTTCTCTGAATTAAGTCTGGTACTGTACGTAATGCTCACTTTAGTTTAAAAAAGGTAAGTTGTACAAACTCAAAAGTGAGGTACCAATTGATTGGTTTTATATACCCCTCCCCACCAGATACCTGTGAAAACCGCAGCAGCTGTGTTTCCTGTGTGAACGTTAGCCTTGATAATTCTACCTGCTTTTGGATAGAATGTAAAGGTAAGAAGCTTTGGGATGGCTTTAATTTTGAGAATGCAAACTGTTTTATCATTTTAAGATATTCTACAGGGTATTCCTGAACACTTAAAAATTATGTAGAAAATTCGGTGTATTGTGTACTATTTTGCAAATCAAATACTTTTCCTTTAAAGTTCCTATTGCTTAACATTCCGGCTAAAATCTCTGGACTCCCTTTCTGTCCCCACCCCTTTAATTCCTTAGACTTGATAATTAAGGTTTAGTAGCTTTTAAAGGAAGAGAGATTTTAGAGCTTTGGAAGATTAAGAGGACAGGTAAACCAAAATCAGCTGTGAAAGAAAGTTGTGAAATTTTCCCCTAAAAATGGTTTCCCAGAAAAAGAAGGCATTTATCTTCTGCAGGTGTCCTGCTAGATGAACTATAGAGACCTTATAAAACTTAGTTGGATATGTAGAATATGGGAAAGAGTGAGATGGAAAGAGTTGGTGTTTTTGTTCAATTTTAAAATTAACCTTTAATTTGAGGAATAAAGAGCTAGTTGAAGATACTTTGAAATGCCAATAACGTTTTTGTTAGAACCATGGGATTACAGCAAATTCTGAATTCTTAATGGGAAGTAGTTGCTTTTTTTTCTTATCAGTAAAACAGTTTATCGGGTGTGTGTGTATATACCTAAAAAGCCAAAGCTATGTATTAAGTGTCTTTATTTGTTTAAAAGAAATCTAATATGAGTTCTGGGCAAAATCCTTATGTCACGACATAACATTGTTTAAGAACTTCTTCTTTTTTTTTTTTTTTTAAGATAGATTTATTTATTTATTTATTTATTTGACAGACAGAGATTACAAGTAGCAGAGAGTCAGGCAGAGAGAGAGGGGGAAGCAGGCTCCCTGCCGAGCAGAGAACCCGATGCGGGGCTCGATCCCAGAACCCTGGGATCATGACCTGAGCCAAAGGCAGAGGCTTTAACCCACTGAGCCACCCAGGTGCCCCTGTTTAAGAACTTCTTATAAAATTAAGGTATTAGCTTAATTTGGGGTTAAATTTTTTTATTGTGTGAGAGTCACTTTTTTTTTTACGTCATAGAATGGAATTTAAGTGCACACCTCTCTCCTGCTGTGTATAGCAGAGTTGGCATGTTTTGGGGCTTGAATGCTCTACTGTAGGATATGTTGAGGAAGGGTCTCCCTTACTCTTGCTACAAGTTTGGCTGTCAGGAAAGCAGTTTTATTAGAATGTGTAGAAAACCAAGAAGAGATGTGGAACAGAGGTCCTACTGCTGCTAATGGGGTACCTCCTGTGGTTACTAAGCCTTTATTAGATCCTTTCGGCTTCTCCCTACTCACGTGGAATCTAGCAGCCTTTGCTATGCAGGAGTCGTGCCCCAATTCGGATCTAAGTGTTTCCGATTAATCTGTTTAGTGTATCCGTGTAGGTTGTAGACAAATATTTGGAGGGATCCTGGGTAATCTTTCTTAATCACTGAGGGAAAGAGCATAACAGTATTTTCTTGGTCCCTGGACTTCTGAAGTGTTTATGCCTGAGTTTGATTTTTGGAACAAATTCTGGAGCTTAGTAACAAAACAAAGATAATATAAACAAGTGATTGGTGCTCTGTGTCTTTTTCCCCCCATAACAGAGAAAAGCTACTGTTCACGTAATGCAACAGTTAGTGATTGCCACGTGGTGAATGGCACACAGTTCTGTTCTGGTAAGTGTTCACATTGGTTGCTGAGGAAAGTGGCCAAGAGGTGAGGAAGATCTTTGCCTCAGAAGCCTTCTTTCAATATTTGGTTTGCCATTTCTGGCAGTCTAAACTGACTATAGTTTAGACCCTCTCCATTGGCATTTTACTGGACTGGACAATCTTGTTCTGGCCCTTTTCCGGATTATGGTGTTGGTGATTGTCACAACCTCTGGCGTATTTTGTGTTACAGTTGAAACTTTCCTGTGTTCATCTGTTTTCTCATTTTTGTACTTTAGTTTGAAGAAATTGGTTACTCTTTAACCTTAAGTCTTTGCTCAGAAAATAGTTAAAATTCCTAGATGAAGCAACTGATTTTCCTAACAAGATTACAAATGGATAGGGAAGTCAAACTTCTGATTTGGTGCATAGTTAATAAATAGAGCAAAAGAGCTTTCTGGAGTGTGTTAGTAACCTTGAAAGACTACCTATAACAGTTTTACTTTTAGTGGGGTTTTCCCATCCAAACTTGAACTTCATGACTGAGAATTTCATTAGTATGAGGTCAGTTACCCCTTTTGTAGAATGCGCATAATTTGGTTTAGGTGGTAAAAGAACAAACATTTTTAGTATCTATTTCAGTGTGTCAGAAAATAATAATTATATCAAACCTGTGGTTTCATGAAAATAATTGCTTAGAAACAAGGTTAAGTAAAACATTTTAAAAGATACTAATTTAGAGAAAAATTGAATAAATAATTCTGTTTAATTTGATGATGTATCAGAATTAGTTTGGACTATGTAGCACTCTATCCCCAGTAGGGACCCAGGCTGTTTACTGTCATTCCTTAAAAATATCTTTGACCTACTCTCTGAGGTAAGTGCTCATGTTCCAGCCATCAAATTGGTTTTTCTGCCAACAGAAAGAGGAAGGAGGCCTGTATCTACCTACAGATGCTTTCTAAAAGTTATACTGGGCTGCCTGCCTACAGGGGAGACTAAGAAATGTGTGTCTTTCTCCAGGCAGGGAAGCGTCACCTCTAGATTGGTGCTTCTATTTCTAAAGAAGGGGAGATCAGTATTGGTTAGAGCAACTGTCAGTCTCCTCCACAAGGTGGTACTTAAATGTAAACATTGTAAAAGTGGTACTCACATGACTGCAGTTTAAAAAAAAAGTGTAATGGATTGTATTATTTTAGATTGTGCTTTGACTTAATGTTTGTTTGTTTTAAATAGCACCCAAGCCCACTCCGATGCCAACGAATTCTACAGGTAATACAAGATAATTAACTCTTTCCTCCTCTTTCAGGATTTGTGAGGTCTCTCGATGGACTTTTTAGTGATTAAATACCTAAAAGTTGTTAGTATAATTTAAAAAGTTGGTAGCTGTATTTGGTCTTGAACCATAATGATTACATGAGTATGAACTGTTCGTGCCAGTGTCATGGAATTCCAGTGTTTGACGTTTATTGACTATGGGAGGATTTGCTATGGACATTGAGTCCACAAACTGCTTTTTGTGGATTTTTTGAAGATCTTGGGAAATACAGAAGCCTAAAGAAAATTAAATTCCCTGTAATTCCCATCATCCAGAGGTACACCAGGATGTTTTCAGTGATAAGGTTTTCCCAGTCTTCTCTGTGCATCTCTCAATAGATTTATTATGAACTTGCCCAAGATGCCCATGCACATTTGAATTGTTTTCTCTTTTACATTGTTGTATGTGTATACACCTTACTTAACCTGCACTTGGTGGGATAGTTAGGTCATCTTTCACTCTTCCTGCAGCACTTGTTCCTGTTTTGATGTTATCCCTAACAGAGTTGATTCAAACAGCATTCCTAGGTCAGAGGATAGGATTATTTTAAGACTGAATATTGATTGCTTTTCAGAAAGATATGCTTTTCATTCCCATCAACAGCTGGAAAGTTTTCACTACCCCTTCAACAGGATTAGATAATTTCTCCTTTTAAAAATCTTTACCAAAGTGATAGAAGGAATAAATCATTAAGAAACTTCTTCTCCAGGACAGTAGGCTGGATGATAGGGGCTGGAAACAGCAGACAGCGTTTTGTCTATTGTAGTAACTGTGACATGGGTAAATAAGCGCAGTGTTTTGAGACATTTGTAGGAAGGTGTGTGTATGGAGTAGTATGGCAAATGTGGTGACCACTTCCTGGAGATGTTGACTGACTCTTGAAATGACTCTGGTAAAACAGGATGGTAGCTTCCCAAGTGGAGCACAGCGGTCGGTACACGTGAGGAGAGTGAAGGATTATAGTGAGGTTCGGGAATTGCATCTGGATGTGCGTGGTGAGGAAGGCTTGAGCTGAACAGTCAGCAGGCCGAGAGCCAGATTGGGAGGACGGGTTGGAACAGGAGACAGGAGTGAACACAGGGAGATAGGAATAGATGACCCATGAGGGGAATTCTGGAGAACTATATGGGAAGAGTTGCAGATGTATGCAAATGGACTTAGGAGGTAGGAAGGATAGGACTTGATGGAGGTGATGGCAGACTCGTAGCTTGACAGCGCAGGCAAAGCTGATCAGTGTAGGCAGTAGTGGTATCCCCTGGAGCAGCTTGTAGAGAGAATAGGACTTGAGGACCCAACTCCGGGGGATGGAAATATCTAAGGGTTGAGAAGAGGATCAGAGAGGAAACTGAGTAGGGATGGGCAGAGAGGTGTGTCCAGGAAACTGTGTGTGTGTGTGTGTGTGTGTGTGTGTGTGTTTTAGGTATAGTTTTTCAGAGGAAAAAGTGATCAGATGCTGAATCAAGGACCAGAACTCATTGAAAGACTTCGGTGGTGGTGAGCTAGCTCACACCAGCTTGCGGTGGCCAGTTGTGCGTAGCTCTTCCCAGCTACACATTCGGTGAGACTGCGTTGGGAGCTTGAATTATGGTGGAAATATTCTTGCCATAGAAATCTGCAAATGCTATAGAACTTTTGGAGAGCACACAGTGGTAACACCCACTGGTAGTCACTGACTAGGAGGATGTTAAAAGATTGATGAAAGCAGAGATGTTAAGAAAAATTAATTTCCAGAAGGTGGGATGTGAACCAAAAGGGGAAAACAGTTTCTTCAGAACCATTGTGGGTTCCCTTTTAATTTCTTCTCCATGAACCTTGATGTAGTTTTCGTGCTTGATCCACATGGGGTTCTCCAGTGAAGTACCATGGGTCTCTCTAGTTTTCTCTCTCTCGTTCTGTAAGGGGAAGGAGGCCAGGGTTTTCTTATAGAAAATGCATCTCTTGAGTGGCAGTTCTTCAAAATCCTTTACGTGGTCTCTTTGCATGGCTATTGCTGAAAGAGAGCAAGTGAGAAATTAAGGGATTATTAAAGAAATGACGCAAAGAGAATTTGATTTATGTAGAAAGGTGTTCAGTGGGGTTAATTATAACAGTCTTCTGTTAGTACCTATAAATATTATAAATAAAAATAGTTGTAAATAATCTCTTATTATTTACAGAATGACTAGATTACATCAGATATCTAGTGGGAAATTTTCATAATAAGTGGAAGACAAACCGTTAAGCTCTGCTATTTTTTAAATTTTTATTGTTACATAATTGCCTAGTGAAATGGCTAGCAGGAAATGACATGTTATTCTGCATGATGGGATTACTTAGTTTACTATGTTTTTTAAAATTTTCCATCACCAGTAGCAGCTTTTGTTAACTGCTAATTACTATTTTTTTTTTAAATGAAAGGAACATACTGTAAGTTAGTAGACCTATATTCCCTAAGTATTGCATAATTTTGAAAATTCTGTCAAGTAGTATTTCGGTCAGAAGTAGAAGTGTATAAATGTTTTGCATGTTTATAGAAAAAAGCATTAGTCTGCGTGGTGTTCAGAGGGTTTGGTAGTAAGACTCAAAAGGCAGATTTGCAAACTTGATTCCCCTACCATTGTCAGACAAAATTTAGTGTTTTAAGATTGAAAAGAATATATGTTTGCTTAGTTTGTAAAGTGTTATTTTTTGCAGCAACTTTAAAGGGATTAAAAATCTAGGAATTCTGTCTAAGAATCAGCCCTGCCAGAGGTGAGATGAGGTATTTCCCTGCTGGCAAAATGAGAGGTGACCTAATTGTCCACCCAAGAGCAGGGTAGGGAAGATAAGTGCAGTAGTGCTCCTAGTGAGAGAAAAGGATACAAACATGCAAACCCATCAGTATTGTTAACGTATCATTGATTAGAATCTGTTAGTAGTATCAGTACTAACAGAAGTCTGTTAATAAAGTGCTTTGGTTCCTAAAATGTGTTTACATTCAAATTAATTCTTCTCACAAGAGTTCATTTTCTTTACAGGCATTGTCAGATAATTTAAATTGGGGGAATCTGTGGCCCCGGGGGACCTGTTCTTAAAATAACATTTTATTGGAACAGAATGATGCCTATTGATTTGCATGTCGTCCTTGGCTGCTTTTGCACTATGTGCTGCACAAAGCTGAAGGTGTTTACTGTCTGCCAGCTCCTTGAAATGAAGAACATAAGCCAGCCTTGATACCTGCTTGAGAAATCCCGAGCCCCACTGGTTTCTTACCATGACTTTTTAAGTTAATAGTTTTTGTCATAGAAGCATTAAAAAACCTATTGTTACCTCACCTAACCACTGATTCTTGCCCTCCTGTGTGTCTTTTTGCAGACTTCATCCAGATGTATACATAGATTTCATACTCCAATATATACATAGATGTTAACATAGTTTTATGCTTGCTTCGCGGTAATTTAAAGACTCGTAGTCTGGCCATGTAGATGTGTTAGTGAGCCACTACCTGAAATTTGGCCTTTAGTCTTTGGAAAATAGAAAGCCTGTTGAAGTTGGCAGCATTATTTTAAAAAGACAAATGGCTAGATACTGGGAGGTTTGGAAATGTAAGTTACTAGTAAGTTTTGTTTCTATTGCAGCCAAAACCACCACCCTGCCAGCCACCTCAACCACCACCACCACCACAGCTCCTACATCAGGTAAGGAGGGGGTTTGAACTGTCGGTGACGTGGGGGAACGTTTGTGGCCTTGCCTTATGCTATTTTTGCCCCCATTTTCCAGTTTCATTCATGAATGGTTGTGAACTAAAACTCACCTCTTATATTTGGAGGACCAGGTTGGTAGGCTGTTAATGCAGGAATGGTAGGTTTGCTGTGAGTCCCCATTTTTTAACACATAGCCATATTTGGCCTGACACATTAGAGTTAAGAGATAGTGTTTTTCTAAAACCCTTTTACTACAGCTTGTCGGTGAGATCTCATTTCTTATAACTTAAAAATTAAATACTGATGACTGTTAGGAATTAATTTTGTGCTGTGTTTAGGTCATGACAATTGGAGTGAAGATAATTTAGCCATCCTTTTTACTGAGAAAGATCTAAAAAGAGCCAAGATCACTGCAGATGGACACCTTGGCCATGTTTCTCGCTATTTCTTTACATTCCCTTATAACTGTTAAAAGTGCATGTGAAAAGTAACATTTATTAATTAATGATTTGCTGTGTTGTAAACAAAAATCACATTTAGGTGATGTCACAAGACATTGCAGATATACAGGTTATGAATCCTTCTCTCTATCCCTATTTAAAATACTGGTGTTTGGTTTTGCTTTTTTTTTTTTTTTTTTTTTTTTTTTTAAGTTTTTTGGCTTATTCTTATGCAACCTTTCTTGGTTTCAAGGAAACCATTTTGTCTTTGCAAGAATTACAGAATAGTTGTGATTAATTTTAAAGCTTGGGGCACCCGGGTGGCTCAGTCGGTTAAGTCTGCCTTCAGCTCAGGTCATGATCCCAGGGTCCTGGGATCAAGCCCCGCATTGGGTTCCTTTTTTGGGGGCTGGTGGGGGGAGCCTGCTTCTCCCTCTCCCTCTGCCTGCAGCTTCCCTTGCTTGTGCTCTCTCTCCATCTCTCTCTCTCTCTAACAAATAAATAAAATACCTTAAAAAAAAAAATTGAAAGCTGGCCACCTTATTATATAGCCACCAGAACCAGTGTTTATTTAAACTCTACTTAGAAAAAAAATTATTTTAAATATGAAAATGCTTTTTATTAAAATGGATGGTGTTCTACTTGAAACCTTTTATATCCTAAAGAGAAATTCATGTTCTATTTCCTATTGAAACATTTTTTTCCCTGAAAAGGGAATTCAAACTTGTGCTTTTATTCCATATGGTTTGGTAATGCTCATAATATAAAATTTTAGAGTAAGATTTATAATACCTTTAATAATAAGTTTATTTGTTAAATTTATAAAGTGCAGATACTTAAGATAATTTTTGTACTTTGAAAAATTGCAACTGAATTTTTGCTTACCTTGTATATTTAATAAAATTTAAAAGTTACATGAGTTTTCAATGCAAATATTAATATTTAGTGTAACAGTTAACTAACAGCATGTTTTCTGAAGAAATTACAGATTTTTAAAGTGCTTGACATGTTCTCAGGGCATAATTTATGTACCAGGAGAATTTTTCTCTGTCACTTTCATACTTGAATTTGAACGGCAGCTTTGACCACTTGATATTGCTAGATGGAGTGAATGGGATAAATTCTAGTTGTAAAGACTTGACTCAAGAGGAGATACTTTATAGAATTTTAACTCATGGCAAAGTCAAAGTATACGCTCATGCGGGTCTTGAAATTCTGAGTAGAGGATCATGGGACTTTCTAAGTTTCATTATCTTTTCTTCTTATTTAACAGGTACAACTAATACCACTTTAACTCCAACTTCACAACCCGGGAGGAAGTCAACCTTCGATGCGGCCAGTTTCATCGGAGGAATTGTCCTCGTCCTGGGTGTGCAGGCTGTAATCTTCTTTCTCTATAAATTCTGCAAATCGAAAGAACGAAACTACCACACTCTGTAAACAGACCCATTAAATTAACGAGGACTGGTGTGTAACTCACTGAAACCAAAATATTCTCTTTCAAGATGTCCCACGTGGAAGACGCTATTCCAGGATCTGTACACGTTCAAAGGATGCATATAGGATACTTGGGAGCATCATCTCGAAGAAAAATCACTTAAATCATTTTGCTCAACAGGAATATTTAAAATATTCTGCATGAATCCTTGTGGCTGTCTTCTTTATTTTCAATGGCTGCTGCTGTGGGATTATGTTCTCTCTTCTTGACATACCAAATGTAACTCTGTAAGTGGTGGGAAGCATTGTCCTGCACAGACACCTCATGACTCTTCTGGCAGTTTAAATTTAGTCATTTTAAAGCCTGAAAGCTGCATCATTTTCATCCTATCTCAGGATGTAGTTTAGTGACCAGAATTGAGAAGAATGTGCCAAATGAGCATCAGTCGGGTGGACTTTTGGCTGTCCTTTCAAAAGTGGAATAAGTCGGTAAATCTAGTATCCTTAGAGTAAATTGTATCCTTAGCGTAAAATTTTGTGCTTGTTAACAGTTATTTTTTCTACATTAGAAATAAGATGCCACACAGGGAATTACATTCCAGATTTAAAGAAACGAATGGAAAGGATACAAACCATTAAAAAGCAGGTTATCATTCATACTTGCAAAGCACCTTAAATCACTGAGAAAATAAAGAACAGTGCCTTAAAAGACAGACTGAAAGGTAGGCTGTAACTTAAAATGTTCCTGATTTGTTCTTTCACATTAAGGAGGGTAAAGGTTGGTCTGATGATCCAACTGTTGACGAGCTGTAGCAAACCTGCTTTTAGATACCATGCTGGTAATAACCGAAAATTTAACTATTTTGTTTCAGACCTGAGCAAGTTAGGCTAAAGGATGTTCTGCAAAGTTGAAAGCCTTCATATATTGAACTTCCAACGTTTTTCTTAGGCTGTTAAAAAGTATAAAGCTAAAGTTGATTTTCTTACGTTTTTCCTTTGTACTTCAGGAAGTATCCCCACACTGTTGTACCTTGAAAGGATTTTTCACCAAGCTTCCTTGAAAAGTAACTTTTTTTTTTATGAGGCAAGAAGGAAATAAGTTGTTTTAGAGTCATTTACAGCTCTTGAATGAGACAATCATTTTAAGTTTTGAGACCAGAAATGTGACCAGTGTAATTTCAGAAAATCTGAGGATTTTTCGGTTGATTGGATTACTGTAGATTTTTTAATGATGATTGCCCTGGATAGACAGATTGCGCTTTCTTTTCTTTCTTTCCTTTTTCTCTCTCCCTCCCTTCCTTCCTTCCATTTTTCCTTCCTTCCTTTCTCCTTTTCTCCCATTCTTTCTTTTTGGTTGCAATTCCTGTAGTACATTAAGCATGCGTACTTTATTATTATTTTTTTTTAGTTTCTTTAGGAAGCACTAGTTTTTTCAGTTTCAGAGGGATACGTCTCCCCTGCCTTTGACATACTGGATTAGTTCAGAGGTTTTCATTAGTTTTAAAAAAGCTTTTGCTTTTCTAGGTCATTAAAAGGTTTTTTTGTTGGTTTGTTTTTGGTTTTGTTCTGTTTTTAGTTTCTTTAGCCTATAGGGGCTGAGTTTAGCACTTGGTTTTCAATATTTTGTAGTAGGAAATGAGGAGTTGCTTTGGTCCATTTCATAAGCCAAAATTCCTTACATTTAGATATGATTATATTCAAGGTTCTTAAAATGAAGATTTACTGTTTCTTTGTTACTTGCTGGTACAGCTAGTTTGTTTTACTTGCACATTTGTACATACACTTAATGTTTTCAAGTGCCTTAATTGTTTAAAATCTCTGGCTTCAAAGGTTTTTGGGAAAAGGTAGGTTTACCTCACATTTTTGTGTTTTCATTAGTAATATTCTGATACCAGTTTTTGGAACCTCACAGAAATTTTTATTATGGTGCCATGGCTGTTAGTTTTTAGTGAGTGCTGTAAGATCCAAGAATCATTTGAAAAAATACAGAGTCTCCATTTCTCCCAAAGCGGCAAAATTTAGCTACAGTGATATATAATTATCATTTACCTAGATACGAATACCTTGTCACACATTAATGTCAGTACATCTGTTTTTGTGAAAATGTAGCTGATGAAGCTTCTCATCTTCTGTAGTCTTGAATCCTGCTCTGACAACAGAACCATAATATGAAACCAGTTAGATTTTGCAAGAAGAGCTCTTAAAACGGAACTCACAGCCTTTTCCCCCTTTCTTTAGTATCTTGAGCCGTTAATAATTTGTTTTTTTTTTAATCCAGAAGGTACAGAAACGTTTTTGGATTTTTCTCCTGATTTGTTCATGTGGATGTAGTTCTATCAAAACACCTTATTTTACCTTACAGATACTTGTTGCACAGGCAGACACTGCTGTATTTAGAAATTTCTATTTCAGTTCATTAAAAACTGCAAAACCAATCTGTATCATGTACCAAACTGATTTAAAATAAATCTACATGTTAATTGAATTAATCTGTTCTTTTTTATTAACTGAAGTGTTTTTGCATTTTGATGATGAAATTTAATGTTCGTGAATTTACCTTATCAGTCTGTTTGGGGATGGGTTGTCTGCTCACTCTCTATTGCTCTCCAAGACCAGTGGCTAGTAGCAGATCCGCATTCGTCAGAAACTTGTAGTGCTTTAGTGCTCTCAGCACGGTAATGTTGATCCATTGTGTTCTCACGCGCATTGTTCTCTGAGAAATCTGTCCTCTTCGTCTTCTGTTCCTCTGCACATGTCTTTGTTTTCCTTTGTTGCTTTTTAAGATTTTTCTCTATGGCTGTTCAAGCAATTTGAAGTGATGTGCTGTGCTAGTCGTTCTTGTGCTCGGGGTTTGTTGGGTTTCTTGGATATATGCTTTTCATCAGATTTGGACATTCTCAGCTGTTATTTCTTCAAATATTTTTTTTCAATCCTTCCCCTTCTCTTTTGGGGATTCTAATTACGTGGGGGCTGCTGGAAGTTGACCCACAGCTCATTCATGTACTGTTTAGTTTTTTAATTTAATCTTTTTCTGTTTCATGTCAAATTATTGTGTTCAAGTTCACTAATGGCTACAGTTTAATCTGTTAATCTTAGTGTGTTTTCCATTTCAGATGTCTTCGTTTCTAGAAGTTCATTTTGGGTGTTTTTATATTGTTCATGTCTCCATACCCATTCTTTAGTTTTTGAGCATGCAGTGGTTGGTTTTTTTTTAATGCTTATGTCTGCTAATTCTAATACTGGGTCAGTTTGATTTTTTTTCCTCTTTATGGGTCATGCTTCTCCTGTTTCTTTGCGTGCAAGATGTAAATTATAACCTGTTGGGTGCTGGTTATTTTTGTTCTTGTACAGAGAAAACAGTTTGATCCTTTTTAGGTCTTGGCGTTTTAAACTTTGTTAGGTGGGAGCAGAGCAGCATTTATTGGAGGGCTAATAGTTGTCCAGTTCTTAGGCAAGACCCTTCTGAGTACTCAGAGCCCCTGGATTACGAGGCTTCCCAGTCTGGGCGAGCGGGGACAGGCTCTTTTCCTAGCCTTGTGCGGGCTTCCGGGTACTGTTTCCTGGAAACCTTTCCTAGCCGTGGTTAGCTACCTCCTGCGTCTGCTGATCGTCATGTTGCTGAGACTGTACTCCGCAGATCTCTGGAGTTCTGTAGCCTTCCACGGCGGTGCTCTGCTCTGGAACTCCAGCTGCCTTCAGCTGCCGTGACTTCCAGCTCCATCTCCTCAACTCAGGAAGTGCACTGGGCTCTGTCTGGGCATCCTCTCCCCACATCATGGCTTAGAAATTCAGGGCAGTTGTCTGGATCCATAGTTTCCTGTCCTTCAAGGATCGTTGTCCTTTGCCCGAAGTCCAGTGTATTGAAAACTACTGTTTAATGTGCACTGTCCAGTTTGAGGGCAAATGCAGTCTCAAGATGGGACCTTTAAAGTTTTAATTTTTATTTCAAGGAATATATAAATACATATTCTTAATTTTTTTCTTAAACTATGCAAGATAAGTATGTCTGCTTTGACTGTCCCTTAATCCCTTCCCCTTGCCGGCTCCTCCACTTTGCAGAGGTAATTACTGGAACTGGTCTGGTGTTAAACACCCCCTCCGCCAGCATTTTTTTTATATATTGTATGTACCCTTAGAAAATACATAATGTGGATTTTTGTGTTAATATTAGCCTGCAACTTCTCACTCACTACTTGGACATCTCAAGTTAGTGTATGTAACTATACCAAATTCTTCAATTCTCTGAGGGCATATGTAGTATGAGCATCATAAGTATCTGCTTATGGAAGGATAGTAGGTTTGCAATTTTTAGTTTTTAGTAACACTTTTGCAGAGCAGTATCTTTGCACCTGCCCCCTTGTTTATGTGTGAATTTCTGTCTAGTGTAAAGGTAGAGAAGGGGAGATCTGTGTCATAGGGTTTACACTTTGAGCTTTTTATATTTAACTCATTTTTAAATTTTAAATTCAATTAATACATAGTGTATTGTTAGTTTCAGAGGTAGAGGTCAGTGATTGGTCAGTCTTCTATATAACACCCATTACATCACTGCCCTCCTTAATGTCTATCACCCAGTTACCCCATCCCTCACCCCCTCCCCTCCAACAATCCTCAGTCTGTTTCCTATGATTAAGAATCTCTTATGGTTTGTCTCCCTCTCTGATTACGTCTTGTTTTATTTTTTCCCTCCCTTACCCTATGCTCCTCTGTTTTGTTTCTTAAATCCCATTTATGAGTAAGATCATATAATTGTCTTTCTCTGATTGACTTATTTTGCTCAGTATAAAACCCTCTAGTTCCATCCACACTCTGTACATTTTAACAAACTGAGATTGCCTTCCAATTCCCACCAGCCAGTGTACCTGAGAGTTTCTATATCCTTTCCATCTGATATTGGCAAAGTTTTAATACTCTGGTGAGTGAAATGATTTACTTGGTTACTGTCCTTAATTTGTACTTCCTCTGTGAATTGTCTTTTTCTATCGTGTCTTATTAATTGTAGGATTTTTTCTCTTAAAACGTGCTGGGTGCTCATCTATGGTCAAATGGATTTTCTTTGATATATCCTTCAAGTCTTCATCTTTGATTATGGTGTCCATATCACAAGAGTACAATCAGGAGATAGAAGCCACAAATATGAACAGGGGAAGTTTGACCTAAGAGTGGATTGGAGGGATAGGACACATTATCTGTAATATTTTAAGGAATACAAACAAAGCAGTGAAGAACTCTGAAGAATACTGGCATAGCAAATATAAGAAGTGGCTGCTCTCTGTCCTCTCTCAAGCCAAATTCCAGAAATATTAAGGTTACAACCTTGGCTCTCTGGATGAAGTTTGTGGTAGCTGCAAATCCACCACCGGGCAGCTATGGGGAAATGATATGCCGGTGGTGATCTGCGAAGCCATCCAAGGGGATGCAGGGTAAGCCATGTTCAAGAGGGTACTATACCAGTGATACCACAGTGCTCAGATGTGTGCACTGCTAAAGTTTTTCCCAGAACCAGGAAAAGAAATTCCTCCAGTACTGTCTGACAAAACATCACGCCACCTAGCAAAGAAGTATTCATTCAACTTCATTGTCATAATGATGGAGCGGGCAACAGGTGGATTCAAAGCTTAAAGTCCTTTTTTCTGTCAATTTATGATCTCCCACTACTTAATGTTTATTTTGCCCTTGCTTGAGAATCTCAAGTGGTCAGTTCTCCTGGTGGGGACCCAAATATTACTACCAAATGGTGTGAGTCTTCTACTGTTCTATTTTGGTTGCGTAGATTTTCATTAATCTTTCCTATTGGGTATAGAAGTGCTCAGGCACCTAGAGAACCACCATGTCCCAGATATGGCCTTTGCCTCCATTGTGTACCAGCACTACAATCTCCCCTTGGTAATAAGGATCGACCATTCCAGCCAGTAGGGTAACACCTTTCACTGCCTGTTGATTTAGTGGCTTATGAATCCCAAGATGGCCAAGTGGCAGTCTCACCTTAGATCCTAAATCATTAGACCCATTGTTGTGTCTCTGGTTGAAACAAACCTTGGGAACTAAGACCTCCAAACCAGCTCAGCTTGAGGTTCCTGAGATGAGAAGTATCACCGTGAGTCATACCCACTTCTACCTCTTGATTCCTGGGTACGTATGCTACCTCTGTGAGACAACTCCATCCTTTCAAGGTGGTTACGACTGAGTTACAACGAGTTTTCAGTGAATTATCCCACCTTTCAGTCAGCCCGGCCACTTCTGGGTGTTGGGGCATGTTAATTTCACAGGCATGAGTTTACGGCAACATTTCCTTTACTGTGAAATTGATTCCTTAACTAGAAGCTGTGCTATAGGAAATGCTGTGACAGTGGATAAAGCATTCTGTTAGTATGTGCATCAGCTAGCAGTGCTGGCAGGAGCATTATAGACCATATTCAGAATGTGTATATTCTACCAAAGATGAATCTCTGTCCTCTATGATGGAAAAGGCCCAATATAATCAAATTGCTATCACATGGATGGTTGTTACCCACGAGATTAATACCGTATTCAGCCTCAGTATTGGTCTCTGCTCCTGACAGATCAGGCAGTAGTCAGTAGTGCATGTCAGCCTTGATAAGGGGAAATCCATGTTGTTGAGCCCATGCATAGGTCACATTCATGGGTCCATTGAACAAGCACTGGGGTAGCTGGGGAAAGAGACTGACACCCATAGAGCGCATTATTTTATCCACTTAATAAGAGCCTTCTTTGCCATAGATGCCGTTCAGTGACATGGGATATGAATATCGAGTGTGTTCCCATTCCGAGATCCATCCACATTTACTTTTCACCAACCTTTACTATTTCTTCCAAGTCTAACTGTCCAACCAAATCATTAGCAACTACCCAAGAATTCGTGTGGATTTGCACTTCTGGCCATGTCTCAGATCAGACACCATGGACAATCAAATGCACTACTTGGAGTTCTCACAGGGAAGATTTTCTTGCACCCCTTCTTTTTTTTTTTTTTAAAGATTTTATTTATTTTATTTGACAGATAGAGATCACAAGTAGGCAGAGAGGCAGGCAGAGAGAGAGAGAGAGGAGGAAGCAGGCTCCCTGCAGAGCAGAGAGCCCGATGCGGGGCTTGATCCCAGGACCCTGGATCATGACCCGAGCTGAAGGCAGAGGCTTTAACCCACTGAGCCACCCAGGCGCCCCTCTTGCGCCCCTTCTATTTAGATCCACTCCTGAGCTCCATGGTGCTGCAGTTGTCCACTTTTGGGTGGATCCAATATATCATGCAGACCTATCTATAAACCAGGTTTAATTTTTTTTTTCTTGGCTAGCTAGTTGTTAGAAACAATCCAGACCAGAGGTATTGATTGAGGAAGAGGCAGCAACAGGCATTGGTGCTGAAAGAGTCTGAGCCACATGTTCACGGAAGCTATTTGTACCTTTCAGACCTGTTCCAGAAAGTTAAGTGTATACTATTTCCATTGATAACAGATTGCTGCTGTGCATGCTCAAGTTTATGACTAGGTAGACTCTCAAACACCCAAATCATGATGTGAAGCTTAGGCTATCTGCTCACCTACCACCCCTTGGTTGGGTAATCGGTCTCTACAAGGCACAGAAGGAGAATAGTTGCCTTCAAAAGAGGGCAGGGATTTGCTGCAGAACCCTAAGGTTTGCCCTGTGTTTCTGCTTGAGAAGGGCTCCATATGTGCCAGGATACTTCTAGAATCACTGGCTCTGCTGGATCATAGGACCTATATGGCAGAGCAGCTTATACTGTAACTCTAGTTCATGACAGAACCTTCTCTTGCTAGGCTCCCCGCTCCAAATTGGTAATCTTACAGATAACTCTAGAGGAGGGTTGAAATAGCCAACTCAAATGTTGCGCATGTTGCCTTCAAATCCAAAAAGGCCTACTGAGCATCATGCCTTTTTTTTCACAGTATATGGTGTAAGCCTAAGCAAACTGCCTTTCTCCTTAGAGGAAGACCCTTAACATGCTCCAAAACCTTGAGCCCCCAGAGACTTCACTGGGGTTAACAGCCCTAAATTTCTGTGGAATTTGTCCTTTACCTTCTAGTTCTTGTATGTCTTACTAAGACACCAAATACTATCTCCTACTCATATCCAATCAGCATGTTGTAAACATAGTGTCTTTTGTAGAATATCATGATGATCAAGCTCTCTACCGACTATATCATGGTAGGGAGTAGAATTGACAAAGCCTTAAAGCAAGACTCCGACAGTATACTGCTGCCCTACCAGGTAAAAGCTAACTGCTCTTCATGGTCCTTACAATTTGTTATGGAGCAAAAGGCGTAACAAATTGGGTCAACAACTGCATAACGAAGGCCAAGAGGATATTCATTTGCCCCAGTAAAGATACTACATCTGAGACAGCAGCTGTGGTTGGAATCACTACCTCGTTAAGATGGGAATCTGATAGTCCCTAGTCATTTTCCAAGATCCACCTGTTCTCTGCACAGGCCAAAGTGGTGATTTAAGTGGCAATGTGATAGGTCTCATCATCCTTGTTTCCTTAACGTTTTGAAGGTGGCATTAATCTCTGCAGTTTCCCCAGGGATATAATTTTGCTTCTAGTTTACTTTCCAGAAAGGGGAAGTTTCAGGGGCTCCCAATGATCTCTTCCTAAAATAACAAGGCTTCAAGTCATGGGTTAAAAACCAGTCGAGGAGTCTTTTCAGTTGTTCGTGATGTCTATTCCAATTATACATTCAGGAAATAACCACATGGTGGGCCCATGGATTGACTAGGTCCACTGTAATCTGAACCTGAGACTCCTGCTACCTCGCTGTAAGCCTTCATTTTGACTGTTGAGCCACTGTGTGCTTTGAGTTCCCAAGAATCAAGATTTTGTTTTTTAGGAAGACTCCACACCCAATGTGGGGTTGGAATCTGGGTGAGAGATTATGACTCTCCTCTATGCTGACTCAAGCCAGGTTTCTGACTACCAGAGTTTCTCCTGTTGTATAGATCAAACAATATTTGAATTGGCTGCCCATGTGATTTCATTTGGGGGTACACACTGACCACCAAAGATCTCTATGTGCCAGGTCTATAATCTGACTACTGACAGGACCCTGCTGCCCCTTATAATAGACATACCTACTTGTCCTTGGCCGTTGTCTTCTGCTATTCTGGGACTGCATCATAACCACTGAAATGAGAGAGCCCATCTCAACAGCAATGAGAAATGACAAAATTGTGATTTCAACTGTCATTGTCATTAGCATTCTGCACAATTAAAAATTGTGCTGGATTTTTTTTTTTTTTAGCAGTATTACCCCTATGACTACAAGAAATAAGAGATTTTTTTGAAGGCTGCTATGGAAGTTCTCTGACTTTCAGACCATTATCCGAGCTGAGAATTAAAGGACCGGAGCTTGTCATTTTCTTCTGTAAGTGCTAAAGTGCATCCAAGAAAGTCCATCCCACACCCCGGTATTTATGGTCATGATTATTGCCATGAGAGTCAGTGTGGTAACAATTTAAGCTCCTGAAGCACATGCTTCAAGTAGGTACTTCATCGAAGTCAACCGTGGGTAGTAACTTGGTTAATTGTCATGCCATTGCATGCAAGGGATTACTAGTCTTCCATTTCTTATTGTCAAGGAGCTCAGCATTGTGTCCACGCCCAAGGGTGCAACCAAGCAAATCCCCAAATCCCATCCTTGTGAGTCTGTCCCCTAAGACCACTCCACTACTGGTATCAGTTCTGTATTATTGAACTGTATCAGTTCTATATTACTCATGGGTCAATTAAAAGATAGAACCCCCACAGTAATCCAACTGTGAGAAAGTTTAATAGAAAGGATTATTAACTATAACAAGGGGTTGACGTAATGGGAGGACTGGCTGGGAAGCAATAAAGAGAGCTCTGAAGAAAACAGGGATAGCAGATATAGTGAGCAGCCACGACCCTCCAGAGCTGACATAAACTGGAGAGGGTGTGACCTCAAAGGCTCACTGGATGGCAGAGAAGTTCACGAAGACTGGGAAGTAGCCCTCAGGAAAGGAGAAGCAGGAGGAGAAAGCCCTTCACAGAAGGCGCCATGCCAGTGGCCCTCCACCAGGAAGCTGCATGCTCCCGTGCGCATTCTCAGACAGAAGCATGTCAACATAGCAGGAACCTGCCAAGAGAAGCACCCCAGAACCTCCTTCTTCAGGATCCCTCCAGTACTCTCTCCTGACAAAGCTTAAAATCTTGCAGTGGGCAAAGAAGAAAGATTTACAGGGTCCATATTAATTAAATTATAGCAGACAAGGATGAATTTAGAGCTGAGAGGCATAAATTGATAACTGGTACCATATTGTCATGTTGTCATGTTGAATTTGTAGCTTTGACATCCAAGTCATCAATCTTCCTCTTGGCTTTTGTTTCTCATGTTCTACTTAAGAAATAAGTGTGTGTGTGTGTGTGTGTGTGTGTGTGTGTGTGTGTGCATATAGATCTTGAATCCATTTGGAATTCATTGTGTATAGTGTAAGGCGATAATTTATTCTACTTGAAATAGACTCAACCTTACCCTTAATTTGAAAAGTTAAACAAATATAATATATAAATATATGTATGTAAATGTTTCTCTTGTTCCATTCATCTACCCATTTATTCCTTTACTCAGGATACATTTTCTTGTCTGAACAAAAAGGCTTGCATTAGGACTTCGCAAAACTCTGAAGAGGGTCTCAGTATTTGTAGGCAGAATCAAAAAACTAGTTAAGAGAGGATGATGTTCTTAAGTGAAACAAATAGAAATGAGTGCTCTGAAATGTATTGAGATTAATCTTCTCTGGTTTTTCACTTACTAAAAATTACTGCTTAGCAGCAATGCACTCTCTCCTGGTTCGCACACCTCATCAGTAATCTGGAACCCACAATGAGAGGCTGTTGATTGACCAAAGCTGAGGCCCAGGTTGTAGAAGTGCAAATCAACTCTTAGTTCCTAAAACCTAGGGCCGAGCCCTACTTCGCCTGGGACATTTCAGATATAATCATCTCAGTCCTTCCACACTGTCTTCATAGTACTGATAATAAAAATTAGATCAAGGTTTCATGGAGGTTAGAATCATTTTTATTCATTCAAATGCTCAAGGAAATAAAATGTGGAAAATGATATATGATTACCAATCAGGTCTTTATGGGATTATGGATGGAGCTGTGTGAACTTGAAAAGCTGAACATTGAACATTTTCTGCCACGTTGGGTAGAAAGACGTTGTCAGTCCTTCTTTCGTGTTTAATAGGTACCTGTAATATAAGGATTAAACAGATATTGGAGATATCATTAAAAGTCACTGTTACTCATGGGACCAAGATCATTCATCCAGTCTGGGGCAGGCCATTTACGGCGCCTTCTTGTACCTGCCACTTGTCATAAAGGGAACTGGTTACGAATTAAATCTATCAACAAAAAGCCATTATCATCTAAAGAAAAAAGATATCCCATACATGGAGTAATCTAAAAATTCCTTAAGAGTTTATCATTTGTGTTAGTGTAGTGTTTTGTTTTTTAGAAAGTCTTGGTGGCCTTACATCCCAGCATGTGTACATTCCTCCTCAGTCTGTATTTATCTGATTTGTCTTATAGGCCTTTCTTAAGAATTCAGAACTTCGATTCAAAGAGGCTCCAATTCTTTTGTGCCTTTCCTGGACCTTAGGCTTTTTGCTTGGGGTTTTTATAGTGTACACAAGTTAATGGGCTACAAAACATTCCCTTATTTATTAGGGTTTGTTTAGACCATCACCCTTTTAAATCTTGTGATACAGTGGCTCTCCTCTGATGCATTTAGTTACTTAAGCAGCCTTCTCAACCATGAGCTGTAATCACCAACTACACCTATAAGAGCAACATTTGCTTTTGGGAGTGAAACGGGGATGGAGTGAATCTTAAAAGCCCTTGTGGTCCCATAAACGCCAACTGAATATTGCTTCTTTTTGGAAAAGGTTTTTGTAGAAACAGACATAGACTAGAATTTCACTTTTTACTGAAAGCTGACTGCACAGAGATTGGTAGGTCAAGCGAATGGCGGGGATTGATAATGTGGTCCTACTTGGTCAAGGACCTTAAATTGATATACCTGATCTGTTTCTTCCCTTTCTGTGTATGACTCCTTAACCGCATGTTCAGAAACACTGCTGGAAATTTCTGATCCGATAACTAGATCATCATCTGCAAAATTATACCCTCATATTTTTCTCTGACAATATGATTAAATCTTTTCCTTTTAATTTTCCTCAAAGCAAGAGGCAGGAATTCTTAAATGGGTTGACATGTAAACTTCTGGAGGGGATTCTAAAAAACAATGGGGCAAAGAGTATAATACTTATCAAAGTAATGCAGAGAAGGCAGTGGAAGAGGGTAAATGTTTTACATAAACCAAAAATGGAAATATTTAAAAAAAAATCTACATATATGTTCTGTACCTTGACCTAATCTGTGTCCCAAGAATTTCTTTGGAGGGTAGATTTCTCATGTTTTTAAAATGACTTCTGAAACTTTCTGCTCTGCCAGGGAACTCAGATAAGAGATCTCATACTGCTAGTTAATTACTGCAGATGACGGAAGGAAAAGAAGAGATTCAGAGACGGAACACGGCAAGGTGTTGATACTGACTTCCACATCCATTTATTTCATTGTAATTGAGTAAGTGCTTTGGGGATGAAATGTTTTGATATTCAGAATTCTGTTACTGAGGAGTAGCATCAGCAAGAAGGTAGAGTGGGAAACCCTGGACCATCCTTTTTCCCAGTCATCGATTCAGAAACAGTTCATGAACAAATTCCCTCTGTGAGAAATCCAGAATTTTATTATTTAGATCCAAGTATCTAGATAAGAGCCTGATATTTTTAATGTACTTTTGAAGTGAACCTAAAACCATAATTTCATATTTACATTTTTCATTGTTTCACATATATAATCAAATTTATCATTACTTACGGTGTCTGGCCTTTGAATCCTCCTTGTCATTTTACTGCTCATAAGATGAGTCCTTAAAAGGTGTTGCTGGGAGTGTCTGGATGATGTGGGAGCAGAACGTAGGGAATACTGAGCCCGAGGTTTAAGGCCTATAATGTTAAAAAATGTTAAATCATATCTCTGGTTGCAGTGTATAGGCCTAGATTTAATCCATAAAATTTTGAGCATAAAATGAACATCTAATCCACTTCATCAGTTCTGAGTGAAGATGACAAAACCCAGATGGAATTTTTTGCCTGAGGGTCACATGACCAAGTGAAAGAGAAGGATATGATGGTTGACTTGGACTATGATGGGTAGAAGTGGACAGACTTAGGGATATTCAAATTAATCAGATTTGGTAATTCACTGGATTTGCAGGGTGACAAGGAATAGCTCCCAGATTTCTGGCTCAAGCAATTGGATAGCTATTCATTTTATTTTATGGTGGATTTTATGATTCTGGCACATATATGATCAATAAATAATGGTCAGTAACAAAATTAGAAGGGTAGATGGGTGGGAAATATGAGTATGTAGAAAGAAAGCAGATAAAGATTAGAACAAGGCCCCTGTAGTAGTGAAAAAGTAGAACTAAATGGGATCCCATGCGTTGGGATAGGCCCCCGGGAAGGGGCAGCTTTTCCGTTTTACCAGGAGGGACCAAGAAGCAGCTGAGTGCTAATGTAGGGGGGCTGGGCTCAAGTTATAGAGGGGTTTCCCCTTGGATGACTTTTAACTGCTCTGTGAAACTGGAGGTGACGTGTTGGCTGGGGAGGAGGACAGTGTTGGAAGGTGTGAAGAAGCCAGAAAGATTTAAAATAGTTGCTGGGAAAAGGAGAGAGTGAGCTGACCCCATTCTCAGCTGCAAGGGAGGGACATGTGAGCTGGTCCTAAAACCACTGAGAACCTTAGGCTCTGGCTTTAGTGATTGGCTCAAACCCGGACACGTGACCCGAGTCGACCCAGTCTGAGGCTGATTCTTCTCAATTGTCCATCTCCAGACTGACTCCTGCCCCTCGAGCTGGAACAGAGAGGAAGCTACAGTGGTGGCTGCCATCTTGCTTCCCAAGGGTCTCCACTTACTCTCCGCTCGCAGCATTCTCAGAGCCCAGCAACAGCGAGAGAGAAATTGGTGCTCGTGAAAAACATCAAAGCTGGATCAGGAGAACTTAAGGCAGTCTGCCTCTGAACATTTCACAGTTTTGTCAGCCAAGTGATTTCATTTTTTCCCCCTTAAGTATTTTAAGAACAGCTGCACTAGAATATATTATAGTTTCTCAGGAGTTGCAAGATCCTAAGGGGAATCCATGCTAATGCCAAGTAGAGAGAGCCGGCCCCCTAACTCTGCCTTGGCCTCCGGTGCCTCTGATGTGGGGAGCAAGGTGACTGCTGCTACCACAGCTACAGGAAGGAGAGACCTTGGTCACCTCCGGTTTTCAACTGGACAACAGCTGGGAAGGGAGTGGGAATGGCTGACTTTTGGCACTAATGGTACAGGAGGTGCCTGGCTGTCCCCTTGGAGGCTGGGTAATAAATAGGGTAATAATGGGTAATAAATAGACAGGTATGACCCAGTCCCTCCTCCCCCAATGAATCTACATGTAGGGAGCCCTCCACAAAGCTCGTCCTGTCACTAAGAGGGGACAGATGAGGGCTGAGGTTTAGGAATAACTTTTACATCTGTTTCCAGGGAAAGGCTTATCTTTTACTCCTGCCACATCCCCAGTTCCGGGAATTAGGGTTCTGCCCCCCTACCCATCTTGTGCCTCACTCTGTTTCTCCTTCCTAAATGTGCAGCTGTTGGAGGACATGGATGGCAGTTTGAAAGGACACTTTAACCCAGAAAGAGATTTAAAAGATGCTTGGCTGGGGTACCTGGCTGGCTTAGCTGGTAGAGTGTCTGACTCTTGATCTCAGGGTGGTGAGTTCAAGCCCCACCATGGGTGCAGAGCTTACTTATTAAAAAAAAAAAGAAGAAGAAGAAAGAAGAAGAAAGAAGAAGAAGAAGATGGTTGGATGGAGGCAGAGGGGCAAGGGAGAGACAGAAAAATCCTAGGGAATGTGGAGAAGGAGAGTGCAAGGTACAGAATGCTCAGGGTCAGTGGTCAAAATAGGGCCTTGGATATGTGTATGTTCTTTCTCTTCAGACAGGCCAACTGAGGTGAGGAAAATCAGACCTGCTCTCAGGTCCCAGGCAGCAGGCATAGAGGCAGGAAGGAGGGCCCTGGGCTTTATAGCTGAGCCCAGCCTTGGTCTTTTTTTTTTTTTTTTTAAGATTTTATTTACTTATTTGAGAGAGAGAGAGACAGAAAGAGTGTGAGTGGAAGGAGGAGCAGAGGGAGAGAGAGAGGGAGAGAGAGAGAGAGACTGTCAAGCAAACTCCATGCTAAGCGTGGAGCCTGACATGGGGCTTGATCCCAAGACCCTGTGATCATGACCTGAACCCAAATCAGACATGGACACTTAACTGAGTCACCCAGGTGCCCCACCAGCCCTGCTCTTAGTAAACCCAGAGTCACTCCACCTTTGTCTACTTGATCTTTGATGCCAATCTTTCTGTTTCTGAAAGGCTCTGTTTTCTTATATATTCACCTAGTAAATAGCCAAAAGCAAACATAAAGGACACACACGTATGAAAGTATAGGAACCAAGATTTGTACAGTTAGTTAGTGCCTCTGTACTACGTGGCAGATGTGCTTTATTTTGTTTAATCCTCAGAATACCCTTTTGAGGGGATATTCCCATTTTACAGACAGGCTAACCTGAGGTCACATAGCGAGCAGTGACTGAGCCAGGATTTGAACCAAAGCGCACACACCCAACCACCAGGCTCCACCAGAAGAGAAAAGCAGAGACTTGGCTGATCTTAACAATAAGTCAGTTGTGGTTATTGATATTTGATGACATTTTTGATAGAAGAACTTAGAATTTATTTTGTCCTCAACTTACAGGGGAGGAAGCTAGTTTAGAGACATCCCGGGTTTGGCCTCTGTTCCACGCTTCTTGCTAGCTGTACTGCCCAGAGGGCGGTGTTGATTGCCACTTCCAGAGGGCTCTTCAAGCCTCCAGCACCCAAGAATCATAATACACTTTCTAAATAACATCTGAGATATAGATGTGGTCATTGATGTTCCAAGGGATTAAGACAGTGAAGTACCCAGTGTTCTTTAAGTGGTATATTACAAGCCAGTTTTTATGACTAAAACATTTTAGTATAGGACATAAATACTCTAAGGTAAACTAAAGTAGAAAGTTATGGCTGCAAATCACAATTAAGTTTCATTCATTCATGTATCGTTCATTCATTCAACAGCCATCACAGAGCCCCCAGTCAATAACCACCGGGTTGTTACGGCTAGTCCCTGAGATCCTCCTCAGTTCAGACCCCAGAGCCTGGGAGTTTGTGCTAGCCAGAGCAGGGGACCTGCTTACCGCCTGGTGAGCTCATCCGGACAGACGATTGCTCAGCGTCACTAAGCTGACTTTGTAGCTCTTGTACGCGCTGGAAAGCATCCAGCTTCACACTCCGCTCCTGGGCAAGCCGGCTTCTCATCTGAGGGGAAAAGTGCTTAGGAAGCAGAGATGCTTCCTGGTGCCTACTTTAGTTCCTAGGGTTCCTTGGAGAGTGTAGGTCCAGGCTGCCCCAGAAATACAAGTCCTCATGCATTCCTGGTCAGGCTGAACTCAGCCTTCTGAGGAGAGCTCCAAGAAGGCCAGAACTCAACCAAAGAGGAGCAGAGGCAGCGCTTAGAACTTTTATTGCCTTATCATAGCCAGGAGTTTACTCACGACATTTTTATCTTTTATGTTTATTTCACCAGAGTGGAGGGGAGGATAGGAAATGGAAGGTTCCAGTTCACAGAGGGCCTTGTGGGTCAAAGCCATGAAACTACCACAGGAATGGGAGGGAGCCCCTGGACAATTTCAAGCAGAGGAAAGACCCAATCTCTTTCCCAGATCTCTGTTTGGCTCAACTCATCATTGGCAGGGATGCCCTGAGCACCATCCCCCACACCTTATATGAGGCCCCTAGCAAGAGATGACCTCCGTATTTACTCATGTGGCCCTCTGCTCCCACAGCTTACGCCTAGTCCCCCAGCCAGAGAGTGGCTGGGTCCAAAGTGCCTCATCTGCAGAGATCACAGGTATTTTTTTAACTTATTTTTATTTATATAAATATAATTTTATATAGGTTATAAAAAGTAATTTAATTATAAAAATTATCTAAGAGTATAAAAAGTAATATAATTATAATTACATTAAAAATTATAAAGTACAAAAAAGCAATAATCATATAATGGATTGAATAGTGTCCCCTGGCCCCCCAAAAAATTCATGTTTGCCTAGAACCTCAAAAGGTGACCTTACTTGGAAATAGTCTTTGCAGATGTAATTAAATCATGAAGAAGCCATACTGGATTAAGAGTGGGCCTTACATACAATTACTGATGCCTTCCTAAGAAGAGGAAAGGGCTCAGACACACAGAGGGACACATACAGAGAAGGCGATCGGATGAGGAAGGCAGAGATCGGAGTGATGTAGTTACAAGCCAAAGGAATGTCAAGGACTACAGGCAGCCACCACAAGCTAGGAGAGAGGCAGCCCTCAGGAGGAGCCCACATCTTGATTTCAGGCTTCTGGCCTCCTGAACTCTGAGAGCATACATTTCACTTGTATTAAGCCATCTAGTTTGTGGTAATTTGTTACAACAGCCCCAGCAAACCAATCCACGTGCTACTCTCAAAACTTCAGCCACACATGTTTTAAATCCTACTCTCGTCTGCATGGACCCAATGAGAAGGCCTGTGAACTCTTGAAGCTGTGACCACAGGCTCATCTTACAAATGTTAAGGAGCAGTTTCTTGTGTGTGTGTGTGCAGAATACTCTCAAGTGTAATGTGACTTTCAGTTAAAGATCAGATCCCCAGAGTTAGGAACACTTCCTAATGCGAATTAGCCCCAAGGTCCCTGTAGGTACTATAAGGATTGGTGTAAGCTCCTTAGCCCTCATGGGTAGGAACCAAGAAAAACATATCAAGACTCCCTAGGCCAGGTTGGGGCTAAGTCAACTGGAAAAATATTAGCAAAGGAAAGAAACGTGCTTAGGAAGGACCTTGTGTTGTGTTAGGATCTTAAAGAAACCCCACCCCACTTCACAGAGATAGGTACAGTGATTTGCCCAAAATCCACAAGCTATTAGAGGCAGAGACAGGATGTGAATCCAGGTCAATCTGTTTCCAAAATTGTCCACCTTCATTCAGATTCCCAGTAAAAAGACATACAGCCAATATTAATCAAGAGCTGTGTGTCAGTTTCAATTCTAAGTGCTTCATTGGAACTATCTGGTTCAATCCTCCTAAAAATCCCATGAATTGAGTATATTGTTCTCCACTGTACTGATGAGAAGACTGAAACAAGAGAGAGACCACAACCTAGCCCAAGGTCATGCAGTGGAGATCTGGCCCAAGGTCATGCAGTAGAGGGCCCCAGGGCGTGAGTCAGGAAATCTGACTCTAGGGCCTCCACTCTAAATGGTCTCCACAGGAGCAGGAGGTAGGCAAGGATAATCATGCTCTCCAAGGCCAGATGATCAAAATCTGCCCTTGGAATTGGAGGTTGGAGAAGGATTAATGAGGTCACTGTGGGTCATAGGGGCTCTTGCTGGCTGAGGATGGATTGCTAGTTGGTGGTGAGCAGGACAGTAAGCCTGGGGCACGAGCTGTGCCCCAGGCTTACTGGGGTAGGGGAGTAATTTAGATTTTTACATGCATATACTAAAAAGATGTCTTTGTTGAGAGAAGCCTCAAAATATTTGTCTTGACTATTTTTAGAATCTAGACAAAAATTATTTAAGTAGAGAGGACTTTGAGAAACTAACACCTTATCTATTTTTAACTAGGCACAGGGCTCAAACTCATGACCCTGAGATAAAGATCAGGATTGAGATCCAGTAGGACATATAACTGATTGAGTCACCCAAAGGGCCCTAATGCCTTATTATTGGGTGGTTTTTAGAAAGGCATGATTTGAAGGATGAATATGTGACACCAAATTTTTCTTAAGGATTCAAATCACAGTTTAGATTTCACAAAATAAATGTGAAATTCTAATTCTCTTATTCTAAAGCTACCCATTTTTCTCTCCATTCCTCCACAAATATTTTCTCTAGCATTGCCTCAATTTAATTTTGGTCCTTTTTTTTTTTTATTTTTGTCATTTATTTTTGTAGACTTCTCATTGATCTCCTCCTTGAGCACTTGAAACACTTGGCCAATAATCTAATTTAACTTTCCAACTTCGGTTTCCTAATATCTCTGGTGAATTAAGTGATTTATTCCTTCAGTGAATGTATAAGACATGCCTGTTCTGGAAGGTGCTACTTCTTCTGCATTTTGTATTGGATTACATTCTGTGGTCTCCTTTGTTAGAACTTGCATTAATCCATGTCTACGTCTGCTGTTTCTTCCTTTTTTTTTTTTTTTTTAACTGTAGGGCTCTATTTAACAAAAATAGATTGTGTCTGGAAATCACATTTGCCTTTCCTTTTTGTCTCTGAGATTCCAGAAACACCTTGAATAAAATCCTCTTCTAATAGCTTCCATAATACTTGTTGCTTTTCCAGAATACCATTGGAATTTTCTAAAGGATCCCTAGTTCAAAAATTATAGTCCAGTGGAAACATGTTTGTCATGTGGGTTATAAAGGCACCAAGATTCTGGGCCTCGGGGCAGTGAAGCCATCATCCTCTCACCATTAGCAACCTGAGCATCACCTCAGCGTGGGCAGAAGTATTCCCATTATCCTGGTGGGCCTAGAAATGACAAAGGTGGGGGACACCAGAGGCATGGAAAATTCCAGAAGAAGGCCCCAGCTCTGGCTGGTGCATCCCGCTTGGCTTCCGAGGGGCTGCTCCCTCTCTCTGGAGTTACCTGTTGGAGTTCTCTCTGACTTCTCTTCTGCTGAAGCTGGCCCAGCCTGGAAGCCCTCTCAGCCACTTCTGTCAGGAGCTGCAGGTGCTGTTCCTTTTTCTCCACGTCTTCCAGGAGCTTCTCCATGCTGGAGGTTTTCATCAGATCCATCTGTTGCCAGTGGCGAGCCTCCTGGGTCAACTTGTGTTGCAGCTCTCTCAGCAGTTGAGCCTGTGGCAGGAAAGGGGCAAAGAAATTGAAGAAGGCGCAGTATTTCCTTTCAGCAAAAGGCCTGGAAGGAGAAGTTGCCCAACGGGATAACCATCCCCTCCCAAGGGGTATCCCCCAAGGGCAAGACCCTGTGGTGAGCTCCTGGGCTCAGGGTCAAGGAGCCCGGCCGTTTGGTTCTGGGCTACTAGCTGACAACAAGACTACCAGCATCTAGGCCACCTTGGCATTTACTGTAAGCCCTGAGGCAATAGTCAGGGAGACAACAAAAGGAACAAACCAGAAAAGCCAGCCAAGTGGTAATGCCACTGTACAGCAATACCAGTCAAACAGTTCCAACTTTCAGTGCCCAAATGTGACGATGATACGTACGTTACTTAGCCTATTAATCACATAGTTGTATCTACCACAAGCTACACGTGCAGTGTCACTGAGCACTCATCACGAAATAGCAGGGAAGGGTTAGCACCAGGAGAGGGTGTGACCTAACGCTGCAATGAGTGGACGAGGGAGGTTGTAATTTTGCCTCTGGTTTGACTTCCAAAATAGCTCTGGGGAAGCCAGGTTCCAGATGGTTAAGAGGGAAAAGAGGAGTAATAATTTGGTCCTGTTCTGAAATTTTTTTATCAGTAGCACCATAGGCACCAGAAGGTCAAACTCAGTTATAATACTAATACTAATATTATTTGTATGGCGATGCTACAGTTTACATAATTATACACCATCATTCACCTGGTGCATGATAATGGAGGATATAGGGTCCGGAAGGAACAAATTATATGCTATGTTTTAAACATGCCCAGCTTTCCCAGGCTCTTCTTTAAACTGAGCTCCTCTCTCTCTAAACCTTTCTGCTTCCTTCATGCTTGGAGAGTTGGTACAGCTGTCAAGAGCTTAAACTTGGAAACACCTTTATTTTGGGGCCAGCCCCTACTGAGCAGCAACTTCTGGAATGGGTCATCCGGAAAAGACCCAAGACTCTTAGTCTGGGGAATAGTGCTGACGGGTGGGCCACACTCCGCGTGCACAAGGCTGCTGTCAATGGAAAGTGTGCTTGGAGATGGAAGGTCTGTGTCAAGGGCAGAGACCTACACCCCAAGATGCCCTCTGGGTAATAAGATCCTCAGAGAAACACACATGTACATACTACACACGGATGAATGATCTTTTGTGTGGATAGTACTTGCCCGCCTTAGCCAAATATGAACAAAAGCAAAAGCCTTTTGGCCACTCTCCTTGGTTGCTGGGCTAGAGAGGAGGGAGAAGGGAAGCTGAGGTCTGGGTGGTGGTTCTCTGGCCCTGCCCTGTGCTCGAACCAGGCTCACGTTCCAGGCAGCTACGGTGCTGTTTCCGCTCCATGTGAGGCTTTGCAGAGCGAGCTGAGAGAGAGGGAGGGACAGGGCTCCTGGGGCTCGGATACCTGGTTATGGTGCTGGTGGAGCATCCTGGCGTTGTCGGCCTGAGCCCCGGCCAGGGCCTGCCTTAGAGCCCGTAACTGTTGACGAAGTAAAACCGCTTCTTGGTCTGCCATTAGCTGGACGCTCAAGTGCTCTTTTTTACTTTGCAGAGCTTCCTGTGAACGCCCCAAACCGAGTGAGACAGGAAATAAGTTTCCTTTCCATAATTTTAGTTTCATAAGCATCTCTAGACCACTTCAGTTTTCCATGGTTTTTAAAGCTTCCAGTAGCAAGGAGCTCCCACCAGTCACTTCCTGTGTGTCTTCACTTAAGGACAGTGTGCCAGATCACAGTAAATTAAGACTTGCTGAAACACTAAGTGAAAATGTCCAAACTACTAGTATTCTGTGCTTTGGTTTCAATTTGTCTTGAGGTTGGTTTTCTATCTATTTTGTTTACTTCATTTTCCTCAGATAATCATGTTCGAGACTCAAAGATCTGCAGTGGATTTTGTCGAGGCTGCCTCAAGCCCTCGGTAAAGCCGCCCCCTCCATCCTTGCCCTTCCCTCCTGCTAAATTCTCTCTCATCTCTTCTCCCGTTTGCTTCTTTGCCATTTGCTTCGGGCTCTTTCCTGTTTCTCTGAAGTTCTGACATGTTGCCACTTCCCAAGAAAACTCCCCAATCCCCAGATCCTTTAAGAGGGTTGGACTTGTCAACCAACACCTGTACCCCCAGCAGCTCCTACCTCCAAGGAAGTCGGGCACCACCCACCTGGCCACGCCCTGCTGGGCGGGGCCTCCCTCCCCTCGCTCTCACCTTCTCCGCCCTGTTCACCTGGCGCTGGAAGCGAGCCTGCTGCACCGCCAGCCTCCAGTGGCCCAGGCTCCTCAATTTGCACACCAGCGCAGCCAGGCCGCTGCTGTCCTGCTCCAGAGCCTGCAGCTGCTCCTGCCGAGAGAAGCTCACTTTCAGAAAAGGCTGCCTTCAACACTCTTCCCCGGAGGGAAGGGCACAAATCCTAACATCAGCGCCCTGCCTTCCAGAGAATGACACGATGGTTCAGGGAGCCCCCAGCGCCCCCTTTTAAATGCCTGATGCAATGCTTTCTCGGGGGAACCAGACTGGAATGCAGAGTGAGCCCGGGGTCAGATGCTGGGATGAAATGCCGGGATCCCGTTGCTAAATGAAATCACATACTTTCGCTGGGTTTTCGTTCATTCCTTTATCAGGTCTGGCAGAGCCCCATTTCTTCTTTAGGCCCTTCAAATTGTCAATCCCTTCTGTTCTTACTTCGCCGATGAGCTCACACACTTTCTGGATCAAATTATTCTGGTTCTCATCCAGCTTTTCCTGCAAATTGCAGACTCAAGTTCAGGAAGCGCAGAGGAGGAAGAGTCATCTTGCCTTCTAAAACCCGACTTTCAGAAATGATTCTACATGGAAGAACCATCCACTCAGTTATTCCAACAGGAATTATCTGGAAGTCTCACTAGCAGCCCGTTAGCATTATCTACAATCCACAGGGATTGTGGACCCTACACTCGTTAGAGTCCAAGTTGTCAGTGCTGAGGTAAGTTGAGTGGATAGAAAAGTGGAAGGTCACAGGTAGAAAACTGAATCACCCCTCCTCTCCCAAAAGGTTGCTTGAGAATTTGAACCTAGGGATTTTTGCTATCAGGTTGACTCAGCAGAATCTGACCAGATAAAACACTATAGATGAGCCACCAGTGAGGAACTACATTAAAAATAGATAAAGTAGAGGAAGGAATCAGGCTGGCTACCTTCCCATTTAGGTTCCAGCAGAAATCTCATGACACAGCCTGTTCTGAATGGCTTATGGATAATGACTTGTGGTGGGACGGCTTGATCATCACTAAGTACAACTACAAACCCTGCATCCTTGGGTGAGGGGAGAAAGTTGGGTGTCCTCTCATCTCTGAACCACTTCCTGAAGAGGAAAGCAGGAGGATACTGTCCAGCTGGGCAGTCATGGCAAGACATCTGGCTGCTGGCCACACAGCCAAAGCTTCACCACCCACTTGGGACTACTCCTCCTGGAGTAGAACAGGGACTCTCTGATTTGGCAGGGGGGAGGGGGCATGTGGAACTAGTGTAGTTCCACATGAGAGAATCCACTAGTAGAGAATCCACTTTCCATCTAGGAATCTGGCATAAGTTAAAAAAAACTTAAGAATATTTTCAATAATTTCATACCCGAGAGATGACTTAGCAAATTCCAGACTTCACTGTCTGTTCATCCCTCTCCTGCAGTACCAGGCCCAGTGCATTTTGGTTTTGACCCTATAATATTTGTAAGCACTGATATTTTATGGATCCTTCATAAGTAGGAAGGAATCTCTGATCCTCTCTGATACCCAACGCAGAGCACTGGTGGAAGCTCCTCTCAATGGAACAACTTCAGGCACCAGCTGGAATGTTCCAGGAGAGACAATGAAGTAAGGGCACATTGGGGGCTGGATCTGGAAAACATCCGCTAGCAGGAGAGGAGGCAAGTTTGTACTGAAATTCACATTTGTGGGGTAGTTGGACTAGGCCCTGTGATGGCCCATTTTAGGCAAGGGGCCTCCGTCTTATGATGCTCAGGCAAAAAGTGACAGGCTTCCCCCTCCCCCATCCCATGCTGTGGGCACGGGGGACCCCATCACTCCTCTTCTGGATGGACGACCTTCATTGACAGTCCAGCAGCTCCCAGACACTGGATGTGAGAGACACTGGATGTGGATGGTCAGCATTTTTATACGTTGAAAACCCCTCTGAAAGTGAATTCAAATTCTGAATCTGCCCAGTGAGCCTTCAGGAGGTTCATGTTGCTACTGACACTGGGGTCTGGCCTGGCTCAGGGCACTGAACTTTCCTGTTTGGAGGGTTGCACTCAATAGACTAAACAGTGATATCAACTGTTGGGGTTTTGGAGAAGATGCCCCCCGCCCTCCCTTAGCAGCAATCAGCTATATACAGAATAATGAAACCTGACCATTCTCTTACACCATACACAAATAAAATTCTATTTCGGTGAAAGACCTCAATGTGAGACAGGAATCCGTCAAAATCCTAGAGGAGAGCATAGTCAGTAACCTCTTTCACATTGGCCACAGCAACTTCTTTCAAGACACATGTCCAAAGGCAAGGGAAACGACAGCAAAAATGAACTTCATCAAGATCAAAAGTTTCTATACAGCAAAGGAAACAGTCAGTGAAACAAACAGGCAACCCATGCAATGGGAGAAGACATTTGCAAATGACACTACAGACAAAGGGCTGGTATTCAAGATCTATAAAGAACACCTCAAACTCAACTCCCAAAAAACAAATACTCAAGTGACAAATGGGGCGGAAGACATGAACAGACACTTCTCCAAAGAAGACATACAAATGGCTAACAGAAAAATGAAAAAATGTTCATCATCATTAGCCATCAGGGAAATTCAAATCAAAACCACATTGAGATACCACCTTACACCAGTTAGAACGGCCAAAATCAACAAGACAGTAAACAACAAGTGTTGGAGAGGATGTGGAGAAAGGGAAACCCTCTTACACTATTGGTGGGAATGAAAGTTGGTGCATCAACTTTGGAAAACAGTGTGGAGGTTCCTCAAAAAATTAAAAGTAGAGCTACCCTATGACCCCACAATTGCACTACTGGGTATTTACCCCAAAGAAACAGATGTAGTGAAAAGAAGGGCCATATGTACCCCAGTGTTCATAGCAGCAGTGTCCACAGTAGCCAAAGTGTGGAAAGAGCCCTTCAATAGATGAATGGATAAAGAAGATGTTGTCCATATATATAATGGACTATTACTCAGCCATGAGAAAGGAGGAATGCCCACCATTTGCATCGACATGGATGGAACTGGAAGAGATTATGCTGAGTGAAATAAGTCAAGCAGAGAAAGACAATTATTATATGGTTTCACTTATTTGTGGAACAAAAGGAATAGCATGGAGGACATTGGGGGAAAAAAGGGTAAAATGAAAAGGGGGGGGAATCAGAGGGGGAGATGAACCATGAGAGACTATGGATTCTGGGAAACAAACTGAGGGTTTTAGAGGAGAAGGGTGTGGGGGGATAGGTGAGACTGGTGATGGGTATTAAGGAGGGCACAGATTGCATGGAGCACTGGGTGTCATACACAAGCAATGAATCATGGAGCACTACACCAAAAACTAATGATACACTGTATGGTCACTAACATAATAACTTAAAAAAAAGCAATCAGATGGCACCAATGGCAGCCGGCCGCAGAGTGAGGAAAACAGCAACTATCTAAATTGTTTAAAATTCAGTGCCTGTCATAGCAAAACAATGACAACTCATTGCTGACCCCTCCCTGCCGCAAACACTGAGCGCTGGAGAATTCTTGGGCCCTGGAGGCTCTTGTTACCACACAGCCCACTCTGTCATCCATTGCTGTATGCATGGCACCTGTGGAGGTCACTTACCCTTGGTTCCCACAGGGCCGCCCAGATGTCCGACACATGTCACTTACTTTTATGTGCAAGCACGTTGCAAACAGAGCTCGAACTAATGCTTCATATTCTTCCTGGACTTCTTTTCTGATCTGCTTGTTGAGATTCAGATTCTCCTCTTCCAAATCTGTGAGTCGAGCTCTCAGAGCAGTGATTTCCATGATCATAGCATGACTGAGCTCTGCAACCTAATGGCAGAAATACTGTTTGAATGCAAGAGAACTCAAGCAATCCAAACGGCTACTACTATGGCATAGTTCTTCGTATGTCAGGGTCAGATTTGTTCTTCTACTTTGATCTAATGAAAGAAGCAAACATCCTGTTGTACAAATATGGGTGGGAGGATCCAAGGTTGGTTTAGGGGTCTCAGAACAGTACCAGACACATAGTAGGTGTCCAATGAATGGTTGTTGAATGAATGACCCCAGAAGAGACACACTTAACACTTCTTAATTGGATACAATACTTCAGCTGTCTTCGTCTCCATTTCCAAATGGGCCTTCTTTGCACCTCAACCTAAATACCTTTTCTGTGGAATTCACTTATCCTGGCCTCAAAAGAAAACAAACGAACCCCCAACTCCAACCCAAAAATAACAACAAAAAAGAAAAATCAAAGCACTAAAAAATAACAAAAACCACCCCAAAACTAAGAATAATGCCCTTATTGCTTTAAAAAGTGAAAACACCCTCCTCAGGTGTTTCCGCAGAGTATCTTCATCAATGAGACTTCTCCGGGCCACTCTTGATGCGGGCACAAGAAAATGACACTAGAAAGTCCCCTGTCTGGTTACTGCTGAGAAGGTGGATTGCGAGCTGGGAAAGAGAAGGTTTTTGGGAAGAATGGACCTACCTGACCAGCGTTGTCTTCAGGTGGATCTGAATCTCTTCGGATGATATCTAATTCCTGAAGGGGAGAAAACAGTGCACAACCAAACTCAAACATTTATTCTTCCAGCCATGCCTCAGTTTACCTCAACATGCTCCACACACCCCCTGTTTGTGTGGATGGAGCTTCCTTTTCAGATCCCTGGGCTCCCTCTGGAGCCCTACTGCCCCTGTTGCCCCAGTGGGCTTCAGGGTGCCTAACATGAGATCTGGAGATAGCGTTCACTTCCAGATATCCACACTGATGCCGAAGACTTGGCTGTAGAGATAAGCCAAACTGGGGGTGAAGTCCAGACCCCTTGGGTATTTGAATGCTTCATTTGATTTTTTTTTCAGACTTTAGCACTTTTCTTAGGTAAAAAGTAATATTACATTGAACCTCTGATGCAATCCGTTTTAAAACAGTGTGCAATCTTGGACAGGATCCCTCTAATCCCACTGGTGGGACCTGATTTTAAGGAAGTCTCATCAGTGACACCCATGATGTGCATCCTGAGGACAGAGTTTACTCAAGGATCATGGCTTCTCTATTAGACCAGGGACAGCACAAGGTACTTTGTGTTTGCTCAGGTCAGCTATGCATTTTCCCAGGGGTAGGGAGGAAACTCCTTTGTCACCAATGTTTTATATTCCCCACTAGACACCTCCAAAGCACACAGCCTGGTGTTCCTGGGCCATCACCCTTGCAGCTGAGAATACCAGAGCCCAGGAAAACGAACCAGTGAGAGGAGACTTTGGGGGGTACTGTTCACCCGCCCTTCTTGTGTGAGAACACTCCCCTCTTCCCATTCTAGTCTCCTCTTCAGAGTGAGTCCTGGGCCTCCCTCCCCACACCTACCCCATCGCACGTCCTCTCTCCCTGGGAACATACCTGCTCTTTCTGGAAGAGCTTCTGCCGAGCGTGCTCCAACACATGCTCGTAACACATGGAGTAGCTCTCAAAGTTGCTGCGTTCTCTTGCCATCACATCGCAACCCAAGGAAAGGAGGCAGCCCTCAAAGTGGTCTTTCCTGAACGTGACCTGAAAAGGAAGGGGCATTATTCACAGCAACTCCAGCAGGAAGGCCTCACATGCCAGGGCCCACACTGCCTTGGCTCCCAGACCCAGGTCCATATCTCAGCCACGGAAAAACATGGGTTCTGGCCTTGCGAGTCTCTCTTTCGGGTCCGCTCTCAGTATTTGTAGGGCAGGAACGAGAGTACAAATGGACACCTGCATGCCACGTACCAAAGTACCCTAGATATTTAAGGGTCATAAATCAAACTAATAAACTATTAATTCTCCTACTTTGAAAAATAGATCTTCGAAGTAACTTGGAAGGCCAGGTTTGACTTAATCATTCTTGGACTACTCTGGGTTCTGTGCTGAAATGTGGTGACTTGGAGAGAGCTGGTCACCAACCTGTAGTTTACAGCACAACCCCTTGTCCTCCCACGTCTGGCCCCACATCACACTGTGGAGGGCGCTCACATGCCTGTGAACAGACAGTCCGGCTAGCTACACCCCCACACAGCCGCCCTGGACTGCCCCTCAGGCCAGCGTGTGCACACTGGCGGTAAGGTCCACTCTCCTTCTGGGGAGCAGGATCTGGAGACTCTGCAGGGAGAATTCCAGGGCGCCAGGTTCCTGAAGTGTGGTCTGGAGTGAATATCAGAGATCTGAGGGGGCATGTCCCCTTGGCTGTGAGGAAGAGCAGGTTTGGAGAAGAGCCAGAGGAGCCGTCTGGAGAATGAGCCTCTGTCGGGGCCCACTCTTGCTCTGGTGGAAGAGACATACTGCTACTCTCTCAACCGTCCCATTCCTTCCCTTTCTCGAAGAGATCCGGCACCCTTCCGAAGAGGTAGCCATTAAGGAACAGAGGAAGTCCGCCCCTCCCAGGCAAGCTTAGATTTCGGCTCTGGAGAGAAATGGGAGCCAACGTGTAGAAGAGAGGACAGATCGACCTGTGTAGGGCCTGCATGTCCCTGTGAGGGCTCATGTGTGTCTCAGTGTCTCTATCAGTGAGTGCATCTCTGTGCCTTTGTGGATATGTTTGTATGTCTGGATCTATTAGAATACATGTATATGTGTGTCTGTGTCTCTCTGTGGATGTCTCTGTGACAGTCTATATATGTCTCTGTGTCTATGTGGGTCCCTCTGTGTATGTATATACTTTATGACAGTGAGTGTGTCTATGTGTGTATCTGGGTGTCTTAGGGGGCCTGCTCCACGACCCAGCCCGCATGCGTACATGAGCTTTATCTGTAACACTTATGGGGTCAGGAGGGCTTCAGGCTCACTGGCAGGGTGCTACAGAAGTTTCTGGCTTGGGGCGGGTCCTGTGTCCCCATGAGGGCCAGTACACTGTCCTATCAGTGAACCTCAGTGCGCCCACCAACCTCCAGAGAAAGCCCAGCCAGGCTTTGCCAAGGCGAGTTACTGAGACAAGCTAGCAGAGATGGGAAACAGTGATAGAACCCAGGACGGATGGAGTGAGGAGAGTGGCTTGCACCCACTGCTGATGGCAGGGGAAATCAGGGTGGCATTTTGGAGGCCAGACTAGCTGTATCTGTGAAAAGATTTTAAAATGTTCACGCCCTTTGGCCCAGTAATTCCTCTTCCAGAACGTCATCTTTAGGGGTTAATAGAAGTGACACACAAAAATATATGTAAGCCTTTCCGACAAAACGAGAAATAGAAAGGACCAAGAGTGCCCAATAAAGGGAAATAGTTTGAATCTTTCTCACCTGTCTGTACAATGAAATACTAGACAGCCACCAAAAATCTTGTGGACAGATACATTCATTGATAAGGAAACATGTTGATAACATATACTCAAGTGAAAACAAGGACTCTATAATAAAAGGGCATATAGAATGATTTAATTTGATTTTAAAAAGTTAATGAATTAAAAAAATGATAAAGTTTGGAAGGAAATGGGCCAACATAATAATAGTAGTTATCAGTGAGGGTAAGCTAATGAGTGTATTTTCTAATACATCATATTCCTATTTTCTAATATAATCATAACATGTGTACACAATTAAGATAATTATATATGAAAATATACACCCTAATGAAAAGATAGTAAAGCTTTTGTAAAGATCAACAGCCACAGCAGCTTGGGTGCATCGAAGAGAGGCAGAATGGAAAACATAGGTGACACCCTCTGTTCATGCGGGATTTAATGAAGAGGAGCCAGGCAGTCAGGGCAAGGCACTCAGCCTCCCTCCTTCATCCCCTGGGGGCTCCTCACAGGGAGCGGGCGTGAGGGCAATCTACGCCGCTCTGGAAAATGAGCAGTAGGACAGGTGGATTTATCTTCTGACATCAAGGCAAGGGGAACCAAGGCCCTTGAGTTCTTAATAGTGGCAGGGTCAAGGCTATGTGGTTTAGTAATGACAAAGGAAATACTTCCCAGACTGAATATGATGAAAGCCTGAAACATTGAAAAGCCTGAATGTGAGACCACATTCAAGGCCATCATGATGTGGCTGGTGACCCCATCTGGTGGGCTGGGGCCAGGGCTTGGAATCAGCCACAGTGACTCACCTCTCACTGTCCTGGACAGCAGTGTCTGGACCTGAGCATGCCAGTAAGGCCTCCAACAGCTTTTAGCAGGGCAAACACTCCTCAAACCAGTATCACCATAGCTGCCATAGTAGATATAGAATCCCAAACAAGCCGCAAGGTAGACTTGAACCTCAATGGCCTTCTACCATCCCCTCTTAGCCAGAGTGACACTTTACCCAGTAAGGGGATTCACCTCTGGCTCACCAGAGGTGAAGGAATGGCCAGGACCCCCTTGAGTATCTCCGGAATCCAGAGAAATTGTATTTTGTTACTGTGTTTCTTAAAAGCTCTTCTGCAACCTACCCTTGCCTTCCTGGGTCACTAAATGTCAGCTCTGTGTCAAAATGAGGCAGGAAGTAGGTTCATCTTCCAACTTCAGGGCAGGTCCTTGGGTTCCATACACAGAGTGAAGACCATGTCCTCCAGTGGGCTGATTCCTTCACCAACAGTTAAATCTGAACTGTGATGAATGGCACTGGCTGGAAAATCACCAGATTCTTCTGGAGAGCCAGCCTGGGGTGAAGCATGGCAGGTGCTAGGCCTTGTTATCGCAAAAGTCTGGCTTTGCTGGGAGCAAAATGCACTTCTGTGGTTTGTTCTATCTTGGAACCCCTCATAATTGATCTAATATCAGGCACACACAAGGTGTTTTGATGATATTTCTAAAACCCACCTCTGGTAACAAAATGCTTCAGTGACTTTCCACTGACTCTGGGATGAAATCCAGACTCCTAAGGATTGCCTACAAGGCCATTCAGCAGCTGACCCTGTCTTCCTTTTCAATGTCCTCCTCTGAACTCTGCTATACTCCCTTCTTAGATTTCTCTGTCTTCCTTCCCCAGCCCCTCTTCATCTGGTTAATTCCTATTTGTACTTTAAGACTTGGCCCAGACAACCCCTCCTCCAGGAAGTCTTTCCTGACCATTTCTTCCCTACCCTCTAGATGGGTTGTATCTCCTGTGTATGCCGCCTTCAAAGCATTTAATGTAAAGTGCCTTTTTTGACACTTCTGTGTCACCTGATTCCATAACTTCTTTGAGGGCAAGAACTGTACGTTTTGCCTTTAATCTAATAAAGTGTCTAGGGGGGAAGGAAAAGGAGATCTATAAACACTTGCTAAATGAATGAATGACTTTTGGCATGTGAATGGAAATGGTTCTGGAATCCACACAATAGACTATTACAGTTCTGGTTTGCAGTAAAGGTCAATCTCTAACTTTCGGTCAGCATATTTGGTATAAAATTTGTGCAAGATGTTAGAACAGATTGTGAAAGACTGGTTTCCTAGAATTTGGAGAAGGAGACAAAGATCACTAGAGGCCAGTATGGATTTGAGAAAAATCAAGTCAGATGAACCTTTTCCTCAAGTAATATAATGTATGCGGTGTACCTGAGTTTCAGCAGGAGATCTGGAAAAGTTCCTCATGATATCCTGGTGGTCCGATGGAGAACATAGGCTAGGTGACAGTACAATAGGTGGGCTGCTGGCCATGGAACGACTATGCCCAAAGAGTGTGGTCAGCCTGAAGGGGACCCCCAGGGAGGTAGTACAGGGCTTGGGGACCTGTCCTGACATACACTCTTAGTAATGACTTGAATGAGGAGACTGTGGGCAGGCTGACATGAGCCTAGGAGGGAGAGAGAGTACGCTGGATGATAAAAATCCAGATTTTGAAGGATTTCAAGTTCAGACTGGACGAAACTGAGTAAGAACAAGGCTAATAATAAGGCAGCAGCAGAATGTCTGAAGGCAACGTGGCTTCAGGTGACTGTCAGCCTAATGATTCATCCATGACGTGGCTGCCAATACCAGGACGCTCACGGCATTAATCAAAGCAGAACATGCATTAACAAGTACGCTTTCCACCTGGTCAGATGATCTTGAACTTAGAAGGGACCGACCAGGATGGGAAGGCTGCTCATATAAAGTGAGTGAAGGACATGAAGGCAGTTTAGTCTGAAGAAGAGACGTCAGGGCTCATGTCCTCTGCCCAGAAGCACCCAGGTGAGGGTGGGGGGAGCACGGTGCCTGCTCCCTTTTCCAGTTCATGTGCCCTGGCTTGGGTTGCACCCATCTGGAGGAAGGGGTAACCCATGGTTTGTAACCCACCACCCAGAGGGACACCCCTTTGGGTTTGTGCTACTAGAGCAGGTCCTTCGTTGTAATTTTACTGAGGCTTCACACACGCCTCTGAGCTGCAGGGGCCAAAAGGAACCACTTCGACTCCCTCATCAGAATACACAGGACCACGTTTGAGTATAAGTGAGAGCTTATATGAAATACGTATCAATCATCAGGCTCTAAGGAAAAACTTGTCCCCAATCAAGCTGGTGAATTCTCTACCTCATAACTAAAGACTCAAGTGTTTATTATAAAATTATGGGGATGGGCCGCCTGGGTGGCTCAGTAGGTTAAGCCTCTGCCTTCAGCTCAGGTCACGATCTCAGGGTTCTGGGATCGAGCCCTACATCAGGCTCTCTGCTCAGCAGGGAGCCTGCTTCCCCTTCTCTCTCTGCCTGCTGCTCTGCCTACTTGTGATCTTCTCTCTCTGTCAAATAAATAAATAAAGTCTTTTAAAGAATTGTGGGGAATATTTTAAGAGCTTAGAAAAATGTAACTTGGAGAGAAATGTTGTTTTAAAAAATGAAGCATGTTTTGCTAAATCAGGTTTTTAAAAAATGGTTGAATTTCAAAGGCAACTGGAGTCATAGCTACCTAATGAACTTATGCTTCATTTAATGATCCTGAAAGTTCTGCTATGGTCATATATCCACAGAGGCTCTCTTATTCTTTTCAACACTGTTTAGAGTTAGTTAGGTCAACAGTTGACAACTCCAAGGACTTGTGTGTGTACATTGTATGTAGTAAATACATATGATTGTTAAATATATATTATATACAGTTATTATGGATTCAAATATATATACAAACACAAAAAAAATTGTTGATACTGGTTTCCTTTGTGGAGATGTGGGGATGCTATAGCAAGGGAGGGGTGGGAATGTTACCGTTTCTGATCATTTGTTTGTTTGTTTGCTTGTTTTTTTGTATTGTACATTTCAAAAATGTTTTCTAGGTAGTGGAATCATAGGCTGTTTTAGTTTCTCTCGTCTAAATCTTCTATATTAAAAAACCAACCCAGGGTGTACCTGGGAGGCATAGTCCGTTAAGCTTCGAACTTTTGATTTCTGCTCAGGTCAAGGTCATGATCTCGGGTCATGAGATAGACTCCTCACTGGGCGTGGAGTCTGCTTGGGATTCTCTTTCTCCCTCTCCATCTACTTCTCCTCCCTCACTTGCGTGTGCACACACACTCGTGAGCTTTTGCTCTCAAAAAAATTTTAAAAATAAAATAAAATAATAAAATTGAAAATAATAAACACAGGAAATGTTGCTAAAACAACTTATTCATCAATAAACTCCAAGGTTACTTTTAAAAAACTGGCCAAATCTGAAATTAACCAACATGCATATTCTAATTTTTCTCCCATAATTTATTAGGAATCAACCTTTTTCCAAAATGAAAATAATGACAAGTGATTACTACTTTGAGTTAAGCCTCAGAATTTCTATCTTTATTCTGAGGGAGTAAGGGAAGCATTAGGAAATGTGTTAAAGGGAAAGTCTTCCTTAATTTGATTTCTGTTACGATAAAACACACTCTAAAATGATTAACTTTTCATACATACCTCTAGTCCACCATCCTGGTAATTTTCCATTAATCTCTGTTTGAATTTTTCAACTATTTGTGGCCTGTTAATGGAAAAGTTTTCTTTCATGACATGGTGCTTCCAAAGGTCTAGGGGGAGAAACATACCAATTGTAGTATCATGAAACGTTGAAAAACAATTAATGGCTATTCTCTGAGATATAACACTGGACACAAGAAGCTGTTTTTCCAAATACACAAAAACTAATGGGTGAGGCAGGGGGAGGGGAGGAGGTGGTTGAGGTCACAGAATCCTCCAGAACATAGATATAAGGAAGATCTCTAACAAGATCTCTAATGAAAAGATTTGGAAAAGTACCTCTATAGCCCAGTGAACAATATTCTGTTATCATAATTAAAAATTCCAAATCAAATGTTACTATTGATCCAACACAATATCTATTTTCATTAAGTCCCTACATGCACAGTTATTTACAGTAGCATTATTTAGGACAGCAGTATCTTGGAAGCAATACATAAACTGTGGTATGTCCTTCCAATGGAATAACATGCAGCTATAAAAAGGAGAGAAACTTTTCCGTGTATTGATATGGAAAGAACCACAGTTTGTTATATGAAAAATGCCAGGTGAAGAACAGTGAGTATAAAGATATTCTTATCTTTTATGAGAAGGATATGATAAATATATTCAAGGAGGGTCTATCCCCTCAAGCCTATTCAAGATGATCACTCCAGAAATACAGCATTCTCCAATATCACTTCTCCCCTCTATCCTGGGTCATTCACAATAGCACACATTATTTCTCCCACCTCATAAAAATCCTTCACCCCACAACAGCTGTCTTTACTGTCTGTGACTTCTCTCAAAATTCTTCTTAAGCCTGCTGAGAAGGCTTAAGAAGCTTTCTCCCCCACCGCTTCCCTGAAACTGATTTTGTATCAAGTACCAGTGACCTCAGCATTACTAAAAATGTTCATTTTACTTGAACCACTGCTTTACCAGAAGCATGACACATGATTTGTCATATTCCTCTTGCTTGAGAAACTTTTATTACTAGACATTGGGATACCACTCTGTCCTAGTTTTCTTCTTGTTGTTTGATCCCTCTTGGTCCCTTTTGCTGGTTCTTCTTTTCCCCTCCCCCACTCCAGCTCTTAATATGAGAGGGTCCTCAGACTCAGCCCTTGGTTTATCTACCTTTTTTTCTACCTATGCTCACTTTCTTTGCTATCTCATTTGGTCTCATGGCTAAATATCATCCATATGCTGACAACCTTCAAATTTAGATCCAATAGTCACTTGGCATCTCTTCTTAGATATCTAAAAAGCATTTTATTTTATTATTTTTTATTTTTTATTAACACATAATGTAGTATTTGTTTTAGGGGTACAAGTCTGTGATTCATCAGTCTTACACAATCCATAGCACTCATCATAGCACATACCCTCCCCAATGTCCATCACTCAACCACCCCATTCCTTCCCTACCCCTCCCTCCAGCAACCCTCAGATTGTTTCCTGAGATAAATAGACTCTTATGGTTTGTCTCCCACTCTGGTTTCATCTTGTTTCATTTTTGCCTCCCTTCCCCTATGATCCTATGTATTGTTTCTCAAATTACTCAAATCAGTGAGATCATATTATAGTTGTCTTTCTCTGATTGACTTATTTCACTTAGCATAATACACTCTAGTTCCATCCATGTCATTGCAAATGGCAAGATTTCAAGTTTTGATGGCTGCATAGTATTCCATCATATATATACCACATATTTATCCATTGATCTGTTGATGGACATCAGACATCTAGGCTCTTTCCATAGTTTGGCTATTGTGGACAGTGCTGCTATAAACATTGGGGCGCATTGTCTAAAAACATTTTAAATGTCATTTGGGCATAAATAAATTCTTAATCTTCCCTCCCTAACTTGCCCTCTTAGCTGATGGCAATTCTACTTTCCCAATTTCTCAGGTCAAAAATCTTGGAGTTCTCATGGACTCTTCTCTTTCTCCCACATCCAACACACAATCCATTAGTGGTTACTTCAATAATATGCCCCGAATCTGACCACTTAATACTTCCACTGCTCCCAGCTTTGTTTGACCACCATCTCCCATGCTCGGATTCTTGCATTAGCCTCCAAAGCAGCCTCTCCCTTCTTCCACCCTTTTCCCTTTACAGTCCATTCTCAACACAGCAGCCAGGGAGATTCCATTAAAATATGTCATATCAGGGATACCTGAGTGGCTCAGTTGGTTAAGCATTGACTCTTGATTTCGGCCCAGGTCATGATCTAGGGGTTGTGAGATCAAGCTCCAAGCTGGGCTCCATTTTCAGCAGGGAGTCTGCTTGAGATTCTTGCTCTCCCTTCCCTCTCCCCCTCCCCTAAATGAATAAATACATCTTTAAAAATAAAATACGTCAGATCAGGTCACTCAAAATTTGGGACAAGTTCCCCATTACATTCAGAGTAAACACTAAGAGTAGTCCCTGTATGATCCATCGTCTTTTCATTATTCTTCTCTGGTTTCATTTCCTAATACTCTCCCTCACTCTCTCCACTCCAGCCATACTTGGGTCTTTCTGTTCCATAAACATGTTAGGTATGCTCTGCTTAGGTCCTCTGTGTGGGCTTCTGGATGGACTGTTCTTTGTCTGTTTTATCTGTCTGCCCAGACAGCCACATAGCCAACTCCCTCATCACCTTCAAATTTTGCTCAATATATCACTTTCTCCATGAAGTCTATCCTGACCACCCTATTTAAAATTACAGTGTGCCTTCTTCAAACCTCCACACCACCATCCTCCTTACTCCATTGTTTTCATATTTCTTGTGTTTATTGCTTATTATCTGCTGATTTCCTTCTAGATCATAAACTCCACAAGAGTAAGGAGTTTTGCTCCATGAAAGTAAGGGTGTATTCCCCAAACAGTGCCTAAAATATAGTAGTATGGTATATCCTAGGGGCTCAATAAATAGATATTGGATGAAAGAATGAATTAGTATATGCATAAAGAAACACCAATAGTATATATTAAAAAACGAATAAAAATGGTTACATGGGATGATGAAAGGGGGTCAGTGGTGGCAATGAGATCTCTACACACATATATTTTCATATTGTTTTGAGTTTTGAACCAGGTGAATGTATTAGCTGTTAAAGAGATCAAACTTAAAAATAATATGACAGTGCTGAAACTGTGGGACTATGTCAATGCTGCTTAACTTCCATATGGAAGAGAAAAAAAAAGCACATGTATATGTTTAATTATGTTGGGTATGGCCTACTTCCTTGTGCATGGCCTGAGGGGAGTCTGGAAACAAAGAGAAGCCTATGGAATCAGAGGTAGAAGCCAACCCCTGCCCTTCCCCCTTTACTGTTATGGGGGTGCTGGTCAACAGCAAGAGTACACACAGGGCCACACCCTGTTCCCAGCTGTTTCTAATTTCAGATATGATTTCCTACTCATACTTTCATTTTTCTGACAGAGACTTGGTGCCCACAAGAGGAAGCATCCAACACAATCCAGCGCAATCCTCTCAGAAATGTGGCTATGACAGAGCAAGAGCCCCTGGTATGTGCAATTATCTTATTTATTGGGTGGACCTGATTTTGAAAATGGGGTTCCAGAATTCTTCTACTGTTGACTATTTTCCGTCATGAACATATAAATCTGACTTTGTTTTTCCCTTAGGATAATAAACGTGAGTAGACCTAACACCATTGTCCTGGCATGGTTGGAGTGGAAAATCCAAAAGAGTTAATGTGTCTAGAAGTTCGCACTTCTTAAGATGTTTAAGACCTTTTTAAGTCTAAGCTTTGACAAAACAGAGCTCATGCACATTTCAGAAAATTTTCAGACAAGAAATTGGATACTTTTTCCAGGGTACATTGGCAGTAGGTCTCTGGCTCATGGAAAAACCTGGTGAGGGAACACATCTGCCACACATTTCTGGTTTGGGGGCCATCACCTGGCAAATGCCCACAGAAGTGGTTTTGGGTTTAGCTCTGGGCTCAGCTGAAAGTATTTTACCAAAGTGCTGGGAAACCTTCCCACCATGCTTCTTCCTCATGAGTTCAAGTTCAAGCACACAAGTACTTCTGTAGCCAGGAGTCATGGGAAGCCAGGGAAAGTAGAATTCATCCAAGAGAAGTAATTCCTGGCCAAGTGGAGTTGGTAGTCTCCAAATGGGTCTCCATATCAGTGTGTGTGTGTGTGTGGTCATGGCTTCTTTAAGATGAAGCAGTTTTTGACGGCAGCATGGATGTGGGAAGGAGACAGCACACTGGAGGTTGAATTAGGGTTTTGTTTTTTCCTCTCACTCTGTTCCCAGGTCCTTTGACTGGAGGAAACTTTGACTCCCTGCTGGCCAAACCACTTCCCCTCTCTCCCTCTATGAACACTCTCCCTACCCTCCAGTCAGCCTCCTCCATCTAGGAAAGTCATCTTGGTTTCATACATTTCACTTCTCTAATACAACTGCTAACCTCTGCCTGAGTGACTCCTGGGTCCTGAGCCAAGCAGAACTGAAACTTGAAGGCATCCAACTGCCAACCAACATTCTCCTGACCTGCTGGCAGTCCCCGCAAAAGTGGGTAGGTTGAAATCTTATTTCTTCAACCATATGTATGTATATATTTTGTACTCCTGTGTTTCTCAAACTGCTCCCCAGAACACTAGTCCCTTGAGTTGACAATATATATTCTTAAGGGAAGAAAAAGATTCTGTGGTCAAATAAATTTAAAGAATGTTTCAGTGGGTAGGGGAATGGGGTATTAAGGAGGGCACTTGATGTAATGAGCACTGGGTGTTATATGCAAATGATGAATCACTAAACTCTACCCTGAACCTAATAATATACTATATGTTAACTAACTTGAATTTAATTTAAAAATTTAAAAATAAAGAACATTTCATACTCTCTCTTCTGGAACTTTATAGTGCGCACTATCATAGTAAAGGCTCTGAGAAGGTCTGGAGCAAAGAAAACCTTTTTAACATTATTTACCACAAGTTTCCCAAACTTGTTTAGGTAAAAAAAGAAAACAAAACATCCCCCTCTCGCCCCCTAACCCTTGTGAAACACAGAAGTCCTTTCCTTACAATCAAGACTAAGAGTAGGTTTGTTAATCAAAAGAAGTCTGTTAAACCAGAGAATCCTTTTAAAAAATGACTTGCAGTAACTTGACATTTTAAATATTTAACTTAAAAACATTTAACTTAAAAATATACAAATATACAAACATTTGCCAATTTTCTAACATAGAACTTAGGCTTTTTCTTTGTATGAACCCACTCATTGGAGATCTGTACTATCTTTCTTCTAGAAACCATAACACATTGTGTGGTTTTCTAGTGTGTGGTTTTATTGGTTTGCTTGTTTCTTTTTATGGAAAGAAAACTAAAAGATCATAAAACAGTCCAAATGTATCCTTTTTTTTAGGGCAGTTTTAAGTTCATAGAAAAATTGAGCAGATAGTACGGAGACTTCCCACATACCATGCCCTCTCTACCCCAACACACAGCCTCCCCAACTATCAACATCCTACACCAGTGTGGTATGTTTGTTACAACTGATGAGTGTACGATGACATGTCATTATCACCCAAAGTACATAGTTTACGTTATGGTCCATTCTTGGTGAAGCTATGGGTTTGACGAATGTGTAATTGGCATCTCTCCATTATTATATTTTCATACAGAATAGTTTCACTGCCTTAAAAATCCTCTGTCTTCTGCCTGTTCATCCTTCTTTCCCCTCTAAACCCTTGGTAACCACTGATCTTTTTATTGTCTCCATAGTTCTGCTTTTTCTCGAAAGTCATATATTTGGAATCATACAATATGTAGTCTTTTTAGGTTGGTTTCTTTCACTTTGGGAATATGCATTTCTATCCATGTCCTTTCGTGGTTTGATAGTTCATTTCTTTTTAGCACTAAATATTATTCCATTGACTGGATGTACCACAGTTTATGTATTTCAACTTGGTCTTTATAGGACAGATCTCTTTTTGTACTCCCATTTCATTGGCTTATATAATACTTAATTAAATTACTCAAACACAATGACAAGCAAAACTGGCATGAACAGGTTTGGAACAAACAATGATCAATGATGCTAGGTAAACATAGGTAACCCAAAGACTATGATTAGTGAGTATTTTGCCAGTTTATGTTACCAAGGGAATGGAAACTTTAGGTTCAAGCAAAACATTTTTGTCCACTTACTGTTAACATGTGTATATTTATGTTTTTCTAACTGCCTACAATAATATCACTGGTTAATATAGTATGATATGCTTAGGGTGAAACTCACCAGCAAAGAGAATGGATCTCAATCCACATTCCTAAAAGTTTTCTTGACTTTTTAAATTATTTTTCTGCTTCTTATCAGATGTGGTTATCTTTTTAACCTCATAATGTAACTGACAATAAGCACGTACCAGGATTACAAGCGTCTCCACTATTCTTAGTGCTTGCTTGTGGATTGCCTCAAAGTGATCATTTTGAGACACCTCGGTGTGGAATGTGACATGTGATTTCTTACATATGGATTTCCTCTATCTAGAAGCTTTTTTTTTTTTTTTAGATTTTATTTATTTATTTGACAGACAGATCACAAGTAGGCAGAGAGGCAAGTAGAGAGAGAAAGAGGAGGAAGCAGGCTCCCCGCTGAGCAGAGAGCCTGATGAGGGGCCCAATCCCAGGACTCTGGGATCATGACCTGAGCTGATCATGACCCCACTGAGCCATCCAGGTGCCCCTATCTAGAATATTTAATATTTAATATTTTCTTCCCACACCCCTGGGATATAGATATTCCACTTTGGAGATGGCTGACCTTATAAAAGTTCAGAGAAATTGAGAAAATCAATTAAGAATGACTTCAATGCCAAAATGTCAAATATGGGGAACAACAGAGCCTTTCTGAATCAGTGGAACTCAGCTCTCTGCTAAGCCAAGCCCTGAGACTTAACAAGGATGTCTGGAGTGACTTTTTAAAGTTCTCAGAGGAGCACCAGATCAGCTCCGACAAACTAGCACTGGACCAGGTATGGCTGCCACATTTTCAGATGCTCCCTGATAGACTGGAAACTCATTCAGAAATTATACAAGAAGATTAAGCTCTAAGACAAGGTGGGAAGGAGTGGGGGAGACAGAGAAGTATTGGAGGGTTTCTTTCTGGCTGCTAATAAATATGGACACCAGAGTTGGCCAAGAGGGAGAGAGAAGACCCTGAGGGAAGGACACGAACTTGGGAGATCCCCTGGATCTCAGTAATTTCCATTCCCAACTCCTTCTCTAGAAACTCCCAGTGCCAAGCTAACCTTGACTGCAAAAGGTGGTCTCTGCATGAAGAAGTGGCCCCTGTTGGAAGCCCCATTCACTATGGTGGCTTCTTGCTGCTGAGATGCACAGTAGGTGGGTGGGCATTCCAAGGTTTTAATGCCTTCTTTGAAGGTTCCCGGTCCACAGAGGTCTCAGGAAGACTACAATGAAGAAATGTCTATAAAAGCACCCCTGGGACACAGCAGGGACTCCATCACTTGCCCTGGTGGAACGCACTACAGTAGGACCCCCACATCGAGTCATGCCACACAGACCAAAACAAAACCTGCAATAACAAGACATCCTCACTATTGGCATTTGTTTCAAAAGTCATGAGTGTAGAATGTGAAAACGAGCTTAGAATTGGCCAGCACACTGTAGCCAAATGTTGGTAATATCTACCTTACCACCATTAACAATAACTCTACCTCCCCTATGCCTGACTCCCACCAGCCCCTTACTGAAGGATCTTTCCAAGCACAGCCGAGGAGCACCCTGCCCCAGGCAGCACACAGCAGAACTGCAAGGCCAAAATGCTTCCTCCCTTCCCCCACTATCCGGGTGTCTCATTAAACCACAGCCTGAAACACGCAGAGGGTTGCACCTGCTGGGTGCCTGAGGATTTTCTCCCAAGACTTGAAGGGAGCCACCTGGATGCAGCAAATGAGCACAGACAACGAGTGCTTTGTGTGTGGTGACATCCCCAGTCGAGAAGTGGCTTACCCTCTCATTGCATAGCCTTTTCCCAAAGCCCTATTTCCAGAATTCAGTTACTCAAAGCACTGATAAGAATGACAATGTCTTAGGTGAGGACCTAGATGATTAATGCACATTACAATGTCTGTGGAATTTGTCTCAAAAGGAAGATCTAATTTAGTTTGCTAATCAAACAACTTCTCTGTCATTTAAAGGTTGGGGATTTTCCTACAGAATTAGTAGGAGTCAGGAGTAGACATCGAAGTGTGGATAGGATCAGCTATGTAATCTATGGCACTCTGTGCAAAATAAAAATACAGGGCTTCTTATTGAAAAAGCAGGGGGAAAAAAGCATCCCTAGAGGTACTAAGACACAGTGGTTTCTTTCTTCTGCAGTCCCTCTCTTGACCTGTCATGGTGTTTTTACTCGTTTTTAATGCTGTGCTCCCCAGGCACAGGAATGCTTGTGAGGCTAGTGCAACCCTCACAGGCACGCAGGGGATCCATCCTGTGCCGGAAGCATGAATGTGTGTGCAGTTGCTGCCTGGTGGCCCCATGCCCTCGCTGGGGGCAGAGAGGTGGAGCCAGGCAGCTTTCCCTCCTGGGGGCCCGCTATGGACAGGCAACCCTAAGGGTATTGTAACCTCCATTCCAGGGTATTGTATGAATCTCAGGATAGGCAATAGGCTTGCTTCCACTGAGTTACCCATCAGACATACCATGATGTTTCCAGACTAGGGTCCTTGAGATACCACTAGGTACACATATCCTGATATTCCTCCTGATCAGGTCCCCAGTAGAGTGGAGGGCAGTGGTAACTCCTGGGTGGGAATGCTAGCGGGGAGGTGTTTACGGTGCCAGAAAGCAGAAGAGTAGGCAGCTGAGAACCCCTCTCGGCAAGGTGAGGAGGCAGTAAGAAGTGGGACTATGTTTAAGACCAAGTCTCTAAGTCCTTAGTGCACGCTCCATGGACTCACAAAACACAAATTCTAAGCTAAAATCAAGAGTTTCAAGATGGTACCCATAAAGCATGCAAACCAAAGTACTCCTGTAAGTGCACTGATCACATGTCCATGGAGTGGTCCTGACTTTAGACTTCAGATGAAAGGAAGTAATTGCGACTGCCTTCCCACCCCAAATACATGTATTTGTAAGATTTTGACATATATGTCATATATATGTATTTTATACACACACACACAAATATATTACAAATAAGAAAAGCTTATGTGTTTTGCCCATTTCAACTTTATTTCGGTTATGAGGGAATCAGCAGAGTTGAGATTGAACTTAACAAATGTTTTCTATTTAAAAGACTTCAAGTGGAAGGAAATATGTCAAAGTGTTAATAGTTCTCTCTGAACCAAGGTGTTAAAAAGTAATTTTTATATCATTTTCTGGACATTGTGGTAATTTTTTTTACCGTGAAAATGACATATGGATTGCTTTTATAATTAGGGAAAAAATGAATAAATGTTATTTTGTGAAGTAATAAAATAAACATACTTTACCTGTAGGGAGAGTATACATCTTCTTCGATTTTTCTGATACAACCAGTGCTATCTCTCTGTTAACTTTTCTTAATACTTCTTGGATCATATGAATTTCAAGATTTTCCAGAAGTTTCTGAAGCTAGAGTCAGAGGTTTAAGAGTCACTTTCTACATTCAGCTTACACTTTGAGATCCTGAGTCAAATTCCTACAGAAGGGTCTGGGGCTATGTCCTGTTCTTCAGCTACTCTCTCCCAGGGAGAAGGAAGGGTTCCTTTCTTGGGTTTCCAAGTGCTTCTGCAAGGGTAGATACACCTCTTTAGAGACCAACAGCTTTTCTCCTGGCCCACATCCCAGTTGATAAAATACAACCCTTTTGTACCAAGTCGTGCTAAATTGCAAAGTGCTCAATGTCTGAAGTGACCTCATGTATATTGGGGGTTTCTGAATGTGGGCAGGGATTTCATGAGTTGTTATTACAAGAGAAACCCCTCAGCCTGAAACTCAATTTAGATATTAAGGAGGATTTCATGAGAATATTTTAAAATCCAAACATGACTAGGAGAAAACTCTCCCAATAACCATGTGCCCTTACCCATTATGCTTGTAGAGCCCATGTTTCTCCCTGTCAGAGGACCCCAAGTTCTAGAGAGAACCAGGGCTCAGAAGGGTAAACAATGGGCTTGGGACTGGGGTCCCAACATTGTGTGTTGCAGGGGTGGGGGACGGGTAGCCACTGAATTCTTGATCTTCAGGGGACACTTCCACTGACACTCAAGCAGCTAGAATTTTTGCTTGCCTGTTACCATAACAAGGAGAACACAGCCTTGCCTGTTACAGACACAAGGGAACACAGCCATATGGAGATGGTGTCCCAGGACCAAGCTGAACAAACCCTTGGAAAAACAACCTCCCACATAGACCTTCTAGCACACCAAATGGACCTGTGCATAAATCATGACTTATTCTCAGAAAAACAATCAATCGTAGCAGCTATTTTAAATATCTCATTTTTCATGGATGTATGTGTCGGGGGCAGTGGATAATTTTGTGTTAGATTTTAAATTTAAGATGCCAGTATGTTCTCTATCATCATCTTTTATTGTGGTAGTGTACTTTAATTAGAGGAGAATCAAAATACAAAGCTCTAGACCTACAAAATGGAGATATTAGGGTTAGTTATTTACTTAATCAAAGCCCCACATGCTTTTAAATACTTAGTTCTCTCCGAGGCTGTTTAGTGATTGACATATCTTCAATCTCCACTTAATATCTTAGGGAAAATAATGCCACTTGGGTATATCTGTAGTTTTACATGCTTATGCCGTAAAGCAAATTTTCAAAGTCACATGCAAAATAGTTCCTGCATACCTGCTGAGTTTTTATTTCGATTTCTGAAGCTCCTTTGGGGGGAAGAATAGACTGACTGCTTATTATAATACCTTCGAATTCATCTTCTTTCCCCATCCGCCTAGCTATAGCTTTCATGCTGGGATAGAGAATGTCAGTTCTATTAAAGAAAAGAGACAGAAATGAGCAAACAATCGTATTTTTTCTTATTTAGATTCTCTGACAATTATTTTTGTTCCCATTCTGCTTCCTGTCATCGTGTATAAACCTCCCAACCCATTATAGAAACTCATATTGCCATCTAAATTCACCACAGTTGCCACGCCCTTAGTCAATATTAAATCCCGAGGACTTTTCCCCTTGGGTACATATAATTTCACTCTTCATTCTTCAAAACATTGACAAGTTTTCTCACTGCCTAGTTACCAGGAAAGCTGACTGTAATAACTTGTAGGATAGACCATTTGGACTATGCCACCAAAGAGAACCTTCTTGTGCCCAGTAAGGTCCAAGAATGGTGAGTGGATGCTTGGTGGATGCTTGTTTGATAACAAAACACATGGCAGAAGCAACATGTCTTTCTTGCCTGCTAAGTCATCCCAGCTAGAGCCAGAAGCTGTGAAACACCCCTAACACCCCACCCTCCCGCAGACCTAAGACCTTGCACCATATTATACCTCTGGCTGCAGAGAGAGAGAGAGAAAAAATACGAGAGACTCAACACTTGGGTCCAATGGGACAGGAAATGGGGAGGAGGTCACAGCAGCAGCCTCTCCCTACCTAGTGCTCACTGGGATCCTATGAACTAAAAAAGCTGATGAGTCAGCACCGTGGGGACACCGGAGAAGCACAAGTTCCTCGAGACAGAACTCTAGGTAAATGAGATACAGTGTTGCTTAGTGGAACACAGCACTGTCCCTGTAGTCAATAGAACCCAGCTGTTCCTATAAAGCGCTGGTGACAGGACACATCGCCCAGCTTCCTCTGCGCTCAGTGGGGCTGGGCATACCAGGTTTATAGACCAAATCTCGCCCTCAGCGTAAGGGGAGGAATTTATCAGACACCAGATTCCACTCATTCATGGCAATTTCCACCTCAGCAATGCTCACCCGTAGAGTTCTGAGAACTGTTTGTGGAGGGAGACAGAATCAAGGTCCTGGCCTCGCAGTTTGAGTCGGCCCCAGTGCTCCTTTAGTACTTCCAGCTGCTTCCACAGCACCAGAAAGGATCTCAGAACAGCAAGGGACATCACTGCATTGCATGGGCCCCTCAGCAGTCTGGAGGCTTTGGGGCTGCTTTGGAACGGATTTCTGAATCCTGGCACTCTAGACACACCTGGCTGAAAGCATTACAGAAAGTCTTCTTTATTAATCATAGATCGATATAGGATAAACTTTTACATTAACCCACGGAGAAGGAGCATTTTGGAGAATGCATATTCTCCGTAGGAGGAATGGGTTATGGGCTTACAGCACATTATAGCTTAGAGAGGGTAAGCATCCTTTCTAAATAGATAAGATACAGAAAAGAGGCAAATATCTCCATTTCAGCTTTCTGCTTGAGTCCTGTACCACTCATTTTAAAAACTCTTTTACTTGGGTATTAACCTTCTATCTGCCTTTGAAAAATTAAGCCTTTTGTGTTTAGACTCTGCAGTCTGGAAAGTACCCTTCAACACACTTGAGATTTAATTCCCCTTCACGGTAGAGCTATAATATGACCTAAAATTAGGGATTTTGCTTGTTTTATGGATGAGGAAATGGAAACATAAGTTTATCTTATCTTCTAGTCCTTCTCCTGTCCTTTAAAAGTTTACACGTCTCTTAATTTGAACTTATTATCCAATGGGCAATTTTCCTTTAGAATAATGATTTGTTTGTTCATTCATTGGCAGTTGCCTTAACTCAGTGTTTGTTGAGGGACCGCTCTGCCCTGGAGAATGTGGAGGGAACAAGGTTTTCAGGTCCCCCTCTACTGCAGCCAGGGTGTGAGGGCCAAGGTCACCCAGAGAGTGACAGACAAAACGGGAACCTGCATCCAGGTTCTCACCTGAGGACAGGGTCTCAGTCACAGGAAAAGGAGCATTGCTTTGCAAAGATGCAAACTTGGATCATGAGGTTACTGCAAGAAAGGACTCAGAGAACATTCAGCAACAGCACCTCAGACACTCAAGTTTCCTGGCTCAGAACAGGAAGAACACCCACCCAGTGTAACTGGACCCGTGCTATTAACATATCTACAGAAAGGCTCCTGCCAGAAAGAGGGTTGGTCAGAGGCAGAGTTGGCAAGCCGGACCCAGGGGAGAGCTCACAGTTCCTGTATGTGGCAGACAGCCCCTCAAGGAGCCTACCTACTCACTAAGGAGCTAACCCAAGATTTCCAGATTTGTTTTATCCTCGGGAACCTTTCATCAAATAAAACCTTATGCAGTAATGGAAAATAGTCAACAGGCCAAGGCTGAGCATGGTGACAATGAGGGGGCAGCCTACAGGCCATGTGGCCCCACTCTGCTCAAAAAGCCCCAAGATGTTCCCTTTAAAGTGTTTGTGTGCAGTTTCACCTGAAGACACAGCAAAAAAAAAAAAAAAAAAGTAGTCTGAAAAGCACCTGGGACTATACCTGAAGGAGATTTATTGGCTAATCTAAAAGCAAATGGAAGAGCAGGGGCAGAGGAACTCCCCCAGAGATGGAGGATGCCACTGGCAGATACCAATATTTCAGCCTCCACTTAGTTCGCTAGCACAGGTGGGTGAGCTCAGATGCAAAACCCTCCCATCACCACCTTGCAAAGACAGGCAGGGTAAACTGGTGATGGCACTGTTGGGTTGCCTTGCTGAAGCCAGAGCAGGCGCCATTTGCAACACTTCCCTGCTCCCTAGCTGGGGCAGGCAAGAGCAAGCAGTGGCAGCATTCTCCCACTCCTCAGCTAAAGCTGGTGAGCACAGGTGGTTGCAACACGTCTGTACTCACTGGTTGGGGCTGGCAACTGTGAGCAGTCCCAGTGTTTTCCTGCTCTCAGCCTAAAGCCAGAATATGCACACGGACAAGACATTTCTTCCTCCTGTTGCATTCCCAAAGCCCGCAGGCACGTGCAGTCAAGACATCTTCCTGCTGCCTTTCTGAAGCTGGAGAGTGGGCCCTAACCCCTACATTCTCCCGCTGCCTAGTTAATGCCAGTGGATATATGAAATCCACACAGGGAACGCTCCTTGACTGCCTGCCTGGTGGCCAAGGGGGCTGACATTCCTGAGCTCCAAGGGAATGTCACAGTCAGAAAGAGTATGTGACAGGCCACCTCTTCCAGGCACTGCAGATGGCAGACTGAAGTGCAACCCTGTCTTGTTGTGAAAAAAGCCCATTTACTTATGCTGCAGCTTTGGCCTGAGGAGCAGGTTTCAGGTTTTCCCCACATTTAGAGGCTACAGAGATGCTCCCAGGGAGCATAAGCAGGAAGACACCATCCTTGTGCGCCTTCTGTGCTTCAATATGGCTCAAAAGTCCTCCCAGAAAGAACTTATATACTCATGTAGAGTTCCACATCTTGTAGGCCAGCAGGGATTATGACTGTGGCTGCACTAGACTATATTTGCATGTAGTTTTTAGAGATTTTATTTATTTATTTGAGAGAGAGAGAGAGAGTATATGAGTGGTGTGAGGGGGGAGGAGCAGAAGGAGAGGGAAAAGCAGACTCCTCACCGAACAGGGAGCCCAACATGGGGCTCGATCACAACCTGAGCCCAAGGCAGACGCTTGACCTACTGAGCCACCCAAAGCCCCAACATATTTGCATATTTTAAAAGCCGCTGCCTGTAGGTCTAGCTTCGGATTAGCCTGAAACTTGGTGTTAAATGAAATTTCTCCCCTTGGAACACTGACAGGCCTTGGTACATCCTCAATGACAAGGACATATCAATATTAAATCAGACTGATTAGACAATCACAAAGTTTTAAGAAACACCCAAAAGCTAGGGCAAGGTTGAACGAGAAGTTTCATCAACTACACAAGGGCACTCTAAGACTGAAAGACTCAGAAAAAGACCATAATGCTATGGAGATAAGTAACGTACCTGATAAAGAATTCAGGGTAAATGCCATAAAGATGCTTACCAAACTTGGGAGAGGAACGAATTAACACAGTAAGGATTCAACAACGAGATAGAAAATATAATAAAGTACCAAACACAAGTCCTCATAGCTGAGGAATGTAATAAAGGAACTGAAAAATACACTAGAGGTGTTAAACATCAGACTGCAGGAAGCAGATGAATGAGTCGGCAAGCTAGAATGCAAAACAATGGAATTTACCCAGACAGTGCCATGAAGGGAAAAAAGAATTTTTAAAAAGTTTTTTTTTTAAATTTTTAAATTAAAAAAAAAATTAAAAAAAAAATACCTTACGGGACCTATGAGACAATATCAAGCATAATAACATTTGCATTATAGGGGTCCCAGAAAGAGAAAAGAAAGAGAAATAGGCAGAAAACTTATTTGAAGAAATAATGACTGAAAACTTCCTTAACCTAGGGAAGGAAACAGATATCTAAGTCCAGGAGACCCAGAGAGCTCCAAATAAGAGATACACACCAAGACACATTATAATTAACGTGTCAAAAGTTAAAGAGAGAATCTTAAAAGTAGCAAGAGAAAAACCAATTGTTATATACAAGAGAAACACCATAATCAGCAGATTTCTCAGCAGAAACTTTGCAGGTCAGAAGAGAGTGACCCGATATATTCAAAGTACTGAAAGGAGAAAAGCTCTAACCAAGAACACTCTACCTGAAGGTTATCATTCAGAACTGAAGAAGAGAGAGGGTTTTCCAGACAAAAGCTTAAAGAGTTCATCGCTCCTAAACTGGCCTTATAAGAAATGTTAAAGAGGGGCTCCTGGGTGGCTCAATGGGTTAAGCCTCCGCCTTCGGCTCAGGTCATGATCCCAGGGTCCTGGGATCGAGCTCCGCATCGGGCTCTCTGCTCAGCAGGGAGCCTGCTTCCTCCTCTCTCTCTGCCTGCTTGTGATCTCTCTCTGTCAAATAAAGAAATAAAATCTTAAAAAAAAAAGAAATGTTAAAGAGACTTCTTTCAGCAGAAACGAAATAGCACTATTATTATTTTTTAAAGATTTTATTTCTTTATTTGACAGAGAGAGATCACAAGTAGGCAGAGAGAGAGAGAGAGGAGGAAATAGGCTCCCTGCTGAGCAGAGAGCCCGATGTGGGACTCGATCTCAGGACCCTGAGACCATGACCTGAGCCAAAGGCAGAGGCTTAACCCACTGAGCCACCCAGGCACCCAATAGCCCTAATTATTAACAACAACAACAACAAAAATACAAAAGTAAAAATCTCTCCAGAAAAAGTAAATATATAGTAAAGGTAATGAGTTAATTTATAAAACTACTATGAAGGTCAGAAAGTCAAAAGTAAAATTAACTAAAATTACAATAATTAGTTGAGGTAAATAAAATAAAAAGATGTAAAATGTGACATCAAAAACAAACATGAGGGGGTATGGTAGTTCAAATGTAGGGTTTGGAAAATGTTCAAATATAAGTTGCTATCAACTTAAAAGAGACAGTTATATACATAGGATGATATATGTGAACTTACAGTAACTACATAGCAAAAATTTATATTAAATATATAAAAGAAAATGAGAAAAGAATCTAAACATAACACGAAAGAAAGTCACCAAACCAGAGGGGAAGAAAGAAAGAGAAGAAGGAAGGACTAGAAAGGAACTATAAAAATAGTCACTAAACAAGTAACAAATGGTGATAAGTACTTACCTATCAATAATTAAAATAAATGCAAATAGACTAAGTGTTCTAAAAAAATATCACAGAGTAGCTGAATGGATAGAAAAGCAAGGCACATTTATATACTGCTTTTCAGAGACTCATTTCATAAGTAAGGACACACACCAACTGAAAGTGAAGGGATGGAAAAAAGATATTCCTTGTAAATGAAAATGAAAAGAAAGCTGGTATAGCTATGCTCATATTAGACAAAATAGACTTTAAAATAAAGACTATAATAAAAGACAAAGAGGAGCACTACATAATGATAAAGAAATCCACCTCAAGCAGATAACACTTTTATAAATATATATGCACCCAATGTAGGAGGACCAAAGAATATAAAACAAATATTAAGAGACCTAAATGGAGAAATTGACAGCAATACAATAATAATAGGATACTTTGACATCCCACTTGTATCAATTAATAGATCGACCAGATGGATAAAATCAATAAGGAAACATTGGCTTTAAATGACACAAACAGGGGTGCCTGGGTATCTCAGTCATTACACATCTGCCTCAGGTCATGGTTCCAGG